CCAGCTGTGGTGTCTGAGCTCTGTGACTTCGAAGCACACACGCCCCTGGGCCTCAGCCTTTCCCATCTGCAGAGTGGGCATGAGGGTCATCGTGGGCATGAGGGTCATCGTGGCCACTTCACCGGACTGTCAGGCAGACTGAGTGAGACCAGGCACGCCGAGTACTTGGCACGGTGTCCGGCCCAGGATAAATGCTCACTATGGAGTTGACATTTGTCCTAGCAAGGCCTTGGGTGGAGGCAGAACAGGCAAAGCTGCAAAAGAATAGGGTCCCAAAAGCTGGCAAAGCTCAGGTCAGTCAGGCTGAGGGCCGGACAGCGGCGTGGCGGGCGTGAGCTGGACGGACCGTACTGCGGAGCCCCGGAGGCCCAGCGCGGGCTTCTGTCCTCAGTGCTAGTGACGTTTGGTGCCAGACACATCTTTGTTGCAGGGGCTCTGCACAGCGTCTGTTTAGCAGCAGTCCTGGCCTCTACCCGCTAGAGACCAGGGCAGCTTCCCGTTGTGACCATCGAAAATGTCTCCAGACATTGCCAGCTGTCCCCTGGGCCAAGATTGCCCTCCGTTAAGAAGCCCTATTCGGGCAGGCGGAGTGTGGCCAGTACGTCCGTTCCCCGAGGTCTGGAGGAAGCCAGGGGTGCAGAGCACCTGTCCTGGCAGAGATGGGTGGTGCGTGCACGCGGCAGAGCGAGCGCCAGGGGGCCAGCTGGGGGAGGCCTGGCGGCAGGTGCCAGCAGGCGTGGGGCAGGGCTCGGACCCCAGCTGCTGGGAGCCCAGCCGTCAGCCAGGGTCAGAGCGCAGCTCGAGTGACAGTGAACCAGGAGCACTCTGTGCCTCCTCCCACCCCTGCCCAGGACCAGGACTGGATTCGAGATGGCAGGGCTAAGCAGGCTGTGCCTTCCACCCTTGGGGACCTTGTGACCTCCATTAGGGAGAACAACAGGCTTCCAAATAAGAGAGACCCGGTTCAAATCCAGGATCTCCCACATGGAAACTAAGCCTGAAAAATAAAATTTAAAATTTAGAAAAACAGGTGCTGCCTAAGATAAGCACCGCCCGGGGGCCGCTTAACCTCAAGGCTCAGATTCCTGTCTGTGAAGCCGGAGCAGCCGCGCCAACCTCACCTGGCTGCTGCAGGGGCTGATGCGATGCCATAGTCACTCACCTAGCGTCCCACCTGCCACATAGCAGGCACGCCGTAAAGGTGGAGTGAAGGAAGGAAGGAAGGATGAATGCAAGAATGACTTTCTCCCCCAATTCTCACATTCATTTCAGTCTCTCCTCTGGAAACTTGACTTCTCGGCAAGAGGAAATGAGCTCTTCATCTCTGGAGTCCCAGAGGTTAGCATTGAGCCTGGTAGAAAATAGCAGGTGATGAGCCAGGCCTGGTGGCACACGCCTGTATTCCCAGAGACTTCGGAGGCTGAGGCAGGAGGATTGAAAGTTTAAAGCCAGCCTCAGCAAAAGTGAGGCCCTAAGCAACTCCATAAGACCCTGTCTCTAATTAAAATATAAAAATGGGCTGGGGATGTGGCTCAGGGGTTAAGCACCCCTGGGTTCAATCCCTGGAAGACAGCATGTGCTTAAACAGTGAAGGTTTCCTTCCTCAAGGGCAGTGACTTTGCATTGTTCAGTTTATGAAACCCTAGCCCAGCGCAGTGAGTGACACACAGTAGGCCTTCCTACCGTGGAGATGAATGAAGGAGTGAATGGATACACAAAAGGGGGCTAAAATAGAGGCACACCCTGAATGCTACTCCCCCCACTTTCTCACAGGGCCCCTGCCTGTGTGTCCATGTAGGGGGAACATGGCTACCGTGCTTGCAGGAGGCAGCTCAAGCCCTGGGAGAGAACAGTAGGAAGCGAGGCAGCAGGGGACAGACCTGGGGAAGAAGGTCTCGGATGAAAGTCCCCATAGTGGGTGGCTGCTGTGGACCCTTCTCCAGAATCCTGCTGCGGGTCGCTCCACCCACCCTGGGGAGCTGGGACAACCTCCACAATTCTCCTGGCTCCCGGGAAGAGGCTCCCACGTCCAGCAGCGGGTGTACAGTGGCGTGGACGTATGTCCTCCTTCCCTCAGGATGTGAGACGTGGGCAGGATCCCCTCCACAGGCCTCAGGACACAGCGTGCTTTGTTAGGCAGACCCCTGGATGGGGGCGTGGGACATCATCAGTCAGTGGCCACTAACCTTCGTGGCTTCCCTTCCCTTATCTGCACAGTGGAGCCTCGATGACGCCTGGGGTGACTCTATCCCTTGATCCCCTGCAAAGTGATGGGCCCGTCAGTAGTTAGGTGACTGAGCCCGGCCACGTGGCCTGCGTGGGAGACCAACCAGTGAGAAGAAGGCACAGCTAGACTTTGCAAAGCCACTGGCTCCCTGGCCACCTCAGAGCTGCTGGGAGCTGTCCAAGCACCAGATGAAGTATCAGCTTTGAAATCCAGGGGTCCCCACCCCGGACCCGGTTGGTGAGAGCTGGCGGGACCAGGACAGTAGCTGGTTTTCCCCAGGAGGGCCTGACCACTTTCCAGAAGGACCCATGGAACGGTCCATGTCATCCTGGACGGGGGAAACCTCAGAGATGGAGAAAGCTTTCTTTTTAGGCCCCCTGAGTCCTTTTCCCTTCCAATGACACAGTGTCAGCACATAGGGACTTTTCTCCTTACCAGGGACTGAACTCAGGGGCCCCCAACCACTGAGCCGCATCCCCAGCCCTATTTTGTATTTTATTTAGAGACAGGGTCTCACTGAGTTGCTTAGCACCTCACTTTTGCTGAGGCTGGCTTTGAACACGCGATCCTCCTGCCTCAGCCTCCCCAGCCGCTGAGATTACAGGTGTGCGCGACTGTGCCTGACAGCTTTTCTCCTTTCTGAAGTCCCTGTAAATGACAGGTAGGGACAATGGTAGCCTGGAAGAGTTTGGCAAAGCAATTCCCTTACATAAGACAAAGGAGCCATAGGAGATGAGAGGGTTGAGCCTGGACAGAGGAGCAGAGGGGACATGACGGGCGTCCCAGGGAGAGGTTTGGGAGGATGTGGGTCTGAAGCAACTGTCTTGTGTTTTGAGTGACAGGCGTAGAGAAGGGCACATCGCCGTGGGTTGGGGTGCTCCTCCAGGTACTAGCTGCTTGGCCAGGGAAGCTCCTCATTTTTTCCTTGCCCCACTTTCTTGATCTGCAACCTGGGGACAATAGAATCTGCTTCGCAATGGAAAACACTCAGCATTGTTCCGGCACCTAGGGAGGACCTTAGGAGTCCGTGCAGGGCTGATGGTAGGGGTGATAGAGAAACCCTAGAAGTCCCTAGTACAATGGCCATCCCTCTGGGTGCTCTCCGGGAACCCTGCCCAGCGCCCACTCCCGTGTTAGCTCCCTGTGCAACGGAGACGCTAATGACAGGCAGGCCCTGGCCAGTGTCACTGGGAACTTCCCCAGAACTTGCTGCTCTGGAGCGCAGGTCACGTCAGGTCTGGCGGGTGCAGAACATCTGCCCTCCATGTGGCTGAACCATCCAGAGATTGCCACAGGCTGCTTCTCAGGCCGGAGACACATCCCCCAGGCAGGAGGCATGGACTCCCCAGCTGGGCCGCCCTCTGGCAGACTATACCCGGGGGGTATTTTTTCAGGTTCTGGGTGACATTCCCCTGCCCCTCAGCCTAACAGGTCCCAGATGTGCCCCTCTCCCCACTCCCGTCCCACGCTGATGCTGCTGCTGCTGCTGCTGCTGCGTACCCGGGCTTCCTGGCCCTGTCGCTGCACCTCTTGACATTTTTTTTTTTTTGCTTTGTTTTTAATTCAAAATATTTTGTCCGCCTTCACATGACGACTTGACAGAGGCCAACGTGAGAAGGGCTGCTTCCTCTAGCTGGGACCAGGACAGAGAATCTGGCAGACCGAGACAGGGACACTGGCGCTGGGAATCCGAGGAGCAAGGGAAACGCGGGGAGTCTTTATTGGCTGAGCATAAAAGCAGCCCAGGCAGCAGCTGAGTGCATGTGGCCCGGTCACCAGGGGCTGGGAAGCCAGGGCCGTGGCGTTCTGTGGCTCACCTCCCCCGAGGCACCCTATCTTTTTTTTTCCATTTAAAATGGTTTATTTGGACAGTTTTCTTAGGGCACCCATGTTCACACATTCTGCTGTAAGTTAACCCATTCTAGAACCTTCTTGGAAGCTGGAATTCAGGCTTTTCCATTACACATTTTGCTTGCCTCTGGTCACCTGGGAAAAGGCTGTCTGTAGTCACTAAGGGTCCTTATCTTAAGGCACCTTCCATTCTCTACCTTCTTTGCTCCGGGGCCCCCACTCCCTTCGCTGTCTCCTCAAAACACTTGACTGTGATTCTTGCCAGTAATGAGACAGGGCTGGGCCGCCGGAGGGAGAGGGAACCCAGGGAGGAGGGGAAGAGAGGCGTGAGTGGACAGCTGGGCTGGGGGCCCAGAGGTGGGCGGTGGGAAAGCAGCAGAGGACGGCAGACCCAGGAGGGGTCAGGATGCCTGACTCACCACGGCACAGAAATCAGGCCTGCCAGATAGACATCAGGCGGGGATCTGAATGAGAAGGACTGAGAGGCGGCCCCGCCCTGCCCCTTCCTGCTTGTTTTCCACTGAGTGTGTGTCGTGTGTGTCGAGGGAAGCCTGGAGCGCGCTGTCATTCCGCATCTCTTTGGATGTCATTTTGACCTTTCTCAGTGTGTCTTGGTGCCCACATCCCACGCTGTGGAAAGCAACCTGGATCGTGAGCACAAGCAGGTCCCAGGGAGCCCATGTTGTGGGGTGAGAAACTGGGGCCTGGGGACCACTGTCAGGTGCCGGCGTTTCCCATCCAGTCATGAAAACGTGGAGATGAAATAAAGGGGGAAAAGATTATGGTGGTGAAAGTGAGCCAGGAATATGCCACCTCCCAAGACCAGATGGAAACGCCTCCCCCGCTCAAGAATTCCTGGGGGGCGACGGACCCTCCTATGGACAGCGGCACTGACCGGCTTCTCTCTCTCTCTCTCTTCCAGGACCTCCTGTAAGTACTCACTTGGCGGCCAGCTCTTGCACACCTGAAAGTCTATGTCTCTACCGGTAACAGGGTCTCTGGGGGGGACACAGGCAGCTGTCTTCCGGGGGCCTCCTGTGCTTCTGCAAGGCCTTCTAGAATGTTCCATGGGAATGGAGGCCGCTAGTTCACTTTCCACGCACCTCTGTGCTCCTGTAGGGCTAGACAGTGGCGGCCCCAGGGGCAAACCAGGCCCTAATTTCATGCCCAAAGTCTGGCTTGGCCCTCTTTAGACCAGCTCCTTTGTCCTTCAGAGAAGCAACTGGAGTCCAAAAAGCAGCAGGTACTAGAAAGAAGGAAGAGCCCGCCCTGCTCCTTCTGTCCATGAAGAAAGCAGGTCAGGGGCGGCTCCAGGCGGGGGCTGCGCTGGAGCACTCAGCGTCCACGCCCCCAAGCAGGCAGCTCCATTCTGGCCAAGTCACTTGGGGCAGGCAGAGCTGGTGGCCATCTGAATGAGAGCAGTGTCCGCGATCAGCTGGGGAGATGACACATAAGTTAAAGACACCAAGTGGCTCCTCTTCCCAGGCTCCACTCCCAGGGTGGGCAGGGGATCTGGGTCATTTCCAAAGAACCCGAGAAGAGCCCAAGGAGACCGTCTTCCCGTCTCCCCGAGGTAATAGATCCAGGGAACAGGAGCACGTGTCCTTTGAGGAACAGCATTTGATATCTCAACAAGAGACTCAGAGGGCGCTGGGGGCGCTGAGGGGGGTTGGAGCTGAAAGGCTTCAGCCCCTGCAGCAGACCTCTCCCAAGGTTACTGAAATCTCCGTCGCTCGGAGAAATCATTTCCAGAGTTGTTTTCCTCGTGATCTGTACATGTGAGAGCAGCCTGCCCGATTTTTAATGAGACTGTTATTTATATAATATTTCATCCATGCCCTGAAACGCCCTCAGACCCAGGCTGGGGATCCTGTCTGGTTGGATCCCCTGTCTGGCAGATCCCAGGGAAAGAGGAAAATCAAGTCTTTCCTTGAAAGGAGGAGGGCTGGTTTATCACAGCTTGTTGGGATGTCAGGCTGCAATTCCGATCATCCATCTTCTAAAATAAACCGCCAGAGGGAACGTCCAGAGACCACCTGCTGGAGCTGGGACGCTGGGCTCCTTGTCCCCCTGCTGGAGCCTCCTCCAGGACCAGCCCACTGGGGCTCTCCAGGGACATCATCTGAGTCCCTGCCTGGCTGGAGGATCCTTTTCTCAATCGCAATTTAGCATTTTGAGAGTTTGTGCCTGCCTCATCCGGAAGTTGTTCCCAGCCAGGGTGGACACTGCCATTCTGGGGTCTGCAGTGAAGTGGGTCTCTGCTTCAGTCTTGGCCCACCTGTCCGCCAGCCGGGGAGTCAGGTAGAGGTAGCTCCTCCCACCAGAGGCGCCCTGAACCTCTGCCCAAACCACAAGGCAGGAGGAGGAGGGAGCAGGAAGCTGGCCAAGGAGGCGGTCACCTCCTCAACCCTGTTCTCTCCACTTCCTGCAAAAGAAGGACGCCAGTGGCCAGAGGTGAGTGCTGACCGGATGCCTGTCCACTGCCCTCCGGGTGTATCTCAGGGCTGCTTTGTCCTTCCGGTGGACGCCAGGGCTATCCATACCCATGGAGGATGGATTGATGTTGCAGCCCCCCCTCCTGCCCAAGGCAGACATTGCTAATCAATGTAGCCAGTTACTCCCGATCCATCTGAGCCGGTGCCCCAACTGACGTCGGCCGTCCCTGGGTTGGATGGGAAGATGTGCTTAATACTGGGAACTGAAAGCCTGAGTCAGATGCCCATGGGAATAGGGAGGACTATAGGGAAACACTGAATGTCAGCTGCCAGGCAAGGTGAGCATGACCCTTGCCGAAACTCGAGCTGTCACTCTCTGCGTGTGAGGTGCTCTCAGGTCGGCATGCGGGCTGTGTGGCCCAGTGACTAGGAGCACAGCTCTGGAGCCCACTCTCCAATTCTGTCACTGCCACTCCTCGCTCTGACTTGACAAGTTATTTAATATCTCTGTGCCTTAGTTTCTCCATCTATAAAATGGGAATTGTCATGGTTTCTGACTATTGGGGGGCGTATATATTTACATGAACATTACATACATGTATATATTTTCTTCCATTTAGAGAATGTTAATTCATTTGGTCCTAGACTCAGAACTTCCTTAGATGATTCCCCCAAAGGTCTTTAATTTTTAAGGAGAAGATTGTTATTCTGTGAATTTTTATTAATTTATTATTTCATTTGTTTCTATCCTCCCTCATTCTGAGGAGGAGGTTTGTAACTTAGTCAAGCAAACGGAGAGCAGAGGCAGGAAGACTTGGTTTTGAGCTCCCTGGTGGTCAGAGCAAAGAGGAGGGCGGTTTGGGGGAGACTTGGGGGACAGTGAAGTAGGGATGTGCCTGTGGTTTGGGAAGCACAGCTTTTCCTGGTCCTGGGCCTGAGATGAGACCCCCTGTGTGTTCTCATGAGGGTCCCGCCACCTGGATGACCCGGTTGTACATACAAGGGGCTGTGACGGAAGCATCCATCTGTTCCTCATTAGACCCTTTGCGTGAGGTTGGGACCCCCACAGGCCTGTCCGTTCCCTGGGGCAGGATGTCACCGCCCCACCTCCTGTCCCACTGGGTGGTGTTAGGGGAGGGGCTGGTTAGAAGGGAAGGGCCTGGGCTCCTTGATGTGGTGTGAGGAGGGGCCCGTGCTGTCTTTCCTGGGGTCTGGACAACTGGAGGCTGGGCCACCAGGTTCGTTCATTCACAAATGACCAGGAGCTCAAGCCTCCTCAGGCCCATTCCTGTAAGAAACAGGAACGGCTCCCCCAGGCCAGGAGCACTGGGGGCAAAGCCTCGCAGAGCAGAGGGATGGGGTGAGTCCTGCCCCCTTACCCAACATCTCCCCGTCATTGAGAGTCACTGCACCATCGCTAAGGGACAGGAGACAGAACCCCTGCTGCTGCCTGCGTTTACCTCTGCAGTTACTCAGAGACACCCGGACCCGCCCCCGTTCTGCCTTAGGTCTCTGGGAAGAGCAGCGTATCTGGAAGGAGAGACACTGTACCCAGAGGAACCCAGGCCAGCACCATGCCCCTCCCCCACCTGTCCCCTTCCCTCCTACCCCAGTGGTAACAGCCCGGTGTCCTCTGTGCTTGCTCACTGCCAGCCCCAAGCTCAGCGCTCCACATACAACATCTCATTTAATCCCAAAAGATAAGTAACGAGTGCTCTTCCATTTTCAAGGAAACAGAAACACAATGAAACCAGACTGTTTAAGGTCCCTTGCTTGCTTAAGGTCACTCCACCAGTGAGTGGCAGAGCCAAGATTTGAGCTCGGGTAGGCTGAGCACCTGCTCCTTACCCATCTGTCTTACGGAGATGCCTCCACCTGTCCTGCACCCCAGAGCCCCGCCATACCAGGGTGGGGGGCCAGCTGCCCATGAGCCCCAGGAGTCTCCCCAGTCCTGGCAAGGTGCTCCCGGGTGCCCCAGGAGGCAGCCAGCAGGACAGCTTCTCAGCCACCCTCTTGGATGCATCGGGGAGTTGGCACCCCAAGGTGAACAGGCTTTCTTGGTTTTGACTGGTTCTTAAATTGCTCCCTCTGCACATGGCTGTGAAGGGAACCACTGTGACGGATGGTGAGGTTCATGACTGTTCCCTTTTCCATAGCATTTCTGATCCATTTTGTGGAGTCTTCTCCTGTGCCCACAGTTGTGCCAGGCGGAACTGCTAGGGTTGTGAATAACGTGTTCCAGAAACAGAGCTGTGGTCGGTGAACAAAGGTGGCCGGAGCCTCCGAGGCCCCCATGTGCCAAGGGCCAGCCCCCCACCTCCCACCTGACACTGACCTGCCGTGCCATGGATGATTGACTCTGGTCAGAGTCGTCACAGGAAGAACCACTGCTTCCCAGGATCCTCTGGGGGTGCTCCCCCTGCACCTCCATGACCACGAGCCATGGGCTGAGAGGTGACAGTCCTCCAGCCCATGGCTTCCCAGTGGGTGATAGGTGCTCCCCTGCTTGGTGGGCAGGGAAGACCAATCCCCAATGCCCACCCCCACCTCCTCCTGGACCAAGGCCAGCACCCATGCGTGGTGCAGCGGAGGTTGCCCCGAGCGAGGCAGAGGGGCTCAGAGAGCGGACGCGCTTGTGGGACCCACAATCCTAATGGTCCTCAGTCGTGACGACTTTCCCACTGTTTTTATTTCTTGTCTCCCTGTTCCCTGTTCCCACCCCTGGGCCTGGCACGCCGGAGCCCCTGGCCACCTGGTTTTCTGAATGTAAGAGCTGAAAGGAAGCCTGCCCACCAAGGCCTCCCTGTTCATAAGAGAACAGCTCGGCGCAGGCGACTGCCGGGTGGTGTCGCTGGCCACGGCAGCGCTGCCTGGTCGCCGCTGTTCCCACTCCCTGACCCACACCAACCTCTCTCTCCACTCCTTTATTTCAGGGCCCCACCGGAAGACCCGGGCTCCCAGTAAGTAACGCATCCTTTATTATACCTCTGTGTTGACTTTGCGGGGCCGGAGCCAGGACCTCGTGCTCCACCACTGAGCTGAGCCTGGGCCAGCCCTCTCTCCGTCTGAGGCTGGCCACGCTGGGCAGCTGGCTCCCCTCCGGTGTCTCTGAGTGAGAGGCCCCTCTGGACTCTCCTATCTGCCACTCCCAGCCCCGCCACCTTGGAGCCTGGATAAAATCTGGAGCCTGCAGCTGCTGCTGGGGCTTGGGTGTCCCTCCTGGGGCATCAGGCAGGTGGATCACGGCAGCAGACCCTCCTGATGCTGGAATTCATGTCTACGGAGGGTCCCGTAATGAGGGCTGAGAGGGCTGGTGAGCTCCTGGTGCACTAGGACCCCCTGCTCACTAGTTGACACCAACTACTACTGTTCCCTCCTTCACCCATGCCTCTGGTAAAAGAGCAAACTCAAAAACTTGGTTTTCCCCCTGTTTTTATTTCTGAATTCTAGAGAGGCTATGCCAAGGAATCATGGGAACTTTGAGACAAAAGCAGAAATAATACTAATAGCCACTTCCTACTGAAACTTTAATAGGTGCCCCCTATGCTAATCATTCTTCAGACTTGACTTGTTCAACAGCTCAGCACAATGGGTATGATTGTGCCCATTTTAGGGGTGAGGAAATTGAGACTTGGAGAGGTCAAATACATTGTCCACCCACCCACACTTCAGTGGTGGACTGGTTGAGGCGCACATTATCACATCCCATTCCATACCGCTGTTCCCTGTGGTCCGTGCTCAACATTTGAGACCCACCTTAAAAGTCGTCTAGTCATGGCTATGGAGTCAAGCCTGGATAGGGGAGAGGAGTCCTGGGAACAGACACTGCGGGGCCCTTGGCTGGGGCGGGGCTCAGGCAAGATGTTGTAGCCAGCCAGAGAGCTGAGGTGGGGCGCGGAGGGGGACCTGGGACAGCTCCTGTCTGCCCTGTCCCTCTGCCACATCTACTGGGTTCCACACTGTTCTGTGTGTCCCTCCTACTCCCCCTTTAGACATAAATTAGACTTCGGCCATTTGACTAATCCAACAGCTTCTAGAATCCATGCCCAGCACTGGCTTTCTTAATGAAATGCATGTGGAAGAATGTTTAGCCTTGAAAACAGAAATTCTCCCTGTAAGGAAGAGCCACGGAGCTGCAGAGGACGGTGAATCGGTCCTGTGAAATCCAAGGAGGGGAAAAATCAGATGACCGAGGGGAGCGTGGGCAGGCTTTTTTTTTTTTTCTTAAAACATCCACCTTTAAAAAGCATTTAGGGGCGATCCACCCAGAGCAGGGCCTGCTGCACCACTCCCCGGCTCTGGCCCTTCCATGCCGGTCCCCAACCTGAGCGTTTTATGGCCAGGACTGCAAAGAACATTAGTTTTAAAAAAAGAATCCAAAACACACATCCTGAAAGATCATCCAAAGCCCCAAAGCAAGTGGACCATGGGGATGTCACAGCCAACTGCCAGCTCTGGCCTGGCCATCTCAGCAGGACGAGCAGATCACACATCCATGGGTCAAGCCCTGTTTGTGCTGCCACATGAAGGGACCTGGGAGTGACCCACGTGAAGATTTGCTGATGCTGGCGCCACTGTGGAAAGAAAAAGGTGTGAAGCCCAACCCCCTTGCCCACGGCCGTGCTGGGCTGAACACTAGCAGATGCGATTTGTCCAGCACTGACCAAGTGCCAGGCGTCAGGCGGAAGCTTCTCAGAGATGTTGCCTCTGGGATCCTCCCAGCAACCCACCAGAAACAGACTCTTGTAATCTCCATTCAACCCACTGATGCCAAGGGAGGTTAAGGAAACAGTCGGTGCTCATGACTTGCACTGCTACCTCGGCATTCTTGAGCAAATGTAGAACACCGCTGGTCTTGAAGACATCCTGTCATCAGGAGCCTAATTCCACCGCTGACTGCTATTCTCTGGTGTGTGTCACGTATGCCTTGGGATGCCAATGGTCCCTGGGGACATTTTGCTTCCGTGGGGTCAGCAGATGCACCGTCACCCCAGAACACACCTGCACATTCCGGAACACAGCTCTCTCCTGCCCACCGGCCAGATAAACGTGATCCTATTTTCTACACCTCATTACTCCCCATCCTTCCAGGCCCCACCCCGACTTTATGATGTCTGCATGCACATGATGGCAAAAAAATATTTTCTACCCAAAGAGAGAGAAACAAAACTTAATAAGCAGATTTCCAGAGCAAGAAGATGTAACCCCTGGCTCCGAAGCAAAGCAGCTCCCTCTGCGCATCTGAAGCTCGTGATGCGGCTGAATCCACAGGGCTCACGTCTCTCCTGCCTGTGCTGGAGGTGGCCGTGGGGAGGCAGGGGGAGGACTCCATCCATGGGCAGAGGGACTGGGAGGAGTGGCGGAGCATGGCGCTGCTCCTCACTCTGGCTCACAGACCTAGGAAAGTGGTTCACCATCTATGTCACGCATGGGAGCTGCCCGTGCCATCCAGGCAGGCTGTACCCCAAACCAGGTGCACAGCTAGCCTGTGGGTCACCCTGGTGGGTCCCAGCCCCAACTGATTATTTATGCCTCCTTCATTAGGGGGACAAAGGTGCCATTGGGATGCCTGGACGTGTGGTGAGTTGGCCCATTTGAACCTGCTCGGGGGGGCCATTGCTTGCTTCTCCATGCTGGCCTGTCCTCCAACCATGGCAAGATGCTGCCCACCCCAAGCCCAGAGAAAGGGGAACCTTCAGGGAGGGACAGGGAAAGAGAAGGGAAGAAATTGTATTCCAGTCTTCAGACCTCAAAATAGGGTTTTGCAGAAGTTCACCCTCATCCACAGTCTCTGTGGTCAACCGTGGTCCAGAAATATTGCTCTGCATAATAAGGTATTTTGAAGCCAGGCATGATGGCATAGGCCTGTAATCCCAATAATTTGGCAGGCTGAGGCAGGAGAATTGCAAGTTTGAGACTGGCCTGGGTGACTCAGTGAGACCTTGTCTCAAAATAAAAGAAATAAAAAGGGCTGGGCGTAGTGGCGCACGCCTGTAATCCCAGCAGCTCGGGAGGCTAAGGCAGGGGGATCACAAATTTAAAGCCAGCCTCAGCAAAAGTGAGGTACTGAGCAGCACAGTGAGACCCTGTCTCTAAATAAAATACAAAATAGGGCTGGAGATGTGGCTCAGTGGTAATGCCCCTGAGTTCAATCCCCAGTACCCACAAAAAAATAAAAATATTAAAAAATAAAAAGGACTGGAGAATGTAGCTCAGTGGTAAAGCACCTCTGGGTTCAATTCTCAGTATTAAAATAATAAGAAGAAGAATATATTTTGAGAGACCACATTTACATAACTTTAAAAAATATATTTTTTGTTGTAATTTTTCTATTTTATTCTATTTATTGTTAATATTTTACTGTGCCTAATTCATAAGTTAAACTTTATCATAGGTATGTATGTATATGTATGCATGTATTTAAAAAAAAACTGTATATACAGGGCCCGTTACAATCTAAAGTTCCCAGTGTCCACTGGGGGTCTTGGAATATGTCCCCTTTGGATAACCTGGGCCCCACAAAAAGCTGACACAGCAAGAGAAAAAAATCCAAAAAAATTTGCACCAACAAAGCTTTTTGCGGATCACCTCCTGGGTGATAGGGTGAGGCCCAGCCTCTGCATTGGGAGGCCTCGAGGCTGGCAGCTCCCCGTCAGGTTTACAGCTGTTCCTGCCCCCCCCCCCCCCCGTAGGCCCACAGTGTCCAGCGGGGTCTTGTGGAGATGGAGACTCGAAGACAGGGAAGCCAGGGCCTGCTGCCAGGCGGTGCCTCCAGGTCCTCGCTAGGGCGTGAAAATACTTAATGTCTCCCGCTGAGAAATGAAGACAGAAAAGGAGATGAGAATGGATAAAAGGGAGAGTGTTGTCCAGAAATGGAAAGGCTGGCACCAGACCCCGAGGTCTTGGCACCCGGGTTTTTCCTGGCAGCCTCTCCATGCTGGTCTCCAGGGGGCCAGAAAGGCTGCAGCCCGAGGAAGCAGTGGCCACGTACCAGCCTCACCGTCACACGGCCTGGTCCAGGACATGGCCAAGGCGGCGCCCCCCTGATCCCTGACTTCCCCCAGCCCTGGCCTCCACCTCCAGCCTGGCTCCCCAGGCACCTCCCCTCCCCCACCATCCCCCTCCCTCCCATGCCGTTCCTGGCTTGGCCTCTGAACCTCACCTCCTGGGCTGGGATGGCCTGGGGCATGGCTGTGGCATCCTTGTGTGGATTTGCATGCCTGGTGTGAGCATGGGAGACGGCCCAGCTAGCCCCTGCCAGCGCTGACTCCATGCTGGGCACTGTGCCAGGGCTTCACACGCATTATGAGCTCACTCAGTCCTCACGAGAACTGCAGGAGGTAGCCATCATTTCCATCCCCGTTTTTCAGACGAGAAAACTGAGGCCTAGAAGTACAATGTCTTTCTCAAGGTCACACAGTCAGGAAGTGGCCTAGCAGGGACTTGAACCCGGACAGCCAGACTCCAAACTTGTGCTCCTGACCCTGGCAATGCACCCACAGTATCACAGCTCTCCATACCACAGCTCTCTGGAGGGTCTGATCCTGGGGCCAAAGCCCCCAAGGCCTGAGACATTCCAGAGACAAGTGTTCTGTGCCACAAAGCTTTGAGTTCCCCAGGGCCCCCCCCAAGCCTGTCTGTCAAGGAATGGGCGTTGGTAGCCCTGGGCCCCCTCGAAGCTCTCCCACTTAGTCCACACCAGAACACCCAAGCAGCCCCTGGGCCCTGAACAGAGCAGGGAACAGTCCTGCATCCTCTCCTGGGCTTGCTGGGTAGGGGCTCTCCCCATGGGCAGGGGCTGGCCTGGAGGGGAGGCTGCAAAACACAAAGTGGCACCCCCTGCCTCCTGCCCCCACCCTTCCTGCCCTCCTCCTTGGGCCCTGTTGCCATCTGCCCACCCTCCCCCCAGGAAGTGCCCCTCTGAGTTTATCTTGACCCACAGCAGTGGGGAGAGGTGGGGAGCCACAGGAGGTCTCCCACTTCCTTCTGGCCAAGGCTACTTTCAAGACACTTTGGGGCTTCACACTGCCTGTGCTATTTTAAATGTGGCAATGGGCCCATTTGGCTTCCGGCTAGGGGTCCTGGCAGGAGCCTCCTGATAAGGACAGCTTGTGAAATTCCTGGGTCATTACCATGTGTCACCAGAGGGGGCACCATTGGCTCACTGGGAGGAGGGCGGATGGGACTAGCCATCCACTGGGCACCATGTTCCAGGAGACCCTTGGCCCACCACCCAGTTTTCTCTGCATGCTGACCTGCCCTCCAGGTGTGCAGATATGTGCATCCACCCATGTCCCTCTGCCTCCCCCCACACCTGGCCTGGGCAACCCTAACGGCTCTGGGCTTGTCTAGCCTGGCAGAGCTTTGTACTTGGTCCCCAGCGGGGCCTTCAAAGCTCCACCACAGCCTCACCTCCCCCTCCCACGGACTTAGCCAGCTGGGTCATGGCTTCTTGGACACACCTACTGACCTACATGGGTCTTGAGTTCTCTCTCTCTCTCTCTCTCTCTCTCTCTCTCTCATGGGTGCGCACACACACACACACACACACACACACACATGCACATCCCTGGAGAGGGCCTCCTGCAGCCCCAGCCACTGTTCCCGGGTGGTTGGAGCAGCCGGCCAGGCCTGGAGCAGGGTGAGGCCGAGCTTCCACATGCGTTGCTTCTTGGCCGGGGGACCTGTCGCGTGTCAGCGTCTGTGTTTTGCTGTTTTCTATTTCACGGTGATTTCCTCCATTTGCTTGCTGTGCTGTGGACATGCATTCTTGGTCGGTGCCTGTCTCTCACCCTCTTGCTTTTTCTCTCCCTCCCCCTCTTCCCTGCATCCTGTGTCACCTGTGGCTGTCCCAGGGAGTGAAGGGCCAACCGGGCGAGAAGGTGAGTCCACACTTTCCCCGTCCGCCCCACCCACCCTTCTGGTTTCAGCAAGACTCTTGGTGGTGGGGAAGGAGTCCCCCGCAGCACCCCCATCCCAGCCTCCCCTGCCACGCCCGTGCGGGCAGAGCGTGCGACAGGCCTGTCCCTACTGCCAGCTTCCCGACAGCTTCCACACCCTCAAGCCTGAGCCTTGGGATTCCTGGGCCGCCCCCCAGCCCTCCTGGAGGAGTGGGTCTCCCCAGCCCTGCCTTCGTGACTTCATGGGGCCTCATAGCTCTGGATCCCTGCCAGGCTGTCACCCTTCCCCTAGGCAAGGAGGCCAGCTCATTGCTGTTGAGTGGCTGGAAATGCCCAGGGGGCCCCAGAACCTAGAGAGGAGCCCCTGGGAAATCAGAGCCCAGCAGCTCGGCCCTGGTGAGCTCTTGAGAGACTTCAGAACACAAGCTATCGAAGCAGCTCACGTGACAGGAGGACACTGAAGCCCAGAGAAGGGCGGGGACTGCCCAAGGTCCCACAGCAGTAGTGAGGAGCAGGATCTAGAAGCCAAACCTCCAGGCGCCTAGCTCAGCACTCCCAGGATGGCACAGGAAGTATTTCCCCAGCAGAGTCTCCCAAAATAACAACAATGGCAATAATAATAACAGCAGCATCGGCGTATGCAGCATGAGTCCTGTCAGGCCCTGTTTTAAGTATGTTTGTCACTGACGTAACCCTTCCAGGGAAGTTTCATATTCCTGTGTTCCTGGGGACAGGGAGGCAAAGTCACACACCCAAATCACCCAGCTGGAAGGTGTCAGAGCTGGAGAGGAACCCAGCATGCCCGCCCCCAGGCCGTGCAGTCCTCCAAAGGCAGGAGACTGTGGGTCGCACCCCGGCCAGGGGTGGAACCCCCAGGAGAAAGGCCCAGGCCCGGATGTGCTGAGTACTCTGCAGCATCAGGCTGTGACGTTTTCACCTGCACCCAGTGGGACGGTGCTGTCACTCCTGCTGCAAACCAGCTCACCCCAGGTCACCCAGCTGGGGTCAGGAGCAGAGGGGGCCTTCAAACCCAAGCACCCTGGCTTTTACGACTGTGCACCACTACGTCCTAAAAAATTCACAGTGTCATTGTCATGGCAAAAACACCTCGGAATCTGAAGTCACCCTCACTGTTTGGGAGGCGTGACATTGGACAAAAAGCATTTCTGCCCCTCCCCTGAAGAGCTGCCCGTGCCCTCAGCATCGCCCCTCAGGCTCAGCCACCCGTGTCAGCGCTTGGCGCTCCTAACCCAGCACCCTCCGTCCCGCAGGGCTAAAGGTTGTGTCCCAGCCTTCACGCCCCGGGGTGGCCTCCAACCAGACCTAGAAACTCCAGGCCACCTCCACCTGTCAGTCCCAGGCTGTGGGCCCAAGCTCTGTGTCTGTGTCCCCAACCCCCGTCCCACAAACCCACGCTCAGGGGCGGTCTCCGTCCACCAGTTGCAAGGTCTGCAGCCAGACAGGTGTTTGGGGACGGACAGGGAGGAAGACCTGGGGGCTCTGGAACCTGGTGAAGCCTGGGGGCCTGGACAGCCTTGGCTGAGCCTGCCCCTTCCCTGTCACTGTCTGTCCCCTCCCTCTGTCCCCGACACCTCACGTTCTTGCCCACATGGCTTTTCCGCTGCTTCCTGCTGCTCTTCTCAACTCATCCGGGACATTCCGCTCACCCGCTTTGTGCTCCCCGATTCCCTGTTCTCGACACTCTGGCCTCCCTCACCCATTCCCTTGTCCTCTACACCCTGGCCTCCTTCTGGCCCGTGGGGTTCCCCCCCGCCCCACCTGCCAGCACCCCGTTTAGTCTCCTCTGCCCCCGCCCCACGCTCCCTCTGCCTTCCTCCTTCCCCACAGGGTGCCCCTGGAGACTCCGGGATGTCCATCATCGGTCCCCGCGGCCCCCCTGTAAGTTGTCGCTCTTTGGGGGGCATGGAGGATGGAGAGGGTTAGTGGAAAGGGCTTGGAGGGGGGCCAGGGGAAGGCGAGGCTTGGCCGTGTCCCTGGGCGCGTCAACCACATGTGATGCGGTCAGTCCTGCCGGCCACAGAACTGCTGTTGATGTTAAAGAAAGTGACCTCACTAAATGTACCTCAACGACAGCCTCGGAGAGGGCTGGGAGGCTGGGCCTTTAGCCACAAGCCCCCGGCAGCTGTGAGGCGGCCCCTCTGTTTACAAGCAGAAGGGAAAGTGCAGCTCCCTGGGTGCAGCCCCAGCCTCCGGGGAACGAGACTGCTGTGTTTCCAAAAGCCAAGTTCAAGGTCGTGGACCAGCTGGCGCTCCTGGTCTTGGTGGGCCCTCGCCCACCACTCGCCCTCCAAGGCGCCTTTCCACAGCAGCGCTGGCTCCTGCATGTCCCTTAGCCGTGACTCTGCAGAGCTTGGGAAAACCAGCGTGGCTTCCCTGGGACGTGCTTCCTTGGGGACTGTGACAGGCACGTGGGCGACGGAGCCGGCAGATAGCGTTCCAAGAGCACCCACCCACGGGGCTGCGAGAAAAACACCAACTTCTCACGGATGTCGTGGGGTTACGGGTCCCCAGATGTGTTTAGAACAGTCCTCTCAAAAGGGGACAGTGAGGCCCAGGGAAGGGAAGGGGCTTGGTTCCCAGGCTTTCAGGCAGCAGCAGACTCGGGTCACACGCGCTGTCTTCCTGACCTCCCGCGCGCAGAGAGGGGGTCAGGAACAACCAAAAGAGGGTGAAGCCCAGCCCGCCCATGGTCCTGCCTTCAACAAAGAGCAGAGCAGGAGCCTCCCACCTCGGGTGGGGGAGAAGGGTCAGGAAACAAGTCGCCAGGTTGCCTCCAAGGTAGGAGGCTGCTAGGAGCTTGAAGACCCAGGATGAGACATGCTAAGTCTGGGGGCTGAGAGGCAGAGCCAGTCAGAGCTGCTGAGGGGAAGAGGAAGGAGCAGAAGGATGAGCAGGGTCCTGGGCCGGAGCAGCATTTGAATAGACCTGAATGAGGAGACTTGTCCTTATCAACAAGCTTTCTTCTGGACTCCGCCTGCACAATAATGGTGAGGACTGACACTAGTCTGCGGCAGTTAGTATCCTGAGACTTCCACACCTATTAACTCACTTAATCCTCCCAGGAGAACCTCAAGAGGTAAGAACTGTTTTGACCTCCACTTTACACATGAGAAAACCAGGGCACAGAGAGGTTGAGTGGCTTACATAAAGTCACACGGCTAGACAGTGGCCACACTGGGAGTGATCAGCCAGCCATGGCAGTGTGACTCCTAAGTGAGTGCATTAAACCTGCTATTGTAATGGCCTGGTCAGACGGCCGTGTCACCGTCACTCCTGGCTCACGTGGCTGCTGCTCTGATGTGCCTCCTTATGTCCTGGGAGAGCCACAGTGCAGATGCCCGGAGCCCAGCTGTGTGATAGGAGGGTCACAGAGAAAGACAGTCCCCTGGTTCTGGCATGGAGATGGAGCCTGGGGTGGGCCTGATGGTGGGACGGGGAATAACACAGAACAGGCCCACCCTGCCTACTTCCCATGGTGACCACACCGGTTCTGCTGCATGGCTTAGGTAGATCCTCTGATGCCCATTCAGCAAACCCTGACAGGCTCCCTTAAAGTCTCTTCAGAGGCTGCCCTTCTGCAGCACGTGCCCTGTGCTGTCTGTAGCTGGGCCCAGCATGCAGGAGGCCCCTGGGGAATAAACCACCACGCTGGGGTTGAATCCATGGTGAGGAGCACCTTCTGCTAGGATGACAGTGGTGACGTCCATCTCCTGGGCACCAGTCACACACTGGTTCTCCTTCAGGCCTCTGGCACAACAGCCCCACCAGCCCAGTTTCCAGAAGGAAGCAGCTCACACTCACCCAGGCGTGCCCGGCTGCGAGGGCTGGAGCCAGGTCTGGCCAGGCCGGCCTCACTCTAAGCTGCACTTCCCCCAAGTGCCCCTTCTGTCTTGAGGCGCTAATGTACATACAGGACCTTCACCTTCAGGAGAAACCGTTGTTTCTATGGGCACCCAAGTTGGCGCTGGGAAAGGTTTTCTGGCCCCAGGAGTCCTGGCCAAGCCCAGGGTCCTTCAACTCTGGCCCATGTGGGTGACCGTCACCAGGATGGCTTGGCCACCCTAGTCCAGGGGCCGCCCTCCTAGCTCCTACTCTGCCCTGGGCTGGGGAGAGTGGGGAAGGGGAGGCAAAGGGTCTGCTTGTCATTAGGACAGAGGTCAAGGGGCAAGTCCAAGGTGGCAGCTGGGAGTGATGGGAACATGTGGCTCTCCGCTCAGCCAGGAAGGGCCCAGAATGAATGCTGCTGATCAGAAGCAGCCTCACCGCCCTCGGGGCCACCTGCCTGCTCTCCTGGAACTTGATAAACGGTCTAAGCAAAGGGGGGCCAGCCGAGCCCTTCATGGACGGGTCATTCTCATTCCAGTCAGGCAAGTGGCCGGGGCAGTGCCTGGGCATGTGGGCTCCTGAGAGTCCGTGACAATGGGGCCGGACCCTGAGCTGCCGGGCAGGTCATCCGCCAGGTTAGGGGACACCCCCATCTTACAGGGCTCCCGAGCCCCGCAGAGGGGAAACCTGAACTTCTCTTGTCCACAGGGAGCTGCCCTGCGTCCCCGAGCTGAGCTGCTCTGTTAGGATCTAGGTGCCAGGGGACGTGCCCCTCCAGGCCCTCAGTCAGGGAACAGGGGGCACATGGAGGGAGCACTGGGCCTGGCCTGGGGGGACAAGGAAGGCTTCTGGAAGGACAGGGAACTCACCTGACTCCAGGACTTCACAGGCTGCCCAGGTGGGGAGGCGGGGGAGGGTGCCGAGCCTCGACCTGGAGAAGCACCCGGAGCCTGAGGAGAGAGAAGGCCTTCGGGGGACACCCCAGGGGCGAGGCCAGCAGGGCCTCCTCACAAGGAGCCCCACACAACGTTCAGGAGCTAGAGCTTTGTCCCAAGGGTGGTGGGGAGCCCTCGGCTTGGGGGACGCCGACTAGGGACACGATCCGATGTGCAGTTCCAGGCCCTCCCTGCTCCTCCCTGATCCGGAGGAAGCTGTTCAGAGGCTGCGTCTGGGGACTGGAAGGCGCCACAGTCACCAACGCCTGGCCTGGAGCCGAGCCAGTGGCCCTGGGAGGGGTGGACCAAAGGGACATTTCAGAGGTGGACTTGATGAGTGTTGTGATGATCAAGGAGACTTGAGGAGAAGCAGGCACCTGGGGCTCACGCTGCTGACCTGAGAGGCGGCATCCGGCCATGTGCTTCCTTCCCAGGAGCAGGGCTTGTGGGGCGGGGGCGGGGGGGCGGGTGAGGTTCCCTGGAGCAGATGAGTCTGGGGTGTCCTCAGGATGCTGGGGGTGGGAACTGGGCACTGGCTGCGGGAGGCTCGGGGTGCTGGGTGCTGTGCCAGAGCCCCTCCTCCATTTGTGTACCTCCTGCCAGTGGGGTTTGGCGACCTCCCATTGATAGCTCAAATTGGCCACCGTGGGAGATTCTCTCCACAGGCCTCGGCAAAGGCCAGGCATGCAGGTGCTCCTCTCCCGCCCACCAGCCCCATTGGGGATCCAATGGTTCCCAGGCTCCATGAGGTGGTCATTGGCTCCGACTTGGAGGCAAGCCCCAGGCAGATACAGGACTGACCCTCTTTGGGGCATCAAATAGGAGAGGAAGGGGACCCCCCAGTAGACTCTTGCCAGACAGAACTTTCCATCTGGGTTGCTTCGCCCCACACAAGTTGCAGGTGGGAGAAAGACCAGGAGCATTAGCAGAGGGTCCGCCCCCCTGAACTCCCTTTCTGCCCCAGCCTTGAATCAGGGGGGAGAGTGCAGAGACCTGGGGAAAGCCGCTTTCCCTCCTCCTTGTGTGGAAGGAGATGACGACGCTAATGCACAGACTCCTCTGCCAGCAAATCTATCATCTACCATTTAATGCACTCCTTGTCCCCGTGAACTTTTTATGGGGTGGGGCGTCCAGTAAAATATTGAGATTCATTCAGAAAAAAATAGCTTGTAAGAATGTCAGGAACCCTCTGGGAAGTGGGGAGAGGGGGTCAGGAGGAGATATCAACATATACCATAAAAGCAGAGCGATCCCAGTGAACAAATGGAGAGGACAGAAGGGCGAGACCAGAAGGAGGACACAGGCAGGGATTTGGTACGTGAGAGGCTTCGTTTCAGAGCAGGGAGAGAAGAAAGGTGGTCAGGAAACAGTCTGGGGCCGCTGGCAGTCCGCTCGGGAAAAAGTGAACTGAAAAAGTTTTGCTTAGCTGAATCTCTGTCCCACTCATTATATCAGGACAAATTCCCAATGAGTAAAATATTTAGGTGTAAACATAAGCCACAGAATGAGAGGACAAAGCACGAGTGAATGTTTTATAGATCTGAAGTGGGGAAGACCCTTTGAAAACATGGCATTAAACCCAGAGTCAGGCTGGGGCTGGGGCTCAGCGGTAGAGCACTTGCCTAGCGTGTTTGAGGCACTGGGTTCAACCCTCAGCACCACATATACAGTAAATAAAATACAGGCATTCTGTCCATCTACAAGTACAAAAAAAAAAAATTAAAACCCTGAAGCCACAAGTAAACATTAATGATTTGGGACATGGAGGAAAATATGCCATAAGCAAAGTCCAATACAAAAGCAAGTTAGAAAGTATTTTCAACACATCTGACGACTAAAGAGTTAATATTCTTACTGGGTATGGTGGCATACAGCTGTGATCCCAGTGGCTGGGGAGGCTGAGGCAGGAGAATCTCAAATTCAAGGCCAGCCTCAGTAACTTATCAAGGCCCTAAGCAACTTGGTGAGACTCTGTCTCAAAGTAAAAGCTAAAGAAGGGCTGGGGATGCGGCTCAGTGGTTAAGCACCCCTGGGTTCAATCCCCAGTACAAAAAAAAAAAAAAAGTTAATATTTTTGACAAAGAGCTTTGAAAAGAGATAAAAGGTAAACCACCAGTAGAAAATACTATTAAACCCTGGTTGCTGTGGTTTGTACCAGTCATCCCAGCTACTCAAGAGGCTGAGGCAGGAGGACGGCTTAAACCCAGGAGTTCAAGGCCAGCCTGGGCAACATAGCGAGATCCTACCTAAAAATGTATGTATGTGATGAGTACAAACAGGTAGCTCACTGACCTGAAAAGGGCTGGCCAATGAGATGGCTGGCATGGTGGCACCCACTTGGGAGGCTGAGGCAGGAGGATGCCAAGTTCAAGTCCAGTCTGGGCAACTTAGTGAGACCCTGTCTCAAAAATTAAAGAAAAAAAAAGAGCGGGGGATCTCAGGGTGTGGCTCAATGTAGAGAAATTGCTCAACATATGCAAAGCACTGGGTTCAGTCCCCGGTACCCCCCCAAAAAAAATTGAAATAAATGTTTCAGTTTAGCATATAATTGAGAAGATATAAATTAAAATTCAGTTCCAAATCTCCCTAAGTGCCTTTCCCAGGCCCAACATCTCCGGGAAGTGGAGTCCCAGTTTCCATTTGGTCGAAGACACATTCCTACCCAAATCCCTGGAAAAGGCCTGGTCAGCCCTGGACCTGGCCCTGGGCTGGAGAGCTCCGTCCTGCTACCAGGGCCAGCTCTGTCATTAGTAAACCGTGTGATTATCCCGACCACGTAAACATTAGCCAGAAGGAGCCTTGAAGAGGTTTCTTGGAAGCGCCTCCTCCTGACCTTTCCTGGGGCCTCTCCTACGTGGGGAATAGTTTACACTGTGAGGCTTCGGGGATGGCATTGCTCGGTTTCCGGGGTTTCTCCTTAGGGCTATTCTTAGCATCATTTATCCTTGAGAGGAGAGAAGCTGAGGGCCCTTCGGACACACGAGTGGCATTGCCTCCCCCTTGTCCTCTGGGTGCCTGCCACAAGTCCACCCTGAGCCCCAGCTGGCTCCCTGCTGGACCCTCACGCCCACCCTGACGTGGCAGGGTCCCCATCCTACGCAGCCAGGTGGCCTCGGTGTTCCCGGAGCAGAGGTCTCTGGACACTCTGGAGGATCCAGGCAGCCGGGGGACAGTTCAGGGTCACAGCAGAGGAATCCAGAGAGGTCTTCCTCTGGGTTGATTCTGGAACCACTTGACTAGGACTGACCTCCCTGAAACCAAGGCACGCTGTGCTCAAAGGCAACCTTGCTTTATTCTGGCACCTTCTCTGTTCAGGTCAATTCAACCAACATTGGTCGGTCACAGCTACCATTTTGATTTCCAAACATCCTGGAATGTCTTTCAGTGGCTCTGAGGTCCTACTGTCATCTCCGTTCTACAGACAGGCAACTAAGGCTCAGGGAGGTCGGACAACTTGCTCAGAGTCACACAGCGGTGGTTGTTGGGGCAGGGTTAGAACTCCATCTCCCACACTCCAAAGCCCATTCCTGGGAAGGACTGTGACCATCTAAGCCAAGGGCAACCCCAAGCGGAGAGTAGGACATGTGTGTTCTGGGAAAGGCAAGTGAGTGGGCTGCCTGGGGCAGGAGAGGAAACTGACAGGGTCCATCTGGAAGAGAGCGAGGACCACCTGGAACGAGGAGGAGGAGCCCTGGTGGCTCTTGAGAAGGGACGGGAGGGGATTCCCGATGTTTAGTTCTGGTGATCGTCAACCTTCTGGTGGCCTCCAGCCCAGCGTCCTCAGAGCCTCGTGCTGCTTCTGTCCTGCATCTTGACCACAGACCGCTGGGCTCTGACCACTGAGCAGGACTGTCCCTTGGGCCCACTCTGCACCCCCAGGGAAACGGGCAGGGATTTCCAGGAGGGCAATCCCGGGGATGCTGGGAGAAGCCTGCGGGCCAGGGTGAGCTGAGAGCGAGCAGGCTGACCTGTTGTAGCCCGAGACACACAGCCCAGAGGTCAGGGCATCTGCTGATACTCAAGCCATCCCCGATAAGTGGCCACGAGCCATGGCTGTAAATGCAGGGCAGGCGGAGGCGGCGTTTGATCTGGGAGTTGAGGGGACCACCGACGGAGGCCCTGCTATCTTGCTGGCCCATCCACAGCAGTGAGGAGCGCTCCCGGGGCCCCCTCCGGGAAGCAGGCCTAGGCTGCCAGCCCTGTCTTCCTCTCCCCGTCCCTATCCTTCATGGATTTCCTCTGAAGACCCACCTCCCTGGTCCTCTGCCCTGTCCTCCCTGCAGCGGACCCACGCGGTGAATGTGTCCCACACGGGCGCCGAGGGATGGGCGCCCGGGGGAGCTGGCCTGTCCTCCTCTGCTGCCCACCCTCATGTGCTCCTGTTCTTTCCAGGGCCAGCCAGGCACGCGAGGCTTTCCTGGATTCCCGGTGAGTGAGGAGGCTGAGGGGGCCGGGGGCCGGGGGCTCCGGCTGGGTTAAACCCCTCCACTGAGGTGGCCCGACGCTGCCCTTTCCCTTCCAGACCCTGGCCGTTAGGACCCGCCTCGGCTGCCTTTCCCAGACACTGGCCGGGGGAGTAGCTCAGGGCTTGGCTCCCCTACACAAATAAAGGGGCCGTAGGGCAGGAGGGGAAGTCGCAAGCTGGAAACCCCAGCGGGACCCTGGACCTGGACAGGAGACCCTGAGAGGAGGCCCACCAGGGTGGCCCTGTGGGTGCCCTTGACTGCTGCCCAGGGGGCCCGAGGCAGGTTCTGAGAGGCAGGACCAGGGGAGCAGCTAGTGCCCTTTTCCTGGGGCCCTCTGCTGAGCCACGCCTGGTGTCCACTCTCTACTTGGGGTAAGAAGTCTTTGGTATCAGTGACAAAGTCACCCACTTGGTTCCACTGGCAGGCAGCACCCATTCCCTTTGGAGAAGGTGCTGTTCTTCTTGCCCCCCTCTTAGGATGGGACAGGAGGCCTGGGCTTACTCACGGTCACAGAACCAGCAAGGGGTCAGCAGGGCTGGGCCCGCGACTCGACAGGAGCAGAGGCTTCACGCCCACCCGCGGCACCGGGCTGGCCCCTGGCAGGAGGCCTGGGGTGCTCCGTCTTTACATCTGTTTTTTCTGCTTTCAGGGTCCCATTGGGCTGGACGGCAAGCCGGTAAGTGGGCCCGCTCAGGCTGGGGGTTGCTCCCCGCCCACCAGGGTCCAGCTCACTAACCCTGGGTCTCACTCCCCCTGCAAGACCCTGACTCTTTGGAAGGTGATTTTGGAAATTATGGGCTGGAAGTGTGGCTGGTGGAGGGGGAGGAGGGGCTATTCCAATGAGCACCCCCACCCCAGTGACTTCCCCAGAGCACAAGGCCCTGTGGCCACGCTGGCCACGCCCAGAATGTGGGGACTCTGCAGTGCCTGGAAGGGGCCTGACCAAGGCAAGAGGCAGCGGAGGTGGAGGAGTGGACAGGTCCACAGTCTAATCCTGAAAGGCCGGCCACCGTCAGGCCCTGGCCCCGGCCCCTGCACCAGCAAGGAGCTCACGCAGAATTGCAGTCTCCCTCCCCAGCCAAGGCCCCCCAACTTAAGGTGGGAATCCGGCCACTCGCCCTGCAGGCCAACAAGCACGTGCTGCCTGGAGACCCCTGGTGGTCATGTCTACTCACCCCCAGGACCAGACACCCCACAGCCAGAGACCAGCCCCACCTCTGCCCGCCTCTGAAGAGCAGGCAGTTGCTAGTAAGGCCCAGAGAAGGCCAGGTGGGAATGACCTTGCTGGTGGACTGGGTGGCCCAGCCAGCGATGGAGTGACCAGATGAGACAGGAAAGAAGCCAGCAGCATGTTGAGGATGGGTAGCCGTCGGGGGAGGGGGTGGGGGGGTCGTCTACCTGGCAAACAGTGTAGCTGCCACTCACTCCTCCCTTCTCCTTCCAGGGCCATCCCGGACCAAAAGGGGACACGGTAAGACCCCAGCTTTCTTGCCTTCTGAGATGGGTTGGAGGGTCATTCTGGGCTCACTGCCCAGAAAAGGTACTGTGGTAGTGACTGCCCCTCACAGGTCACACCCCAGCCATGCACACCAAAAGCCCTGGATCCTCATGGCATGCAGGGGGACAGGTGAGTGAGGCTCTGCCACCCAAGACAAGAACCACCCAGGGGGGCAGCAGGGGGCAGGGGAGTCAGTACCTCACTCCACATTCCCAAGCTGCACCCATGGCTCTTGAGGACAAGCCGACATGGGCACTCCCATTGCAGCTGTCCTTGGAGGTGGCCAGGGACATTTGTACTTAGCCTGATTCCCCTCTCCCACTGCGGGCATTTGTACTTAGCCTGATTCCCCTCTCCCTGTGCAGGCATGTGTACTTAGCCTTATTCCCCTCTCCAACTGCAGGCTGTGCCCTGAGTTGCCCCAGCTGGGCACAGAGGAGAAGCAGACTTCGGCCCCACCTCCCTCCTGACCCTTCCACCTTGTGCAGAACATTTAAAAGGAATCCAGGGATACCCACTCCCAGTGAGTGGCCAGTTCTCAGCAGAGACTGACAGGCCATTGGGAGCAAGTGGGACACCCTGGGCCAGCGTGCCTTCCTGCCTCCCAAGTTTTGCCTCCCGCTCCACTGGCTGGTGGCAGGGTTAGACTCTGTGTGGGTGGTGGGGGCGAGAGCAGGTGTCAGGCTCCCCCATCCTGGCAGCCAGGGTCTGATTCCCCCCTTGCTCCACATGCCGGTGACCCAGACACTGCCAGGTCACTGAGACAGGCAGATCATCCTGTGAATGCAAAGGGAGATGGAGAAGTGCTACTAAGACTCCGGGGGTCAGTCCCAGCTGGGCGACCATAGCAATGGGCTCCTTCCAGGCCTCCCCATCCTCTGGATTCAGATTCAGTTTGCTGTGTGAGCCGCACCGCCCTGAATTCTTCACATGTTCATTGTTGGATGAATATCATAGAGTTACCTACCCAAGCCAGCTACGCCATTTATGTGGTCCATCAATAGCTGGGTGCCACGGCACACACCTGTAATCCCAGCTACTCAGGAGGCTGAGGCAGGAGGATCACAAGTTCAAGAACAGTCTCGCAACTTAGCAAGACCCTGTCTCAAAATAGAATTAAAGAGCCTGAGGATGTAGCTCAGTGGTAGAATGTCCCTGGGTTCAATCTCTAGTACCACAAAACAAAACAAAAGTCACAAACAAATGTGTGCTCCATTATTGACCGAAACATCATTAATGCGGCACATGACTGTATTATCTAATTTATTTCTCAGTGGGAACCTGTGTTCCAGGTCCCATTAGTATCCCCTTTGACAGTTGTAGAAATGGAGACTCAGAGAGTTGAAGTAACTAGCCTGAAGTCACACAGCCAAGAAACATCCAAAACAGGATCCGAACCTAGTTCTCAAACCTTTCCTTCTCCCCTCATGGCCTCCCCACTGTTTTGTTCCCCTCTCTCTCCACCTGCCTTCCCACCTCCTGCCTTCCCCCTCCTGCCTCCCCTTGGTGCCTTTTCATTGAGCATATAAAGTATGCTGGGCACTGCAGTCGGTGCTAGGGATGGAGACAGGAGCCAGAGAGACGCTGTCCTTGCCGTCTTGGAGACACAGCCTAGTGAAGGAGACAAACAGTTAAATAATCCCTCATGCAATCAGCAAATCGCCTTGCAAAACGAGCTATAAAAAGTCAACCCCAATACCCTGAGAAACCTCTGTGTAACTGAACCTCCCTAGCTGAGGATCTGAGACAGCTCTCCTGAGAAGGAGATTTCTGAACTGGGGCTGAAGAATGAGGATTTCACCAAGAGAAAATAGAAAAAGGGATGGAAAGGAACAGTCTGGGTGTGGGAGAACAGCATATGCAAAGGCCCTGAGGCACGGAGTCCTCAAAATTTCAACAGAATGAGCGGAAGGACAGCGAGGCATGGAGTGGGAAAGCAGGACTGGAAGTCAGGGCCCCTAGCACCCTTCCCCCCATCATGGCACCAGGCATCCCTCCCTGCTCCTACTTGTCCTCAAGCACACACACACATGCAGGACACAACAGAGGCCAAAGCAGCAGTAAACTTCCATGACACCGTTGTCGTTGTGGTGAAGCAGCAGGGGTTTGGTTGTTGGGGGTTTGGAGTGCCAACCCCTTTAGCCCTCTGCCCCACCTCCTTCCCCTTCCTAGCAGCCTGACACTAACATAAGGTAGCCGGTGACACCTGGAAAGTGATAATTAACTGTCATCACTAGTCACTGTTCTGGAGTCCTCACGATAGCTCATATTCCCCACTTGAGGGGAAAATTAAGGCACAGAGTGATTAAGTGTGTTGCCCTGAGGCCACACAGCTTTAAATACCAGAGCTAAGATTCAGACCCGTGTCATGGGGTCCTACCCAGGTGCCTTCCTTGTCCGTTAAGGGTCAGAGCTGACTTGGGAGAAAGGGCAGGGCCCTCCCATGCCCCTGAGCCAGTCCAGTATGACAGACCCCTGGCCTGCGCCATCGTCACCCATAGACCCACAGGGCACAGAGCCATTAGACCCCAGCCATTAACTGGCCACTGCTGTCTCGCAGGATTGTCTCCATCTTGTCACCCAACCATCTCCAGCTTGCTCCTCAGGGGACAGGTTCCCCCTCTGGGCACCCCACACTGGGCATGGGGCGCACGTAATCTATACTCTCACCTGTCAAAAGGAGGTCACCTCTGCCCCACCCACCTCACCAGAGCCCCGAGAACCTCAGGTCAGGTGTGGAGGGGTGTCCTTGTGCATCCTGCAAGGGGGGTGTGAACGGCATCTGGATCCCAGGCCCAGGAGCCACACGGGCTGTGCGCAGACCATAGACCCTAAACCCAAGCTGACCCCACCTGGGAGAAGGTGGCCAGGTCATCTGTGGTCTGGCCCGTGGTCCTGTCAGTTGAAGCATCCTCTGCTGAACTTGATACTAGCCAGCCAGGTGGGCTGGGGGTGCTGGGGATGGTCCCGAGGGCCCTTCCTCCTCCTGGGGCCTCCTGAAGTTTCCCACTTTGGAGATTGATCCAGTTGCAAGTTGGGAGCAAGAGACAAGCTCTTCCTGGCACCCTGAGGCCACCCACCCAGATGGCATAAAGCTCAGGGCCCCAAAAATATTGGAGCAGCAGTAAGCTGGGCTCAGTGGCACATGCCTGTAATCCCAGTGGCTTGGGAGGCTGAGACAGGAGGATGGCAAGTTCAAAGCCAGCCTCAGCAATGGTAAGGCGCTAAGCAACTCAGTGAGACCCTGTTTCTAAATAAAATGCAAACTAGGGCTGGGGATGTGGCTCAATGATTGAGTGCCTCTGAGTCCCATCTCTGGACCCATCCCCCCTAAAAGACTAGAGCATAAGGTAGGACCTCCCAGGCCCCCAGGTCAGGGGCTAGAGGGACTTCGGGACCTGGGAGGGTGTCCTGCTGTGGTTGCAGCCAAACCTAGAAGCCCTCCCTCCTGAGGTCCCGCCAGTCCCAAGAGGAGTGGAGTGGGAACACGGGACCTCTGTGGTCAGACAGGGCTGGGCTCCCTCCCTGGCACTGCCCTTCCCTGAGCTGCCAACCCCCTTCTTGGCGCCTTGGCAACCCTTCCTCTTGGGCCATGCCAGTTGAACTTGGCACACCCGGGAGCCCGCCTCACAGGGACCGCCCACAGCCCAGGACGTCTTTGTCAACCCCTCTGTCCACACAACAGCTGTGTGGCCTCCTCGATGCAGGGGACCCCCAGAGCGAAACCCCAGGACCTCTTCAAGGAACGCAGGGCTTTCCCGACCCTGAATTTGACAAGATGCCCTGAAGGTCACCCTGAGACCCCTTGTGTTCCTCCGTGGAGCACAGAACATGGCTCAGGCTAGGTGCCAACCCCAGCCTCCACGGTTCCAAGGTTTCTCCAGAGCCCCAGGGTCTGCAGCACTGGCCCAGCCAGCCGCCCTGTGCCCTGAAGCCCTTCTGGCTCAGTGGCAGAAGGCAGGACATTCAGTGTGTCTTGGAGCTCAGAGTGTGGGACGCAGGACCCCAGAACACCAGCAGGCGCAGGAGCCACTCCCCTTGGGGATCCCGCGAGACACTCGTGGTTGGAGGAACGGCTGAAGGGTGGCATCTGTGGGGACAGGGCCCACCTGGTCATGCACACACCACCTTGAACAGGTCAGGCACAGGGGGACGTGGCTGACAGGCCAGCCTCCAGGACCCCAGGACCCTTGGGGGAAAACACCCAGAACCATCCCAAGCCCACCCAGCCGTGGTTCTCGGGCCCACTCCACCCCCCCGACCGCTGACCTGTGTGTTTCCTCTCCACAGGGCCTGGCGGGTCCCCGAGGACAGCCGGTGGGTACCTCCTCTTCCCAGTTTCCGGCAGAGAGGTTTGGGGCCCCTTTATCCTGGACTTTGACCCCCTAACTCTCTCGTTTCTGTCTCTTTGCAGGGACCCCCAGGACAGAAAGGAGAAAAGGTGGGCACAGGGTCGAGTGTGGGGGTGGCTCCTAGGACGTCCTTCCCACGTGGCTTCCTGACAGCTGGCGAGGGGTCGCCGTGGTCATTTTCAAACTTGAGTTAGATGGACAGGGACCAGGAGAGCCCTGGGGCCCCAGAGCACGTGAGGACAGGAAGGGAGGTGGATGGTGGCATTCCCTTCTTGGGCCGAGGGCGCCTGCTCTGACCCTGGCCCTTTTCAGCTCCTTTCTCTGCCCCTCCCGCCTGCCACACCACGGTGTGCCCTGACCCTTGAGCCTTCAGGGTTACGAGGTACCGATTTGTACACCACTGGTACTCTCGGCCCAGAGAAGGTGTCCTCTGCCTTGGGGCCTGCCATCAGGACTGGTGGGTGGTCACTCCCAGCTCTGCAGGAGGTGTGCTGCGTAATCCCACCCTGTGCTCCCTGGGGCGATTTTCCAACAGCTCTGAGGGGTTTGTCCCTGATGGCAGCCAGGGACAAGGTCTCAGAGGGCTCAGACCAGGGCCTGGACAACAGGCCTCGTGGGTAGAGAGAAGCTTGGTGTGTCCATTGGTCTTGGGGGCCCTGAGGATCAGGCCCCGCAACAAGGACCTAATCACCCCTTTCCTTCCCTCTCCTCTCCAGGGTCAGTGTGGCGAGTACCCACACCGGGTAAGTGAGCCCCCAACTGGGTAGGGCCCTTTGATCCCTCCCTGAGGCACAGTCCCACTAACCTCCTCTCTCCAGAGTCCGAGGCACCCCAGGGCCTGGGGGACAGGAGGCCACAGCCCACGTCACTCAGCAGGAGAAGAGAGGCATGGGGTGGTGGTGTGCTGAGTCAGCCCAGCTGACCGTCCAGGGGACGGGGATCATTGTGTGTGTTTGCGTGGGACTGACTCCAAGTGTCTTGGTCCATCTGTCCTTCTGTCTGCTGACTGGGTGGAGTCTCCCGAACGTTCTGGAACTCCAGCTGCCTGCCCCTCACCCTCTCTCTGCGCCACGTGACTCGCGTGGTCTGTCAAACCCCGCCCACGTCGAGAGCAAGTGTGTGCCCGCGAGAGTGTCCATGTGTGACAGCCTTCCCTGGACAAATATGTGGGGCTTTGGGTTGGTCATTGCTTCATGTGACCCAAACCTGGAGGAGCAGAGATCATGGGGAACTTACCCGTTCAGGGATCGAGTCTCTGCTTGGCCTATGGGGGACAGAGGGAGCCCTCTTCTGGAACATGGGGGTTTCCAGGCTGAGATGGCTCCTCCCCCACCGCTACCTGGGGCTGCTCCATCCCAAAATACAGGACCCAAAAGGCCACTGTGGGCCCACAGGAAGTCCTCATTGTGCACCAACAACAGGCACTGTGCTGGGGACAGGAGAGGACAGGCTGTGCTGGGCTCCCTCCAGCAGGGCCCAGAGGGCCAGCAGCAGAGCCTGTGCATGGGCAGCAAGTACAGAGAGGATGAGCCTGAGTGGGTGGCCACCTCCTCTGTCGTGGGCTCATGGTGCCCACAGACGAACATGTGGCTCCCCTTGGTAACCACCACTTCCAGGCAGTGCTGGGGTGGGGGACTTAGGGGATGGAGATAGGCACAGACCAGGCTCGGGGTGGCCCCAACTCCGGAAGGCCCTGGGAGGGCCCGGCTGGCAGGGGCTCCCTCTGCCCAGCCACTTGGTTGGCAGGAAGGCGTGCATGCCTGTCTCTGACCTCTGTGTCCCTGGGCCAGAGAGAGGCCACAGTGGGCCTGGACTGTGAGAGGCAGGGTTAGGTCTGAGGCCGTGGCTGGGCAGGGCCTGGGATGGGGGACCCGAGCCGGCAGCAGTGCAGACAGAGCTGTGTGGCGTGGGCTCCCGGGGCGCAGGGCCTGGTGTTCCCGCCTGATACACAATAACAGAAGGGCAGCTGGGTTGATTTGAAATGATGGACTCACGGGATTGCTATGTTACCCGGGAGAAAGACAGCATCCCCCGGCCCAGGGACAGCTCGCCGGAGACACTCAGGCAGTGTGTCATTGGCCCTGAAGGAACGCTTGGGGAAGGAGAGGACGGACCCTCTGCCCCTCAGCCCAACACAAGGAGAGGGAAGAGAGCAGTGATGGAAGGTTCCAGAAGTGCCCTGGCCACAGAGAGCAGCCAAGCATAGCCTTAGTGCTGAGGCAGTCTGGGGAGGGAAGTGATTTGGGCACCCTGTTGATGGACAGAGCACGCTGACTTAGAAGAGGGCGGGATGCAGGGCTTCTGACAGCCCGCTGACTTCCACGTGGGCCTCGGGCATGGCGGGGTGGCCGGCCTCATGGAGAGCCAGGCTGGGTTGCTGGAGTCAGGGTTCTCCCTCTCCCTCTACCCATCACCCTGTCTCTGCCGCCTTCGTCCCCCAACCAGGAGAACCCGAGCAGCCCCCCAGCGGCTCTGCGCTCCAACCAGATAATTACCCTGAAGGTTGGTAGTCCTGGAAGGTCTCTGGCCCCTCTCTGCCGAGAGGCTTCCTGGACACCAAGCCCAACATGGCACACCGCCGGCCCCCGTAGCAGGAGGGGTAGGGCCCTGTGAGTGGCAGCCGCCTGTGGTGGTGACCTGGAGGGACCCCTCCGTGGGGCTTCCAGTTCCTCAGCTGGGCACCTTATTGGCACAAATGCCTCCTGGTTCTTAAGGTTCCTTGCAGGAGCCTCCCCTTAAAGTGCTTTTGAAAACAAGCGGTTGATTCCGCACCATCTTGGCACATGGATTCTAACTGCTTCCTAAAGCCATGGGTCACTCGGCATTCAATGCACAGAGGGACAGGAAGCAGCAAAAATTTTCAGAAATAAAAATCACATTAAGGAACCAGACCTGGTGGCGCACACCCGAATTCCTAGCTACTTGGGAGGCTAAAGCAGGAGGTCACAAACTCGAGGCCAGCCTTGGCAACTTAGACCTTGTCTCAAAATAAAATAAAATTAAAAGGGTGGGTGAAAGGGCTGGTGCTGTCGCTCTGTGGCAGGGCTCTTGCCTAGCAGGAGTCAGGCCTGGTTTTTCAGTCCCCAGTAAAAAAAAAAAAATGCAAATTGCCTGTTCCCCCCTAAAAAGTGGTTGACCACTCCGGAGACCTCTTTACCCAGCCTGTTTTCCAAACCTGCCAGCCCCAGCGGGAGACCTCAGCAGCACTTAGCATGTGCCCACGCGCACCACACCCTGGGCCGGCGCAGCCCAGGACCCCGCTTGACATCCTCCTCAGAGTAGCTGACCTCAGCCTTTCTCGTCCTACCAAAAAAGATCCCAAAGGAGGCCGCGCACCAGCTTGACTTCAAGTACCAATTTAGCTGGTCTGTGGCTTTTAAGCCAGAGCCTCCGAGTCTGCAGTGGTCAGCGTCTGTCCACTGAGCAGGGATGGGCAGGGCTGGCCGTGCCATGTTGGGCCATGTGTCAGGTGGCCGCTGCATGGCCAAGGAGAGCCACTCCCCGATGCTCGGGGCTGCTGGCCAGAGCCCCAAGCTCCACCCTGGAGGCCAAGGTAGGGTGCAGACTGAGGGCCACTCCTCCTTTGAGGGACAGCTGTGCCATCTAAGGGCCAGCTGAGAGTGCCCGTCCATGTCTGCCCTCCAGTCCCCAAGCTCACGCTAACCTCTCTTCTCTCTTCCTCTCCTACGACCCTCTTGGCCACTCTGCCCTCCTGGTGACTTTCGGCATCGTTCTGAATACCTGCGACCTTTGGCCTTTGCCCTCTGGCCTTCACCTCATCTCTCTCCTCAGCTGCTGCCTCTCCTCAATTCCGTGCGCCTGGCTCCACCCCCCGTCATAAAAAGGCGGACCTTCCAGGTAGACACCTTCTGCTTGCCAACCTGCACGAGGGACTCAGCCACTCTCTGGGCCCCACAGGCAGGCTGGGGCTGTGGACCAAGCCAGAACCTGGCTCTAAGATGGTTAAACTTAATCAGACAGACATGGACCCTGATACCATAGACATGAGCACGCGCACGCCCAGGCCCTAGAGAACCGCGATTTCCACCAGACCGTCACCACTCGGCCACCAGCCAGGCTGTCACTGCAGCCAGGGACTGTGCTATCCATTGTTCGGGCCTGATTTTATGTAATTCTCTCAACAGTTTTAGGAATTAGGCATAGAGGTGAAGTAGGTGAAGCCAAGTCACACAGAGCAGGGACCCGCCCAGGTTCTCTGCCCGTGAATAGCTGTATGATTTTAAGCAAGTGCCTTCTGGGCCCTCTCTGGGCCTCAGCTTCTCATCTGTAGAATAAGAATAATAACAGTGTCTACTTCACAGGGCTCTTGTTGTACATGAGGAAAGGTGGAAATAGTTCCTGGCACATAGTTCCTGGAAATAGTTCCTAGCTGTTGTTGTTACTGTTACTCATATTTGGAAACAAGGAAATTGAAGCTCAGAGAAGAGAGTTGATTGACCCAAAGATACACGCACAGTGAGAGGGAGAATTGGAACCGGCAGCCAGGTCTTTGAACCCACATCCAGGGCTCTCAGTCAGACCTACTTAGAAATGCTGATTGCTCAGCATCTGGTCACCTGTAACCTGAGTGTGAGGAGTGAGGGCTTTGGCAGAGGGAATACAGCCCACAACCACTAGGTGTGATCATTGTGAGCAGCTACTTCCTTCTTCCTGCCTTGCTAACCTAGGAGCTTGGGATGGGGAAAAAAGCAATTTCTCCCCTGCTCTCCAAAAGGTCACAGCTTAATTCCAGGTCAGGGAGCCCAGGGCTGCTCACCTTGCCCCTCACTGTCCTTACACTGCACAGGGAGTGCCCCAAGTCCTGGGCGTGGCAGGACTCTGAGCAGCCCTCTGGAAGCTCGGATGCCCAGGCCCCTGACCGGCCCAGGCTGAACAATCACTCCCACAAACAGCTAAAAATACAGAGGGACGCACCACGCACACCCTACCCAAGGCCCAAGGCTGCGTATCACGTTACCCGGCCAAATCCTCCAGAGCCTCCACGCGCTCCAGCGCTTACCCAGCAGGGCAGCTCAGAGGCAGCTGGCGGCCCAGAGCAGCCCCAGGCCCGCCCCACCGCCCCCAGCCCTGCCGTGCCAGACCCCACTGCAGGGGAGCCCCTCCTCCGGGCCCCACACACGGCCCCTCATGGCCTGGGCGGGGTGGGCTGCTCTTTGTGGCGCCCTTGCTGGGGTCAGGCGTTGGCGGGAGCACTCTGTGCAGATCATCTCAGTCACCCCAGCTCAGCCACCAGGCGGGGGGCAGGTACCATGCTTATCACCCCCACTCGGCTGAGGAAGACGCCGAGGGCCCAGGATTCCATCCCGGCCACCACAGGTTGCTTTTCCAGAGCAAGGGGTGGCTGAGCCAGAACCTTCTATGTGCCCTGACCTGGTTCCCAAAGCAGGAGAGAAGAGGGGCCCCTCTGCTTCCTGCTCTGGACTCTGCCAGGGGAATGGGGTTTCTATGCGGCTGGCCATCCTGGGCTATGAAAAGCTGGTCCATTTCCTATCGATAAACCAATATCGATTCTACAGGCTCTGCAAGTCGGCCCGAGATGAGTTGAGAGAGGAAATTTTACATAAGCTCTGATGTGCTTAGCAGATGGTGCTGGAGGTCATTTCCAAAGTGCAGAGAATTGGAAGGAGAGCCCATCTTGACAGGGCTTGTTTCAGTGGAAAGGAGAGAGCCTGGGCTTCGGATCGGGGGTCCTGGCTTCACCTAGAATTCTCCGCGTGACCTCAGTGAGGGGGCTCAACTTCTCTGAGCCTCGGTTTTTCTCTTCTGTGAAGTGGAATTGGCAATGGAAGATTCTAGAATTTCACAGTCAGAAAGGACCTCTGGGACTTGATTCAGATCGAGCCTTCCCTGCCCAGTGAATTATCCTTCAAAAATGTAGGAACATTCTGGAGAATCTAAGGCAGAGGAGGGGTGTGGAGGATCCTGAGGGTGACTGAGGACTCCAGGGCCTTCGTCGGGTTTCATCTGGTTGGAAAGGAAGCTACAGTGGTCCCTCTGGAAGGCCAAATGTAGTGAAGCCTCTCTGGGTTCAGGAGAGACACGGTCCCCTAGGACCCATCAGCAACCCACATGAAGCTGGGCAGGGCCAGGGCGATCCCTGAAGTGATTTCCACACGCAGCAGCTTCCACCTCCACCATGGACACCCGGAGCCCTTACAGTGGCTTCTCGGGGTTTGGCAGGATGGGGCCAGGCCCCGGAGCCTGGCTGCTGGCTGCATCCTCTGCCCTAGGACCTTCTAACTGTCAGCCTGTGCAGCCATTGTGGCCAAATCTCCCACCTCCAGCTCCCAGGTCACCAGCTCCTGTCTAGAGTCACTATGTCCCTCGTGGAGTCCACAGCAGGACTCTTTGGCTCCCCTCTTCCCACAGAAAAGCAGGAGAGCCAGGGGGTCCTCTGGGGTCACACTGAACAGGGAGGGTGGCCTGGAACTCCAGCCTCCTGTGCCCCCCTGTGTCCAGGAGCTCTCCCGCCACCAGTCATTCTGTCTAGAGGGACGGTTCCTCCCTGAAACAGCTGAGCCCCAATCCTCCCTGCAGAGGTCTTTTATAAAACGATGTCATGGCCCAGGACAAGGTCTAGGATGGCTGGCTTGCCCCCAACCCCAGATCTGAGTCACATGGACCAGGCTCTGGCCTGCTGATGAGGGAATGCAATGTCACCCTGGCCTTCCTGGGCTCTCAGCACATCCTAGGGACAGGCCTGGAGGGCTCAGTGCAGTTGGGTCAGAAATGGGGCGGGTCGAGAGACTAGAACTCACAATTCCATATGGGTGTGACGTCCTGGACAGCTTCAAAGGCTTTTCAACCAAGCCAAGGGCTGCAAACCTCTGAGGTCAGGCAGATCTGGTGGTGACAGAAGCAAGCCACAGGCAAGAAGGGGTAGGGAGGGCAGGGACCACCCGACCAGAACACTCCTGTCCCACCTGAATGAGGTGGCTGTTCCAGGATGCAGGGATGTGGGTCCAGGGTTGCCAGGGCTCCCGGATTCTTTTGTATCAGATGCCACCAATCCAAATTGGTCACATAAAGTCTCCTGTTGAATTAAACAAGAAGCCAAACAGAATCCCAAGGCCTCCGACCTAAGGGCCTCCTTGACCATCTGGAGCTGACCTTCAACAAGGGCTAAGACCTGAGGCAGGAGAGAGGCTGGGCTCAGCGAGAGAGGGTGGCAGAGGGAGGCCTGGATGGCAGACCACCTGGGCTGGACTCTGGACATCCAGCCAGCCTAGGAGCCGGTGGGGGCTGTGTCACTGTCTACCGCTACCCCACACAGGGCTCTGCCTGAGGACCCACTGCTCTGTGCAGCCAAGTTCTCTCTGAAGCCCCACCGCTTGGGGACCTCATGTCTTCACCCTCTTCTCGCTGCCATCAGCCCCTGCATGCAGTCACCAGCACCACAGCGTCATCACCATCACGCCACCGTCTCCCCCACTGTCACCTTCCCAACAGAGCCCATGTGGGGCCTCACTGGGTGCATGGTCCTGGGGTGGGAACCGGTCCTTCTCTCCAGGGATCCTCTCTCTAACTTTCATCTCAATAAACCTCAGGGCGAACAGGGCCAGGCTGGCATCCAAGGCCCACCCGGGCCACCAGGCCCCCCTGGACCAAGTGGACCTCTGGGACACCCAGGACCGCCAGGGCCCATGGGGCCACCTGTAAGTATCCTTCCCCTGTCTCCTTCAACATTCAGCCCAAGAACTCTCTGGAAACCTCCGAACCTTGAATAGCCAAAGCGAACCTGAGTTCCCTCTGTAAAACCGAAGCACCCTGGCAAGGCTGCTGGACGTGGGTGGCCGTGTGAGGAGCTGCCCTTCAGGGGCACTCCCCTGTTGCCCTCCAGCTCTGCAAACACACCTGCTGGGTTCATGTCCATGTGTCGCCTTCCTGTAGGGAGACCACTAATCGGCTTCCCCTTTCCCAGCCTCAGCAGAGAGCAACTTGGAGAGAAAATCTCCCAGGGCCACTTTTGATGGCTGTCCCAGACCCCTGGGCTCAGGAAAACCAAGTCAGAGGCAGTGGTTCTGAAAGGCTACGAGGGGGCATGAACACGCTTTCCACAGTGTGTGTTTCCCACTCTGGGCCCCCTGCCAGCCACTTAGAGGGACCAGCCTCCGGCCTGAGAATTGGCAGGGCCTCCACTAGGAGAGGTCCAGGGGGCAACAGAGACCCCTTTCCAAGTGATGGTCAAACCCAGTGGCCACCAACTTGCCCACGTTCAAGCCATGGCCAAGATCCTCCTCCTCCTCAGCCCATTAGCACAACAGAGCCGCTGGGCAGGACAACTGGGCATGTGTCTGGACTTCTTCAGAGAAGAAGGGAGAGGACCGAGTCTATATTTTCAGAGGGATGGGGCTAAGGCAAAATCAGCTTCCCTTTTAATAATGTTTTTCCTGTGGGTTGAAAAAAAAAGTTTTCTCTCTTATGACAAAGTTATCATGCATTCATTGTGAAAAAAATAGCAACATAATGAGGGATTGTTTTAAATGGCCTCTTTCCCCACATTAGAGTTCACCCTGTTAACATTTGGGGGAGTCCTTCCTTACCAGCCATAAACAGGGTCCAGGTTGGTAATGTTCTAAATCCCTGAACAGTTGGCATGTGAAGTTTTTCACTTCATGTCATGAAGCTGGGCTGTATCAGAAGAGAGTCCCTCATGATATCGATTTCGGGGCTGCTGGGCTATTTATAACTTAGCGAATGAGTCCCCTTGTGCAATCTATATCCTGGAACAAATGTTTGTGCACATCTCTGAGGGTGTCTCTGAGGTAGATCTAAGAGGTGGAACCACGGGTCCGGTGTCCCAGACAAATGGCTTCCACTGTGTCTGGCCACATTGAGATCAGCCAGGTTTGAGTCTGAGCCCCTCAGCTCCCTCCTGGGCTGATCCTGAAGCTCAGTGTTGGGTCCCTCTGGGCTGGGGGACACTCTGTTTCGAAGGCCATTACCACAGTATGAAAGTCAGGGTTACTAGAAGCTGGCTCCCCTGCTCTGCTCGGCCCCAGCTCAGATTTTAAATCTTTCTGTAACTTCTCCCCATGACCCCAGAGAGGGAGATTAGTCTAACGTCCACCAGTCTTTACATGGGAAAATGGAAAACCGGGAAGGAAGTGCATTTAGAAGATTAAACCAAACCAAGCCAAGAAAACCAAAGTGCTCAAAATCCCCCTCTCTGCTGACCACCGCTCTCCCGCTCAACACAGGAGCTCCCCTCCGAGGAACCAAGCCAGGTGGTTTTCTTTGTTAGGTTGTTTATAAGGAACAAACCAGAAGGCAAGTTTTTAAAACCAACTGAAACAGGCCAGACCTAGGCATCGTGGTTTCCTGCGGCCCACGCTTGCTGCCCAGACCTACGCCCGAGACCGAGATGGAGCCAGCCTCCCCTGGCCTCTCCCTTTGGCTTCCAAAGGCCCCTGGTCCCACCCCACCTGACCACAGACAGCTGCTGTGGTCACAGCACCCTGGGCAGAGGGAGACAGCGGGCTCCTCTGAAGGTGGGCAGGGCCAGGGCAAAACTGAGGCCCTGCTGGGTAAGGTTGGTTTTCCAGGGAGGGATCCCAATTAGGAGGCGGGTGGGTGAGGACCTAGACCACACCACATGGTCAATTTAGCATGAGGTCACTGACCTAGTTTCCAGGGGCTGAGCCCAGCAGAGTTGCCCACGGCGCCCATGTGGTTCCAAAAAGGGACACAAGCCTGCTGTCCCCAAGTGCCCTCCACAGGTTCCAGATGTTCTTCTGGGTGCTCTAGAACGGTTCTCTGCATACCTGTTCTCTCGTGATGGCTGTCAGGAGCCGCTCTGGCGCAGCCTGCACCATAAACCCACCTCACCTCGCTTACCTGTGGAAACCACCCCCACTCACCTATTTCTTGCTTCCACAGGGCTTACCTGGGCCTCCTGGACCGAAGGTGAGAGTCCTCCTGGGTGGCGCATCAAACAGGTGGGAGGGTTCCCTGCGGGAGGGGGCTGAGGAAGGAGCTAAGAGACCAGCCAGCTTGGCTCATTTCCAAAGCCCCACCGTCCCTGTAGGAGCTGCTCCGGTTCCTGCCCGTCTTGCCCCTCTGCAGGTTCAGGCCTGAGCTGCAGCCGCCATAGGAAGTTTATGTTCTAAGAGACTCAAGGCAGATTCCCGCGACACCATCACAATATCCCAATAAAATAGTGTCCGCAAGGTTTCAGAGCTGGAAGCCACCTTGGAGTCATCTGGTCTCTTATTAAACCTTGCACAGAAGCGCACAATGTCAAAGAGACCCTCCCTTTGAAGCTGAGGACTCTGAGGCTCTGGGGACAAGGACACTGATTTCACCCTTCCATTTTATGAATGTGGGAGCTGAGCACCCTGGGAAAAGTGGCTCGTCCACCTTCCACAGAGTCGTTGGTGGAGCCAGAACTGACCATCAGGGGTCCTGAGTCCCTGACAAGCTGGCCCTTCCCAGAGTGCCTCAGCCAAAGGGGGCTGTGTTGAAGAGCAGAAGAGTCTCCAAGGACTCTTGTCCCAGGGGCGGCTGGAGGTGGCTGTGTGTGTTTCCCACTCTGGGCCCCCTGCCAGCTACTAGGGACCCCTAGAGATTTGGAGTTGTTGGGAGGAAGGGAAGTGGTATTGTGGGGGAGCAGTGCTGGCCGTTTTGGCATTGGGAAAGTCACCTGATGGCTGTCTCTTTCTTCCCAGGGAGACCCGGGGATCCAGGGCTACCATGGCCGGAAGGTAAGAAGGAGGGGAGAACCCTAGCCCTGGGCAGCCATGAGGGGCCCCACAGAGCCCACAGAGCTGGGCTCGGTTATGCACAAGTACATTAGATATGTACCACCCCGTGTGAGCTTCGCATCACTTGTGAGGTTGCCTGAGCAGGGTTCAGTGTTTCCACTGGGGAAAGGACAGGGGCAGAGGCAGGAGGGCTCTGGGCCTGGCATACCTCAGGCCCAGGAGAATCCCTTGTGCCCACCTGGGCAGCCATGTCTGGACTGGCCCCATGGGGGTCTGATCAGTAGAAGGAAGATTACAGGACCCTCCCTGGGTCGAGCTCCATGCTGAGCTTGGGGACCATGGATGGGGACCACCCTGCTTTCTGGCAGCTACCAGATCAGGAGACAGAAGCATTCCTGTACCAACAGCCCTGGTGTAACAATATGGTACCTCACAAGGTGCTTGTGCATACAGGGGTCAGGGGGATGCAGGTAAGGAGGGGTTCCAGAAGTGCCCTGGGAGAAGACAACCAAGAACTCAACTCTGATGAGTGGGGACCTGTGTCACTCAGCTATTGCCACGTAACAATCCATTCCACATGTCCGACTTAAAACAAATATTTATTCCACATGATCTATGCATTGGTGACCTGGGAGTTCGGCTGGTCTCACCTGGGCTTGCTCATGGGGTTGCTTATCAGATGATAGCTGGAGGGCCAAGACGGCCTCATCCTTGTGTCTGATGGTTGATGCTAGCTGGGGGCCTCGGCTCTCTTCCCTGTGGCCTTTGTCCTCCAGTTACACGGGCTTCCTTACACCAGGGCAGGCCCCGGACAGCATTCAAAATGAGCAGCTCTTGGGACACAGGCACTTTCCCAAAACCTGCTGACGTCACATTTTTTAATGCCCTAAAAGTCAAAGCAAGTTACATGACTAAGTCACGTGCCTCAGCATAGGAAGGACCTTGGTCTCCACTGCTTGATCAGACGTGTAGCAGAGCATCTGTGGTCATTTTCAGTCCACTCCTGCCATCCTTTCAGCCTGCCAGTTTGAAGGGAGAGGTTATTTTAGACAGGAAACAATTCAAGCACAGGCCCAAGAGCAGTCGTGACGGTGACTGTAAGAGCATAGTCACTACTTACTGAGCCCCTGCTACACTCCCCACACCATCCTTCCACCTGGTCTGTTTCTAATCCTATCGGCCTGGCGTGGCCCTGCTTCTGTTTAGTAGGTGGGGAAACTGAGGCTCGCGTCATGGCTTGGAAGAAGCAGAGCAAGGATTCAAGTCCAGATTGGGGTTCTTCCAGTCTCACCTGCTGCTAGGAGCTCATCCCTGCCCTCCTGCCCCCGGATGGGAAGCTTCCAAAGCCTTCCAGGAGGAAAAAAGAGGCAGGATGGAGAGGCACCAGGAGGAGGAAGGCATGTTGGAAGGGGAGGACCCATTCAACCATGAAACACACTCCTCACTCCTGCAATCAATAGGGCAGCTGCCATCGCCACGTTGTTTTATGGGTGCTCGGCGGGTGAAATGCTGAGGCCTGAGAGATCTTTAATTAGTTTTGCATAAACTGAGAAACTTGTAGTATGTCAGGAAGTGGAAATTATAGCTCCCACAGTTGCCTCTATCCACTCATGCAGACTCACAAAATTTACTGCCTCCTGGTGCAGCTCAGGGTTGGTTTTCCCATTAGAAGCCAGATCAGCTCTCTCAAGCTGTGAAGGGGCTGAGGGGATGGAAGAGGGTCCCCAGGGGTCATGGCGATGCCCTTAGCTGGCATCATACCATGTTGGGTGCCTGCATCTGCTACAAACCAGAATTCTGGTTCCTCCAAAAAGGAGGCATACCTCAGGCCCAGGAGAATCCCTTGTGCTCACGTGGGCAGCCATGTCTGGACTGGCCCCATGGGGGTCTGATCAGTAGAAGAAAGATTACAGGACCCTACCTGGGTAGAGCTCCATGCTGAGCTTGGGGACCATGGATGGGGACCACCCTGCTTTCTGTTGTTCTTGTCTCTTGTTCTGGGGATGCAGAGGCCCCAGCTGAGGCTAGGTGTCCTGACGCTAGAGCACCTGGGCCCGGGAGTATGGCCATCCTAAGTGCAGACTGTAGCAAGAATCCTTCAACTCTGGCTGCATTGAATTTGCAGAGAAAACAGGGTAGTTCAGGGCAGCTCCTGGCCCCAAGAAGCCAAGAGGCTAGCTCTGGGGATAGAAGGAGGCTCCTTCAAGCATCACTTGCTGAGGGTGGGGGCAGGTGACTAGGGAAGAGCAAATAGCTAGGGGCAACCCTCCGGGAAGAGCAATCCCAGCTCCACCAGAGGAGCCTCCCAACGCCAAGGTCCTTGGGACAGAGTGGGGGAGGGAAGGCAGGTGGGTAGGGGGCTCCCTTCCTGGGTTGTTCAAGTGGAAGGTGGGTAACGCTGGTCTGGGTTGTGTTCAGATGGGAGACTGGGTTAAAAGCCCTCCCAGTTCAGGGAAGCCATGGCTTGCTGGGGACAGATTGGCTGCACATTGCCAGAAGGAGCAGCTCCTAGCTTTGTGGGGAGACTTGGGCTCCTTCTGCCTGTGTCCAAGTCTTTTAAACCCACATGCAGAGCTGTCAGAAGCATCAGCACTCTCAGGACTCACAGGAAAGAGGAGAAGGCCCTCCTCTCCGTGCTGGACTCTCGCCTCCCTCCCTTCTTTCTCTGCCAGACCACCAGGCTCTGCTCTTCCACCCCGGCTTCTTCTCTTGCAGTGTGGAGAGGCTGGGGACGTGGCCCCCCTCCCTGCTTCTCTGGATCCCTGGAAGGCTCCTGCAGTCCTACAGGCTGGTGGCTCCCAGCCCAGGACAACAGCAGAGGGTCCCACTCCCAAGGATGTGGGGGCACTCCTCAGCCCCACGGGGATTGGTAGGTGTCTTGACCCTAGTGATTGCCACGTCTACACGGAAATTTGCTTCCCCTCAGAATCCCGAGATGAAGAGTTTTTTTGTTTTGTTTCTCTCTCTCTCTCTCTTTTTTAATCGTTGATGCCCAAGACAAGTTTGCAATACTTCGCGTCTCTGGGTTAGCCAGAGTTCAATCATAGGCTGCCTCACTTGGTCCTGTTGCCCAGTGGTTAGAGCTCCTCCTCCCATTGTATAGATAAGATGTTCAGAGAGGTTAGCCCTTGGCCCAAGGTCGTACAGCTAATGTACAGCATGCTGGGATGAGAAGCCACATCTCTTGAATCCACGCCTGATGGCAGCCTTAGACCACCCTCCCCGTGGTTTCCCTGGGATGGGGAGGCTGATCACCTGAACTCCCTCCCTGAGACCAGCAGCCCTCCCCTCCCTCTCTTTTCCCTTGGAAGAGCTCAGGTAGGAGGCTGAAGGGGGCGTGGTCACACCTGCTTGAAAGCTGCGTTTGCTCCCCCCCACCACCCCAGGGAGGAGCTGGAGCCCGTGGGTGGGAATAGGGCTGAGACAGAGACCATGTGACTGCCCCTTGCTGTCAGGGCATGAGGGGACCCAAGGGGTCATGCACGGATCCATCAGGGGAGTGTCCCTTGACACATGTGCAGGGAGGCCTCTTTCAACCCAGGGTAGAACCGAACTTCTCAGCCTGCTGAGGATCAGCCCCTTCCACTGCTACCTCAACCCTACTGCTGGACTGGGCCTGGCGTCCTCTCAAAGGGCAGCAAGGCCAGCTTCTCCACCAGCTTCTCAAGACCAAAGCCCAGCACAGTCTGTGCTCACAGGCCAGCCCTCCTGCCTAGACACTGGGAGCATCGCTGAACACCCACGTGGTACGGACTCCATCCACATTTATGACATGGATCTACTTTAAATACGCGGCAAGACAGAATGTGTTCAAAGCATTGCCACCTCGGCTCCCTTACAAGAGAGTCACTGGCAGACTATTTGGGTCACAGAACCTGATGGGAGCTCATCTGTATCAGAGGTGGTACTCATCCCAAGTGGGGTTACGGCTGCCACCTCTGCCCTGAGGTGTTAAGCTTCAGGGTTCGCATGGAGAACCAGGCTGTGGCTCACAGTGCCTCCTGCAGGCTGCTCCAGACCAGAGGAGCCCGGATGCCAGGGCCACTTGCTCCAGGAGGCCTTAGAGACAGTCCTCGGGGCAGGGGCGCCCAGGGAGGAGAGCCCAGGAGCAGCCCCACCTCATTCTCCTGCTGAACGGTGCGATGATTCTGATCCGCCCGTCAGAACGAGGGCCAGGACGTCACTCTAGAACTATGGGCAGCGGTGTTATGACTGCCTTTCTGAGTCTCCCCCCCAAGCGAGCTGTCCCCCTGTGACAGCCCCGTGAGACGGGTCTCACTCCTACCCTGGCTTACGGAAGAGCACTGCGAGGTTCACAGAGGCTCTCCCCCGGCCCACAGACAAAAAGTGGCAGAGCCGGGGCTGCTGATCCCAGAGCCTTACTCTGAGTGACTTTACTCCCTGTGTTGCTTGGGCCTCAGGGACCCCAGGATATCCAGTAAGCCTCCCCCTCAGTCCTTCCATGGGAGAAAGCAGAGGTGGACGCTGTTCTCATAAGAAGGCCATGACTGGATTGAGGCCACCTGGCGCCTCCAGCCCTACCTGAGGACCTGTGGCAGAATCACAGAGGACTTGTTGCCCTGTTCAGTCAAAGACTAAGGAAATGGAGTGCTTTTCCCACTAGCACCCCCTCCAGTGATTCCCCAGGCGGTTGGGACTGTCCCTGACATCCAGTGCCACCATGAAGCTTCTCTCCACCCTCTGCAACAGCTCCTCCTGAAGGTTCCTGCACCCCTGCTGCTCCCCAAGGGCCAGAGTGACCCCAGGCCTCCAGGGGCGTTCACATGCTGCAGAGGGCTCCGGACAGATGGGAATCTGTGGGGTAGGGACAGCATTTTCTTTCAAAGCCATGAAATCTCAGTGGGGATGTCCAGACCATTTAAATTAAAGCAGATCAGAAAACTGAGACACTAGCCCCAGATCTGAGGCCCCCCGGGGGCTGCAGGGACGCCAGCCCCCACCCTGTGCTCTCTGAGCCCGGTTTCTTCTGTACTCCAAAGTCCACAGATTAATTAGAGCTGACTTTTCTTTTTGGAACTAACTACAAAATCAACCGATCTCAAATTGAGATTACAAGCCAGCCGCCCTTCCAAAGCCCTGGCCTTCAATGGGGCGCCCGACCCCGGTAATTCCCTAGATCACTTCCTGCCGGCCCTAATTACCGGAGGACCTGGGATTTCCGTGGTTCCGGTCCTTACTGGTCTGGAGACTGGCTGGGGCAGGGAAGCAGGAATTGAGCTGTGTTTTTCCCGGAAGGGAAGCCTGGGAACTTTTTCTGGGGGGAGAAAGGCATGAGCACCCCACCCCCATCGTTTCCAGTCCAGGGAAGGGCCCTGGTCCAGGCCTGTGCCTGCTGCTGCCTGCACCCCCCCCCCCAGCCCTCCACCCCCCACTCAGCCAGGCCTTCCTCCTCCCCTGCAGAGAACAAAGGCTCCGTGTTCCTTGCCTTCAGCCCCGGGCCCCCCCCCCACCCAGACCTCAGGTTACAGGGGTCCGTCATGTCCTGGAGTTTCCTGGCCTGACCTTTGTTTGGCTGGGAGCTGACCTTGAAGCCCCCTACCTCCCTCTAGACCATCTCAGTCGCCAAGTCCCTGCCCAGCCCCTTCAACAGACAGTAAATCACCAATTGAGAAGCCACTCCTACAGGACCAGAGTGCGGCCTGTGAACTCCAAAGTGCTTGCTGGCTCTGTCCTGTCTTGAGGGATGGGTCTTCCACCTGGAAGCTGTGCAGAACAGAGGACCTATTGATGCCACACTGCGCTCGGGTGCAGCCTCCCCACCCCCACCCGGAGCCTGAGTGGCCGCTCTGAAGTGGAGGCTGGGACAGGCCTCTAAGACCAGGCAGGGCAACCTCTCTCCCCCCAGGTCCTCCCTGGGGGGGCCTCCTCAGCTTCAGCAACTGCGGCCCACCTTTTCCAGGCTTGGTTCTTGGCATCAAGTTTAAAGAGCCGGCCTCCCAGAGGGTGGCCAGTCACAGCTTCTGCCCTCACGCGCCTCACAAATGGACCAAGACCCTTTGTCACTCTTGGGACGCCCACTTCCCCAGCCACAGAATGACCTAGATGGCTGAGAGTCCCTGGGGAGCCGGTGAGGTCCCCACTGGGAAGACAAGGAAGGGAGGAGCAGAGACAAATCAGAGCCCAGCAGCCCCTGAAGACCCGCCCAGTCCTGAGCCAGTGGATGGAAACCGCGGCCAACTCCTGACCTAAAACGTCGAAAATAAGAAAAGGAGCGCTCTGGATACATTTCACAAAGACCAGCCACAAGGAAGGCTCCGCGATCGGAAGTGTGTCCCCATCCTCCTTCAGCCAGGTGTCCTGCCAGTGTGCCCTTGCCCGGGTGACCCTAGACCCTGGAGGATAACCATGGCCCCCTCTCACCTTATGCACGGTCAGGAAGCAAGGTCTCCTGGTCTAGGAGAGACCAGCACCACCCCCAGCCCCGAGGTCAGGCAGGGCCAAGCCCACAGCCTGGGGCCCTGAGCCTGACTCTAATGAGCGAGGAGGGAGCTGCAGGGGTGGGTCACCCAGGAACCCCTGCTTCCTGCCCAGCAAAGCAGGGGTGGGGCCTAGAGGGGGATCAAGGGAGCTTGGGTCATTTGCAGAATTAACAGACTTGACCCAGAGGAGAGGGAAGGTTGAGGGTCAGCCACCCTGCCGAGGAGGCCACCTTCCCAGGAGGCTCCGGGGAGCCGGGAGCACATGGTGTGTCTTTCCGTTCAAACCCACGTGGGCTGAGGACAACGCCAGTGAGCCTGGAGACCTCTCACCCCGGTTTTGTTCTGCACAGTTTCTTCAGAGATGAGCGTGAAGCAGGCCTCACCTTTCCAACTGCCCTCCAGTTTTAGGGTGCTTCTCCCCGCAATAGCCGTTGGCAGGAGGAGGGACTGCAGAGCCCCCAGGACCCTTCCCAGAACTGCATCTGCATTCACAGCTAAGGCTCCCTCCCCAACCGGGCCTTTTTCCCAAGCTGCCAACCTAGTGAATGTCCCCACCTCTCCTAAGGGTGTACAGAGGAGCCAGGACAGGGCTGGGTGGCAGGAGAAGGCGGGAGCAGGCCTCTGGTCTAATCTAACTGTGCAAATGAGGAGTCTGGGGCAGAGAGGGCAAGTGGCTTGCAAAGAGTCATACAGACGCCCCAAAGGGCCGCGGGAAGAGCGGGGCTGGAACCTGGGGGAAGCTGAGGGAAAGAGGAAGGGAGGAGAGGCCCCTGAACAGTCAGGGGCTCCTAAGCTGATTTCCCACCTGTACCCCACCAAGGGATTCTATCTGGGGACTCCAGGATGAGTCAGCCTGGTGGAGCCAGTTGGAGTGTTAGCAGGGGACCCTGGTCCTTCAAAAGAAAGGGTGACGGGGCCCTCCACTGACGCTCCTAAGAAGGGCCTCTGAGCACCATCCCAGCCAACTTCAGACGAGATCCTGTCCCGCCCCCTGCTGGCCACAGTGCAGAGCTACATGCCAGGCCTGCCCAGAGGCTCTCAGGGCTAAGCAGCCCTCACTGTAAGTGAGCTGAGCTGCCTCCAACCCTAGGGGTCACAAACCCAAGGAACCCAGCTGAGGGTGTTTGGTGCTTTGAGCTTGCTGCGATGATCTGGTGGAGGCAGATGGAGCATCGATGTGTCTGACATTGGGGCGGCCCAGGGAAACAAGTACCTGGGCTTCGACAGGCAACAGACGTGTGTTCAAAGTCCTACTCTTCACCAATCTGGCCATCACCCCAGCCTCTCTGAGCCACTGTTGCTTACCCAATAGACGGGAAGAGCATCGCTCCAGGAGAGAAAGGACACTTGGAGACCCCGTAGCTGGAGAGTGGAAAGTGAGGAGCCCAGAGCCGGACAGGGAGTATGCAAGAGGCAGCTGGGCCTTGCTCTGCTCTTTCCATAAAGTGAGATTTAGCAGCTGGGGCAGACCTGGCTGCCCACTGGCCTGCTGTGGCCCCCTCCTGAATCCGGCTCTGCACCCCCCTCCCATCTGTGGCTGAGGGACATTGGTCAGGGTGAAGGAGGGCTCTGGCATTGGGAGGTAAGAATTCAGGCACTGAAGAGGATGAAGATGAAGCCATCCCAGGCACACGTGACTCTGGGTGCAGATGGCAAATGCGAAGTGCTGATGTGAGGAGCCAACAAGGGCCATCGGGGGTCACAAAGGGCTTCATGGAGCCACGTTGTTGGGCCAGGGTTTTGAGCTGAGGAACAGCAGAAAGGCATATAGAGTCATGAGACTGGCTGGTGTTTCCAGCAGTGCAGATAAGAGCCAATGCACACCAGGGCACCAGGCCAGGAAGGAGGTGGCCTTTTTTCTACAGTCAGTACCGGGCAGTGGGTGTTGAAACAGGGGAGTCTCGTGACCTAGCCTGTGTGTGGGAAGCTTGCCTGGACTCCCGAGCGGAGGAAGAGCGGGGAGTCACACTAGCTGTGGCCAGGGGAGGGGTGGACCAGCACGTCCCGTAAGATGGCAGAGTGGGCAGAGTGGACAGCTGGAAAGCTAGGGGGCTGGGGGCAGGTGGGACCAGATGACCCTCTGCCTTTAGAAGCCGGAGGGGCTTGCAGCCTGGCCCACGGACCATAGCACTCAGACCCCATAGGACGGCTCCCAGGAGCAGGGTCTGTCAGGGCTCTGGGTGACCCGCGGCACAGGCTTCAGGTGGAGGAGACTGTCACCTATTGCTGGACAACATCCTGGCCCCGGCTGCAGCATCCTGCTGTGGCATCATGTGGAGTTCTGCTCATGGAGACAGGGTGGCCCTCCCCCTCCCCTGACATGGCAGGTTATGTCTTGGCCCACGCACCTCCTCGTGGCGTGTCCCCTCTTCCTGGTCTTACCCCTCCCCCATAGATCTGGCATTTTCAGGGGGAGACAAAGAGATTGAAGGTAAAGAGGGCCAGTGCTGAGGTGGCAGGGCAAACCTATGATATCCCAGACAGGTGACAGTTCAGCAGGAGCCTCTGGTTGAGCAGGAACTGGAAAGGACACAGAGAGATAGATGGGCAGCACCCAGACCCAGACCCACTGGCCCTTGGAAGCATTAGACCCAGGTGACGTGAAGAGAGGCAAGGCCTCCCTGGCCCAGCTGACAGGTGCCATGCTGGGAAGCCTGCTGGGACAAAAATGGGGAGACCGAACACCCAGACAGGGGCTGGAAAGCAGCCACTGGGCTGCACCACGCTCCAGGACCTGCCTGGTCACACGGGGGCAGTAGATCTTGAGCACGTCACCTCCCACTCAGATTCCACTGGGCAGGCCTCTGTGGGGGCCCTTCCTGCTCGATCTGTAACTTGGTCCTTCTGCAAGTTGACGTCACATGGCCGAGGGCAGTGGCCACATGGGTGCAGCCACAGCAGGGTCCTCAGAGCCCGCGCACCAAGCTTCCAGCCAGGCGGGTCTCGATGACTTCCCTGCAAGCCACAGGCCCCGCGTCTGGTCCCCTTCTCATTGTTTCTCTTCTTTCTTCCTCCAGGGAGAACGGGGTATGCCAGGGATGCCGGGCAAGCACGGAGCCAAGGTACCTGACCCTCTCACACCTCAGGCAGCCCCCGAGGACCCTCCCCAGTGCCCAGCCCTCTCTCCCAAACTCTGGGGGATCCCCAGGGTCCAGGCTCCTTTGTGGGCCTCCTTCCTCTCGCACCCTGCTGGGTGCACACTTCCTCCCTGGACCTTCCCCCCTCCCGCACTTGCCTGTCCCCCAGGTAGGGGCAGGTGGGGCTCTATTTTGGCCCACAAGTGATCTCTCACCAGTGCCCCCGGCCAGGTCTCTTCCTGGGACATCTGGTCACAAGGAGACTCTCAGGTGACTCAGCTCTGGCTGTGGTCCTGAGACCCAAGTAAGAAGCAGGGACCCTTCAAAAATCATCTCCCCCTGGGATTTACTAAGTAGCACTTTGGGTCACCTGTTCGCCTATGGTCTGTCATCTTGCATTAATATAAAAGTGGGGTTCATTCTCAGCCCTCCCTAACCCATGAAGGCAAAGGACCAGAGAGTTCTGGGGGAGCTTGACCCCACATCCACACTCAGGGTTAACAGCCTGATAAAACCAGTCCCTTTGTTCTGTGTTATCTGCAATTCTTCCCTCCCCCAGGGGCCTCATTCTAGTCCCATCCCCTCCATCTCCTCCTTCTTTCATGTTCCAGTGAAGCCCCTCTTCCCTCCCAGGGACACCCCCTGGAGTCCTGTCTATCAACCCATGGTCCCTGCAGCGCCTCTGTGGAAGCCTGGCAGGCAGGGTGGCCCGAGCCTCATGACCAGTGTGCCCACTCCGTGCAGGGCACTCTGCAGGGGCGGGGGCGCTGGGCGCCAGCAGAAGTGAGCCGTCCACTTCACCCCCTCCCCACCCCTGGAAAGACCTAGGAACCTTTCATGCCTTTTTTTTCTTTCTGCCAGGGGGCTCCTGGGATCGCCGTGGCCGGGATGAAGGTCAGCAAACGCTGAAATTCCACCCAGGGCAGGTTGGGAGAACTGGCTTTGGAGGTCAGCTGCAGCAGCAGGGGCTCCATGGCATAGTGGCTGGACTGAGGAGAGGGCAGACAGGATCAGGAAACATTTTCCTCAAAGCAACTTTCATGCCAGATGCACCACCTTAAGACAGATGTTGATGTCTTGCAAAAAAAGTAGTGAAGCTTTGCCAGCCCTCACAAGCCTGCCAGTGCACAAAGGGAAGCCAGTTCTTTGCCATGTGCTCTAAAATTCAGCAGCTCCATGTTTCTGAAGCTTCAGAGAGGATAGCAGGAGTCCTTCTCCTGAACACCCCACCATTTGGTCAGCAAGAAGAGGCACCTTGGAAGACATTGCACAGGACTACCTAAAGGGGGCGCTGTGTCCAAACCAAATGTCATCCCTTCCTCTCCTTGGGTTCCCTGCTGAGGCTCACATGTGCCACCCCCTCACCTGGGGGAAGGGTAGGACCCTCTAGGGACCAGCAGCCCAAGAGGTCTCCCATAGCCTGGGGCTGCCTGCCTGAGCAGAGGAAAGTCTGGAGTGGCCCCATGTCCCACGGACACCCCCACATACCCACAGTGCCTTAGCCTTAGCTCTTCTACCTGCTCTCTCTCTCTCTCTCTCTCTCTCTCTCTCTCTCTCTCCTTTCTTTACCTAATTCTGCCTTTTTTTTCCACCCAGGGTGAGCCAGGGACCCCAGGAGCCAAGGTACTGAAGCAGAGGGACCATTCTGGGCTGCATGGAGCATCGGTCGGTGGTGGGGTGGTGGGAGGAGCTGCTGTGGTTTGCTCTTGGCCCCCTGAGGACAGCCCAGGGCTCTTCCAAGCAGAGAAGGGTCCTCTTGTCAGGAGCACTCTGCCAATGCCCCCCTCTTCCCCAGATCCTGGTCTGTATGCATGCCACGGTTGTCTCTGCACTTGCAGGGCTGTTTCTTTGTTGTCTAGGACAAGAAGAGATGTCACATGAGGTTTCTTTTTCCTCCATGGTTTGAGAAATGTGGGGTTAAAAGTATCACACTGATTTCTTTATTTCAGGCCCTCTCACTTCCTGTAAAATGCTAAATGAGCATTGGAAAGTCCAAAAAGAAAAATATCTTATGCAGCACTTTCAAAACTTCTTTTGGACAAGAGTACCCCTTCATTTAAGAGGAGAACTTTAGGGGACCAGTCTCCTGGGAGCACTAGTCTTTGATCACTGCCAACCCCTCCCCTCCCCTCGCTTATCAGTATCTTATTCAAAGGGGACCCAGGAGCAGCAGGGGAACCTGGGGCCCCCAGGTTTACCCAGAAAGAGGGGGCAGTGGGTGATAGATGGTGTCTTGGAGCATGAGCCCCTCATCCTGGCCTCACGGGCCCCTGTTGTGTCCCTGTGGCTGATGTTGCCTGCAACGTGCTGCGGGTCACATGTCCCAGGAAGAGGGGACTGGCAGGTGGCCCAGCAGAGCTGCAGAAACCCACACTTGAGAACACACAGCCCTCTTGGAAGCCCTCAGCTACCCAGCAAAAGCCCAGCAGGCAGGAGAGCCTGTGTCCCCGTCCCTGCTCCTGGAGGATCTCCTAGGCTGGACCCACATCCTTCCCCTTTAGACATGGCCCATTCTGGTCAAGGCACAATGGAGACCAGCCCAGCAGGACAGGACTCACCTCCCTCCCATCACAGGGCACCACCTGGCCCTCCTTGGGCAGCTCCCGGCCATTTTACCACTCAGCCTCTATACAAGGGCACACAGAAAGGGGGTGACATCGAGAGCCTTGATATGGCATCTTTTGTGGCTCCAGCTAGAAAGTTCTTTGAGCTATCGGACCAAATTGTGGTCCCAGAGCACCCAGTTTGTGTCTATATTTGAGCACCGCTGTCCCTCAGCTCTGTGGAGACAGGAATTTCTCATGTCACCAGAGCACTGCTGGGATGCTTACCTGACTTTGGACACTGCTGTGGACTAAATTGTGTCCCCAAGATTCTAGGTCCAAACCCTGACACCAGGATGACTGTACTAGGAAACAAGGAGATAATTAAGGCCAAACGAAGTCATAAGGGTGGTCTCCTAATCCAAGGGGTGGCCCTGTAAGGGGAAGAAAGATCTCTCTCTCTCTCTGCCCTGTGATGACACAGTGAGATGGCAGCCATTAGCCAGTGAGCAGGCCTCACCCGACTTAGCCAGGCGGCACTCTGGTCTCAGGCCTTCCAGCTTCCAGGGCGTGTGAGACAGACACCGCCCAAGCTACAGGATTGTTCCAACAGCCCGCGATGAGTAATGTAGTCCCAGTGAAGGCAGAGAAGATTGTGTGTATAGGAAGCAGAGCAGCAGGTGACCCGGGCTGGACCCGTTCAGCAAGGGTCGTCCAACAGCCGGGTGACCTCCGGGCCCTGGCTTGCTTCTGTGAAATGAAACCGGGGTTCAAGTATCTCTAAGGGCCTTTCTGATTCATGTCGTAGGGAGAAGGTGGTGAGGGACCTGCTGTATCAAAGTACCCCAGACTAGGGTACCGAACAACAGAAGTATGTTCTAGAGGTTATAGAGGTTCAAAGTCCAAAGCCAAGATGTTGGCGGGGGTGCTTCCTTCTGGGTGCTAGGAGGGAGAATCTGCCTGTGCCTCTCTCCTAGCTGCTGGTAGTTTGGGCCATCTTTGGTGACCCCTGGTTTGCAGAAGTATCACCCCACTTCGGCCTCCACCTCACAGGGCTTTCTCCCTAGGTGTGTGTCTGCAGGCCCCTAGCACACCGGATTAGGGGCCCACCCTAGCCCAGTACGACCTCATCTAAACCAATTACATCTGCAATGACTCTGGTTCCAAATAAGGTCACACTGTGAAGCACTGGGGACTAGAACTTCAACAAGGGAGCTTGGAGGGAGATAATTTGACCCACAGCAGGACACAAACTTCTCAAAATATTCCTTCGAAAAGAAGGTTTCAGTTAGATGGGTTTTGTCTTCCTAGAGGTAGAAGGAGGTAGGCAGAAAGGTCAGGAGGGAAACTCTAAGGGACAGATGATGAGGACATGAAAAAGGGCACAGCAGATTCAGGAAAGAAGGGGTCCCCCAAGCAGTGGGTCTCCAGACTTCCTGCTCTCCCCAGAAGGGTCTAAAGGCTGCTGGCCTTTGTTATGGTATGTGGCCAGTGTCACTCCTCCGTCACATGAGAGATGAGGGCCAAGGTCATGTGGGAACCGAGAGAGCAGGGATGCAGTTTGTCACCAGTGTGAAGTGACCCAGTGAAGAAGCCAATCCAAATGGGACCTGGAAGTGGAGCCCTTCAGAGAACAGCCCAAGGAGGGCCAGCTATGAGCGAGGAGAGCAAGGCCCTAAGACACTTTCCACCCCGTACTGTCTCCCTGCAGGGCGAGAAGGGGGCTGCCGGCTCCTCTGGGCTCCCCGGTCTTCTGGGACAGAAGGTAGGTGTGTGCCAGCTCTGAACAGTGGGCTCCCTGCAAAGCCTCTGGTCCTTCCTGGTCCCACACATTTCCTGGGGCCTCACATTAGAGGTGTCCCTCTACCAAACTGGGGAGAAGGGGCCACAGATAGGCTCTGGTGTACCAAAAATCTGCCCCAATACAAAATCTAGGTAGCTATGACCTGAGGAGGTTGCTTTTTTTTCTTCTTCCTCTTTTGGTACCAGGGCCACCTGACCAAATTGTGGCCCCAGGGCACCCAGTTTGTGTTTCTGTCTGAGCACAGCTTGACCCTTGAGCCACATCCCCAGCCCTTTTTATTTAGAGACAGGGTCTCACTGAGATGCTTAGGGCCTTGCTAAGTTGCTGAGGCTGGCTGGCTTTGAACTCACGATCCTCCTGCCTCAACCTCCCAAGCCACTGGAATATGGTGTGCGCCACCGCGGCCAGGAGAGATGTCTTTGTACATGCTCTGAAAACCTGCCCACAGTCCACAGCTCTGAAGGATATTTCATTTTAAAGAGACTCAAGGCCACATGTATCTGGGGAGAAGTGCACGAGATGGGCACCTTGGGAAGTCACGGTACACCTCAGCCTGCTAGAGGCTCTGAGCACCCGCAGCAGAGAAGCTGGCAAAGCTTCCCGTCAGGCTCCATTCCTCAACGTTGCTAGCCACCAACCCTTTTTCACATTACAAGGAGCCCACTGAGGAGTGTTCCACAGAACACACTTTGAGAAACACCACATAGTCGCAGGAGCTGATGGGTCTGTGGTTTCAGTTGTAATCCTGTCCCGCCTCAGTGACCAGGGCCACACTTTCAATGCACAGCAGACCAGGGATCTGGAGCCCAGAGCTAGAGCCCATGGGTCCCTAGTGTCCTCCTGCACTCAGCAGAGCCCGAGGGGTGGCCTCCTGCCTCGTCCTCTGGCTGTGAGGGGAGGAAGCAGCAGGGGAGGGGGCTAGTGGAGTGGTGAAGTAACCCTACCTTCCACCCCCAGGGAGAGAAAGGTGACGCTGGCAACTCCATTGGAGGAGGCAGGGGCGAGCCCGGCCCCCCAGGGCTCCCTGGGCCCCCAGGGCCAAAGGTGAGTTCAATGTCAAGGGAGATGTTCCTCTGCCGTCTTTACCTTCCGTGTGTCCTCAGGAACCTCACATCCTGGACGCCTCCCCTTCTTTAGCCTTCTCCTGGTTTTGCCCAGTAGATTCTAGAAAAGTGTGGACCAAGGTCCTGCCTCTAAACAGGTGACCAACCCTCCAGGAGCATTGTCCCCCTGGGCAGATGGATGGTCCCCCAAGGGTTAACTGAGTCAGGGACTGAGAGCTTCAGGCCTTAGCACAGCCAGGAGCCCTCACCTGGTGCAGACACACCGGGGGAGGAGGAGGGCAGGGCAGAGTGGAGGGGGCAGCTGTATACGGACCACCCTTCCTCACCTTTCACTGGCTGAAACTGCAGTGGTAAGGTCCGGGTTTCCCAGAGCTGATGTGTCCTGTGTTATCTGATTATTTCTGCAACACAGGAAATGAAGGGGAGTCTCTCTAGCTCTTCATACTGTTGTAGGGACAAACGAGGCAAGGCACCGAGGACAGCAGGAAACAGTTTTGTTTGGCTGCAGCCAGGTTCAGAGGGCACAGCCTTTGCTGTAATCAATCAATCCCCTGAACCCCGAGTTCAGGGAGTTGCAGAGTTTTATACCCAGCATGGAAGGGGAGGGACTCAGAAGTTCACAGTCTGCAGAAGTTCACATAAAAGCAGCTTTTTCTTTCACTGGTCTGGGCAAGTTAACCCTTCAAGGACAACACCTGAGAAGAGGGGAGCTTCTTCTCCCCTTTCTTTCCTCCCCCTGCCAGCTGTTACCATGGAGCCCAACTGGTAACTTATCTTAGAAATGTGGACATCCCTGTGAAGCCCAGTCCAAGGCCAGAGGCCTTGTTTGCACATTTCTAGAAACTACCATACTGGATACATGTTTGTAAAAAACTAGTAAGGGGGTGTCCAGCACCTGGAGTGATGGTATCTTCTCGGCCAGTGGCCAAGTAAAACAGGGCGACAGGAAAATAGGAAGTTTATCTACATTGGACTCTTTTGTAGAGACTCTTTTGCTGACAGTCCTAAAATCAGCCATGGTGAAGATTTTTGGAGAAGTCCAGTTGAGACTTTTCTGTGGAGAAAGGGGGTGCCACTTCAATATCTCTAATGATCTGACACAATGTGATCCTTCAGGCATCGACATCCCCCACGGGCCTGCCAAGGCTGGCCCTGCACAGCAGGGGGCTGCAGGGAAACTGCCCTTGGCTCACTCTCAATCTAGCAGGAGAAGCAAACCTGTGATTCAAAGGTAGAATGTAGGGGACCCCAGTGTCCTCAAAGGCAGGCAAGATGAGTGGTGGGCAGGGTCTCCTGCCAAACCCCACATACTCCCTGACTGGCTGGAGCAGCAGCTTTGCCCAAGGCAGCCCTGCCCGCCCCCTACTCACCCACTGTCCCCAGGGCTGTCCCATGAGTCACAGGCAAGAGGCTGCCACAGCTTGGATCTCCCCTGGAGCTTGGGCAAATCTGGCCACCACTGTGTGCATCTTGCAGCAAGAGGGAGGGAGAGCCTCAAGGCTGTGTCCCCAAACTCGGGCCTGCTTTCCAGGTCCAGGAGAAATGTCCAATAAGTGAAGCATTTGGAGCGGGCCTCCTCCCATCCCACCCTGCACCTCCATCCTGGGCTCCTGCAGCCCCCTCCCCACATGCCCAGGGGCCCCATGCACCCCTCTGTCACCCAGGCAGGACTCCCCAAGATGTGACATCCCAAGTGCTCCAGGGTCCCTGCAGGCAGCCTGATGGCGACCCTCAGTCCAGTTGGGGGCTGTGACCCTGCTGGGTCTGTGTGTACCAACCAAGGGCTGAGGAGGGCCTGGCCGGCAGGTGGACACGGTGAATGGCACAGAGCTCTGAGGAGGAGGGGAGGGAACAGAGGGCTTCCAGAGGGAGGTGAGGCCCAGGCTGGGCTCAGGAGGGGGATCGGGATGGTGTCAGTTAGTGAAGCCCAAAGACCGTGATGCCCCAAACAGGAGCAGCAAGGTCTGCTTTTGTCCCCTCGAGCAGCTGTCCCAGCCCCTCTTCCTGTCCTCATGCCGTGTCTCTTCCTCCCCAGGGAGAAGTGGGTATGGATGGCCAGGCCGGCCCCCCCGGACGACAAGGAGACAAGGTACAGAGGCTCCACCTCTGACAGCTTGGGAGTGCCGGCCCCCGCTCAGGGAGCAGCCCTGGTTGTCCCTGACATGGAGCCTAGGGCACAGGGTTGACTGGCCATGACCTCCTACCTCCATCTTTCTGGTCAACTTGGGCCTCAGAGAACTACCCCTGGAGGGAGGGGGATAGAGGGCAGCTCCCCTGGGGTGACAGCGGCTCCAGCTCCACCAGCCAAGGTTCCTTCCTGCCTTCTCGTCACTCTCTATCTTGATTTTTTTTCCATTTTCCATATTAGCCTTCTCCCAGAAAAGCTAGAGCCGTGTTTTGTTTTTCTCAGTTAGCACCATGTTTCACCCATTCCATGTCCACCCCTCACTCTGGAAGGCAGGTGTCCCTGCACGAGCACCTGTGTCCTCCTCACACCTTCTCCGGCCCCCCCCCCCGTGTCATCCTGTAGGCGGGGCCCTTCACAAGGAGAGTGGGCTCTCAAAGAACCAGGCAACGGGCCACAAGTGACAGAGCCCTTGCTACCTGTACAAAATGGAAATGGGAGAAAAGAAGAGCCAGGTCCCTGCTCCCAAGGAGGTAGCTCCCAGGGTCAAGGAGACAAGGGAGAGAGAGGTGGCCAGAGGAACAAAGGGGAGTCACTAACAACTAACATAGGACAGAAAGAAGCAGGAGCCCAGGGGAACGGGGAGGAAGAGAGGACGTGGCAGGTGTCCAGGGGATGTTCCCTGAAGGGGCGGAGCCTGCATTTTGATGGGCGGGGAGGTCTGAGTCTTGTTGGCCTCTGAGCCCCTCTGCAGCCCCTAACACAGGGCCTAAGTGGAGACACTGGGTTCTTCTGCACCCAACTTTCTCAGCCCATTTCACTCCTTTTGTCATACAACAGGGGCAGCCTGGAGCCACTGGAGAACAGGGACCAGCTGGCCCCAAGGTATATCACCTCTCACCTGGAGTCAGTGGGGAGCCACTTGACCTGAGCTCTTGAAGGGAAGAGGGTGCCGGCCCCAGGTGGGAGGTCAGATGGCCACTGTGATTGGGCTCACACTCCTCCAGACCTGTCTAGTCCCCAGTACTCAAACGGAGGCTGCTTCCTTTGCCATAGTACCGAGCCTCCTCTGCAACCCGGACACTCCACCCCAGTGGCTCTGGTTGCCCCGTGTGCAGAAGACGTGGCCAGTGTGGACAGTGGGCCCTCAGTCCCTCCTGGTCCAGGCCCTAGTTGAGATCTCATCTGCCTTGTAGGGCTCCAAGGGCGAACCAGGGAAGGGAGAGATGGTGGACTACAACGGAAATCTCAACGAGGCTCTCCAGGTAGGTGGACCACAGCCCAGAGGCCAAGCCCTGGAAGTCCTCGTGGACCTGGGCCCTGACCTCCACACAGCTGCCTTGAGGCCCTGCAGCCAGGCCGTGGACAGGGCTTCAGGAAAGAGTCACTCCTTTGTCCTCTCCCCTGGCCTCCCTCTGTGCAGCCTCCAAGCAAATGGCCCCATTGTTTGTGGCATCAGGTGGCCTGGCTCTCTGTCTGAGCCCAGCTGGCCAGTTACCTGGCTCTGGGCAGCTGAGAATCAATTGGAACATCCAGCACCCACAGGGTGCTGCCCCTCCAGGGCTCTGGGCACCCTACTCCCCTTTCACAGGGTATATTCTGTCTTCCTGGAACACATCTCCTTTGTGTGTCAATTTTACCCTATTTCAAGTTCATACGCTCCCCACCTTTTAAAGCAGGTGTCTCTGCCTTGGCGCTGTGGACACTGGGGCTGGACAATCATCATGGTAGGGTGGGGAGGCTGCCCAGTGCATCATGGGATATTGAGCAGCATCTCTACCCACTCACTGCAGTGAGCACCCCACCCTCAGTTGTCACCCCAAAATATGTCTCCAGACGTGACCAAAGGTCCCCTGGGGACATAACCCATCCCAGGTCGAGAACCGCTCCTTCAAACAAATGTGTGTTTGCATGAATCCAGTCCCAAGTTGTAAAGGATTTTAAACCAAGGATCATCCCACCAGTCTCTCTCTCTCTCTCGAGTAGTTCTATGCTCTGCTGTGCTGTGTCTATTTAAGGGAGAGATGGTGTAAGCCTGAGTTCTGGGAGAGGAGGAAAGACCAAGGGAGGGCCCCAGCAGGTGGTTGCAGAATCAGGGCGAGAGGGTGAAGGGGCGAGAGACTGCCCAGGCCTGTATCATGCCTGCTGTGCTCTGTCCAGATTACAGACCTCGAGGAGAGGTGGGGAGGGCGTCGGCTGGAGCCATGGAGGCCCCTGTGAGGGTCTGCCTCCACCCTGCCCTCAAGAGGCCATGATTGGGCAGAAGGGATCTTGCAGATGGCCCTGGACTTGCTCTTCAACTAACTGCCTGTTGTTTTTCTTAGGAGATCCGAACACTGGCCTTGATGGTGAGTCTCCGCTCGCTCGCTTTCCTGACACAGGCTGGGGATGGAAGTAGAGTCCAGAAGCAAGAACTTGAATTCTTGCCTCCAGAAAGGGCACACTTGGTCCCCGGGTGGCGCTGGGCAGAGGGTGTGCTGAGCCTGGGGCAGGGGCAGGACTGGAGGTGGGCCCCTGGAGCTGCCCATGCCTGGGTCAGGGCTGCCCTCGGTGATGGCTCTTCACCAGTGCAGCTGTGTGCTGGGTGACAGTGTCGCTGGGCTGTTTACTGCTGTGTGGTGGAAAGAGCAGGATCCAGGAGGATGCTTTCATTTTCTCCGAAAGACCCATAGCAAGTCTCCACACGTCCCGATTTTCTAGAAATTGAGCTCATTATCTGCTCTCAGAAAACCAGTGAATCCCACACTGGGTTTTGCACATGTGTCTACTAGGAACAGACCCTCGGTAAACATTTGCAGTTAAAACAGACACACTAAGTTTAACTCCCCAGATGGAGAGGGCAGGCAGGACCCCAAAGTCCTCAGACTAAGGGAATTTCAATTCACCTCGTATTTCCCATTCACTTAGAGATGACACAAACTCAGAACCAAACACCACCTCTCTGACGATCCAGGGTCAGACATCGGTATAAACTATGTGATTCTGGAGTCAAGGAACTTCATTTGGGGACATTAAAATATATTATGTGAAATAACATAGAAATAAAACTTTCCTGCAAACTATTTTTTTTTCTTTGAAAGTCAATCTTAGGTATAGCCTCCAATAAAATAGATCCATTTTAAGTATAGAGTTTGATGAGTTTTCACAAATGTAAGTATTTGTATGCATGACCCCAGTCACTATAGGAAGCCCGTCGTGAGAGCTGGGCAGGGTGCTGTATGGTAAACCAGGCATCGCCTGTTCATGGACAGGTGTTTGGATTGTTTCTTGATGACCTAAGTCATGGTTGGGAAAGTCAGATTTATCTTTTTGGAGCCCCAGTGAGAAGGACCTCAAGGGAAAAGCTGTTGGCCTTGGCTGTGTGCCCCCCCACCCCAGCTTCAGTCCAGACACACCTGTGCTTATCGGTTTGCACTGGGGACTCCCTATGTTCCACACCACCCCCCCAAAAAAAAAGTTGTTTCTACTAACAAAGACGTTTGAAAATGACTGATCCCTGAAGGCCAGCCTCTACCTCAGCCCTCTGGTGGTGGGCCACCCTCCTGGTTGGAAACCTCTTCCACACGCCTTTCCTTTCTCTCCTAGGGGCCTCCTGGTCTACCTGGGCAAATAGGCCCCCCCGGAGCTCCAGGGACCCCAGGCCAGAAGGTAAAACTACCTTGACAAGGGGACAAAGACCCTGCAAGGACACTGCCTCCCTGAGCAAGGGACCTCAGAGCCACCCCTCGTCCGGTAGCCCCCACCTTCCCAGGATTCTCTGGCCTGTACTTCCTCCCATGCTCCAGGGCACCGTGGCCCTGCCACTGTCACGGCCGTGTGGCTCCTCTCAGCCCTGGGCTCCGTCATTCCTCCCTTGCTGTCTGTCGTGGGGGTCCTCACACACAGCTGGGACCCCGAGCCACCCCTCAGGGAAGGTGGCATTTGAGCCCCTGCCCACTCACCCCTCCATCCCTCGCTGCCTTTGCTTTCCTTTATCCTCCCATCCTTCGCCCATCCACCCCATGCTTTGTCTTAGAAGGACTGTCCCTCTGTCCTCTGCCCAGCAATCCCTTCCCCTCTTCCCTAACTTTCAAAGACTTCTCATCTTCCCAGACCAACTCAAAAGCCACCTCCTCCTTGAAGCCTCCCCGGCCTGGCCCATCAGGCAGAATTCACACCCTCCCTCTCTGAGACACCTACATCACCTTATCACACCTTCCTCACCTCCTCCTCCTCCCTGACCTAAAGAAGTGGGTGGGTGAAGATGCAGGGAGCCACGGGCAGCTGGGCCAGGAGGGCTGGTTCAGAGGGGACAGGGATGCCCAGGGTTCTCAAAGACAGCAGTGCAAGATTGCAGCTAAAACTCGGACCATGGAGTCAGGATGCCCTGACCCGGATCCCGGTTCCCTTCACCACTAACTGTGAGCCTTGGGTGCATACTGTGTGCTTTGAGGTCCTGATCTGTAAAAGACACAACGAAAGCACATATCTCCCAAGACTCCCAAGTGAGAATCAAAATGCTTGCACTCTGGGGAATCATGCAGAGAAAGATGCCTGTACCCAGGAAATGGTGCCTAAGTGACGTTGTTATTGTCTCTGCTCTGAGAGTCACCTTCAGTTGTTCTGGCCACAGGGGGAGATTGGACTGCCAGGCCCTCCAGGACACGATGGAGAAAAGGTAAGAAGAGCCAGAGCCGGACAAGCCTCTGAAACGGCCTTGACCAGGGTGAGGGCAAAATGAGGCTCTGGAACAGGCCCGGCTGTGCGCCCTCAGGGGATGCAGGAGGGGGCAGGAGGGCTTGGGCTGCAGCCCCAGAAGGAGCGCTAAGAGCCAGTCTAGGGGGCTCCCTTTGCCAGCTCCAAGCAAGCGGCAAAACTCCAGTCCTTGGACCCCCGTTCTGCTCCATCCTCCCCTCCCCTTTTCTCCACTCATATGCCTAAGAAGCACTACTGATGTTTCTAAAGGGACCTCGAGGCAAACCAGGAGACATGGGCCCCCCTGGCCCCCAAGGACCCCCAGGAAAGGATGGGTCTCCAGGAACGAAGGGAGAAAACGGATCCCCAGGGAGCCCAGGAGAGAAGGGGGAGAAAGGGGAGACGGGCCCGGCAGGCTCTCCGGTGAGTGGCAGGCCGGCTGGCCCTCCCTGTGCGTGACCCCTGCATGCCCGCCCTGGCTCTGCCCAATGCCAGCCGCTGCCTGAGCTGGAAACCTGGAGGCAGGAATCAGGGGCAGGGGATCACTTTATGAAGACCAGCTTCCTGACTCAGGCCACCTAACTCCTGTTCTGTCATTGTCTGTCCTTGGGAAAGTCCCTGAGCCTTGCAGAGCCTCAGTTTCCTTCCCTGGACACCTCATGGGTCTCTGGAAAAGAGAGAGTCCTGGGCATTAAACTGCCTCTTTGGAAGGCAGGCAGAGCCCCATTCCCACGAGAGGTCGCATGCAGGAGTCCTTGTCCCCTCCAGCAAGGCTGCTGACTTGATTTGGGGGTCTTGATGGGGCCTCAGGATTTTCCACCTGTGAAGTGGGTGCCCTCCTAGGCACTCGCCTTGGAGGAACGGAGCCTTGAATGTGTGCCCTAGATGGCCACAGGTGCTCAGCATCACAACCCTGAGCTTCACTAACAGAGACCTTTGTCAATCTGTAGGGTCTAGACGGCCCAACTGGGGAGAAAGGAGAACCCGGTGGCCAAGGGAGGCCCGGAGCGACAGGATTGCCTGGCCCCATCGGGCTCCGGGGATTTACAGTAAGGCGAGAGGGCGGGGTCCTGAGGGTGTTGGCAGACTGCTGCAGTTGAAGCCACATGAGCCACTAGCCTAGGGTGCCTGGCACTGTGACAAAGCTACATTAGCCCCGAGCCTGCCCACCCAGCCTAGGGGGTCCTCTTGACGAGCAGCTACTGAATTTGAGTGCACACAGGGTTCTAGTCTCCTCAGCACACAGCACGGTGACCTCTGTCTTTAGGGCCAACCTAGTTCTAAGGTGTAGCACCTTGGACCTGGACTTTCCTTCTTGGGGTGGAAAGAGCCTTAGAGGCTGATGTCCCTCAACACATCCTCTCCGGGGTGGGGCAGTGTTCATTTCCTATGGCTGCAAAACAAATCACCACAAGTTTAGCAACTTAAAACTACACACATTTACTGTCACAGCTTCTGTGGGTCTTTCCTGGGTCTCACAAGGCTGTGATCAAGGTGTCAGCCAGCTGCAGTCTCAGCTGGAGCCAGGGGTCCTCTCCCCAGCTCACTGGCTGGTGGCAGAATCCAGTTCCTTGTCATCGTAGGACCAAATCCCTCAGCTCCTGGAGGACAGTCCCCTGCCACCTGGCCCTCCCTGTGGTAGGCAGTTCACAGTATAGCAGCTTATTTCTTCAAGGTCAAGATCAACAAGAGGGTCCCTAGTACAGCAGGGCAGAGCCGTGTGTGTGTGTGTGTGTGTGACATGTTTGCAACACAATCTCAAAATGTCATATGTTTTCGTGTATAACAGGTACATGGTAATTGTAACATGCTCTCAGGAGTGACATGTGCCCTATTCTATGGCTGACAAATGAGTCACAGGTCCACCCCAGGGTCTGTCCACTGCAGGACCACACAGAACAGTAGTCCCTTCCCCACTCTAGAGCCTCAGGGCCTTGCAGATACTGGTCACAGCACCCACCCGCTAGCAGTCTTCCTCCCACAGCCTCCAAGGTGTTCCGTGCTGACACCTGGACCAGCCTAGTCCAGGTCCAGTTGGTCACAGATTCAGGGTCATGCCTGTGCGCTCACACTGGTGCTGGCACTCACGTCCTGGTGTCTTGTGCCCACAGGGAGAGAAAGGAGAAGCTGGAGAGAAGGGTGACCCAGGAGCAGAGGTAGGTCATACCTGCTCTTCCTTTAGTGACTTGGGCAATGATTTGATGGAGGTCTCATCAGAAAGGACAGACTCTCCAGGGTGCCCAGCATCTCTGTGCTCCAGGGTGAAACTCGCAGCTGATTGTCAGGAGAAGGGCAGAAGCAAAGCACGGGCTGGGCCTCCTGAGCAGCACCCTGCTAGGCGCTGAGCCTCCGAGCTTGGCTCTCCTCCAGCAGCATCTCTCCAGGGTTCCCAGAGCACCTGCTGGGTTTGGGTTTCTACAGACAGGAAAATAAACAGACCTGCTCCTGAGGCAGCCCACAGTCCCCAGTCCTGGGCACGAGAGGGACGGCCACTCATAACCGGGCGAGCATCTCAGGTTCGGTCTTGACGACTTTGTAGGAGTTCATCTCAAAGCTTTAGAGGAAGACTTTCCAGAGAGAGACAGGTTCCGTGAGATAGTGAAGAGAAGAACCGCCAAGTGGGGGGGAGTCAGGGCAGAGACAGGTGTCAGGAGATGGGAGAAAAGTGGGCACCTGTGTAGACGCAAGGGAAAGCCACGGAGGTCTAGGTTTGCGAGGGAGAGTCCACGCGTGGTGGGAAGACCTGGACAATCCAGAAACCCCCTCAGAGCAAAGGGAAAGGCCACCAAGCCTCTTCCTCGCTCCCCTCTGAGGTTCCCTCGCCCTGTCACTTTTTCTTTTCTTTTTTTTTTTCTTTTGGTACCAGGGATTGAACCCAAGGGCCCTTAACCACTGAGCCCCATCCCCAGCCCTATTTTGTATTTTATTTAGACACAGGGTCTCACTGAGTTGCTTAGGGCCTTGCTAAGTTGCTGAGGCTGGCTTTGAACTCATGATCCTCCTTGCCTCAGCCTCCCGAGCTGCTGGGATTACAGGCTTGTGCCACCGCACCCAGCTCCCATCACCCTTTAGTATCACAGCCCCACGTGGATTTAGTGAAACAGACCTGACTGTGTAATCCCATGTATGTTACTTACTTAGAAATGGATAACCTCCTAAAGAAATGATCCTAAATCCAGAAAGGGCCTTATACACAAAAACATCCTTCCCAGAAGAACTTAATGTAAAAATTAGAAACAGCCCATGTTTCTAACAAGAAGAAAAGGATTGAATAACTTATTCTAACAATACGAATAGTAATAATGGCCCATGTTTGAGAGCTTTCCTGGTGACAGTGCTGCTGCCAGCCCTGGCTATATAATATTCGTTTCCATTCCACTCAGGAGAAATGGATTCCATGTTAAGTAGAAAGAAACAGAAAACCCAATTATATTTATGTATTTATATGTCATCACAAGTACATTCAACTACATATTATTCAATAAAAACATGTAAGGAAATTTTTAAAATATTAGCAGTGCTTCTCAGCTAGGTAAACCAATGATTTCTTTTTGTTTTATTTCAATTCTCTTAAATTCATAACATATTTTAATGAGTTTGTGCTACTTTTAAAGTTTCATTTTTAAAATAATTGTACAGGTAAAATTCTTTGAATTTTAATCCATTGCAGATTTGTATAACACTACTGTAATCAGATCTGTGTATGTATTATTTATAATAAGAAAACAAAGTAAACTTTTAAAAAGTAATTTCCAAAGATTGTATTCCCGACAAGGAGACTAGGAGGAAGCTGAATGAAAAGCCCACAGGTCCAAGGGACATTAGGGGTCTTCCTGTGTACCCAGTGCAGCGTGGCCTGGCAGAGGGGTCTTCAACCTGGCCATAGTCTAGTGATTCTATCCCTGGCAGAGGTGAGGCACCTGAGGAGAATCTTAAAGCTGAGGGGTGGGGTGCCCAGCTCAGTAAGGGACAGGCAGTGGCTGACCCTAGACAGTGGGTGTCCAGTTTCATCAGAGACAGACTCCGCAGTGGGCACCATCTCTGTAGAGAAGAAAGTAGCCTGGGCTCCTCCATCTTCACCACCCAGCCAAGTCCTCTTCCGTTGAAACCTGCCCTTGAGGGAAACGGGATCCACAGTCCCTGGATTATCCTTCAGAAACATCCCAGCCTTCCCCCCATGCCTGATAAGCAGTCTCTGCTCCTCTAAGCAAAGGACCTCAAACTCAAATGCCTGCGGGGACCAGACCCCCCACAAATGAATGCAAGATGTCTGAGTTAAAGACAATAGGGGGTGGTGAAGACTGGGGTGAGCCAAGGATCTCATGCCTCGCCCCAGAGGGGCTGGGCCTGGGGTAGGGGGCGAGGGGGCTGCATCTTGCCCCCTTCAGGAGAGCTGTTCACGCACTGAAGTCCTGATGAACAAGGCATGAAAATAATTCTACTAGATTTTCCAGAGTTTCAAGAAAATGTGGGAGAATGGATATTTTAGGGCCATTTCCTGGCAATTTTTTGCAACATCGTGCAGGCCAGTGGGTTGCAATGGGTTTCTGACCTGTCCTGGGCCTTCTTTTGGGAGACTGTGTGCTGAGCTGACCTCCAGGGAGCAGCCCTGTCCCCCTATGGCCTCACAGTCCTCAGCAGACCCCGGGCTGTGTCAGGAGGAAGGACCACATGGTGTGTAACTGGGCTCCCCTTTGGCTTCCAGGTTCCTGGGCCACCAGGGCCAGAGGGACCTCCTGGACCTCCGGTAAGTATGGACAGCTTATTGGCAAAATTTCAGTCCCCTGTGCTCAGGTCCCTAACCCCTAACCACCAGCACCCAAGGTAGTCACTACTCTGCTTCCCTCCCATGTTAGACATGCCATCCCAATGACACCGAGGAGCCTGGGCGTGGCCTGGTTCCCTGCAAACTGTTGACCAGCATGGCAGCCCTGGGCTTACTTTGTCACTAAGCTGTGCCCGACATTTACATAATCCTTTGCCATCCAACATCTGTTCCTCCTCTCCGTCCTTCCTGGTACCCAACTGGCAAGAAAACCAGATTAAAATGAAAAGTGACCCATTAAAACCAGCCCCACTGGATTGGCCTTCCTGTAGTTGCAGAAATGTACCTGTGGGGCCCCTTTATTTTGCACCTAGAGGCCCCCCAAGCACCCAAACCAACAGATGCCAGCCTGTACCTCTGCATGGTTCACAGTGTCACCTGTTGTCATTGTAAAGTAGTGGTAGCAATAACGACACTAGTCAACATTTACTGAAACTTACCATGTGCCGGATACTATTCTAAGTACTTTTCATGTGTTAATTTATTCAGTTTTTGTCCGATTTCCTCAATATTCCCATGGGGGCCACAGTTTTTCTGTTGGCTCCTGGCTGGGAAAGGCTGGCTCAGACCCCACCCAGGAAGCCCCAAGCATGGTCTCCCGGCATTCCCTTCCACCTGTCATGGACAGGGCCTCCAGACCACACTGCATGCGAAACCCCTGCTCTTCTGAGGTCCAACAGAGTTGCAGTTCTAATGCACCTTGTTTTGATTCCAAATGTAGGGACTCCAAGGTGTTCCTGGACCAAAGGTGAGAAGAGGTTCTGTGACAGGGGCGGGGCCTGGGGTGGGGGGGCGGGGGGGGGGTGCATCCGTTAGAGCAGAAAAGAGGGAAAGTGCTTCAGGAACCCCACCAATCCTTCTCCCTAAATGGCATCAGGTGACACTCCATCCAGCGGGGTGCCATCAACATTCAGCACTGACGCCTGGCATGCTGAGGATGCAGGATTTTCCCATTCATGCATACAAAGTGACAGGCTAGATCCTTAGCCAATGGTGAGATCCTTTTCCCGTGTCACCTGCCCCACCACCATCCACTCAAGCTCTGGAGGAAGACAGGTGGCAGCCAAGTGTGGGCCCTCCCCAGGGCCAAGCCCGCGGGCTCAGTTTAGTGAGTTTCTCCCAGTCTCCTCCAGAGCATTTCAAATGAATAAGGGGGGCCGCAGGCTGTTGGGATGACAAGGCCCCTTACTCCCTACAAGACATCCTTCAGGGGACTTTGGGACGTTTCTTCTCCCAGCTAGTTCATGAGCCTTGGTGCCCTGGTGGTAGAATATTCCAGGCATCTGCCAGCAGATCCTGTAGGATCCCAGTGTTCCTGCCCTGCAAACGGTCACCTATGTCAACGCCTGACCTGGAACTGCCCTGTGTGTTGCCTCCACTCCATGCATCCCTTGTCCCTTTGGGCAACTCAGTGTCACCAGAGGATGCTGAGGCGCGACAGGGTGGTAGATCAGGGATCCTTGGAGTCTCCGGCCTGCCACCTGTGGCCCAGCCACCCCCGCCTCCGCCCTCCTCTACAAACCCCACCCTGTCTCCAGACCCCAAGAGACAAGCATGGGTTGTCCAGGACGTGCCCTCTGTGACCTCCTCTTTCTCCTTCCTCCAGGGAGAGGCAGGACTAGATGGAGCCAAAGGAGAGAAGGGGGCCCAGGGAGAAAAAGGAGACCGAGGGCCTCTGGGCCTACCTGTAAGTATCTCAGAGCCAGCAAGACCACTGTAAGGAGCCCAGGCAGGTGGCCCTATGGGGCCGGGAGCAGGTGGGCAGGGTCCTGGGAGTAGCCACTCGAAAACTCCAGGGTCTCAAGTTTCGAGCGTTTGTACCAGAGCCCCAAGTGGCCTTCCTTTCCCACCAGAGAAAACCTTGGGCTCTAATTCCCTTTCCTAGGGTCTCCTCCAGGTGTTCTGGGAAAATGAAAGCTAAACAAGACAGGGCCCACCCAAGGCAAGTCCAGGGGAGAGGCAGACTGGCCTGAGGACAGCCCCAGGACCTGCTTGTGCCCAAGGCAGGGCCATCACAGCCTCCCTTGGGAGCCGAGCTTGGAGATTTGGGAAGAGTGAGACCATGAGGATATTCTCCATCTCACCTGTTTTCCCAGAAGGACCCCAAAGAACCCCTGCTTTCCCCTCTTAAGTACTAGCCACAGCAGCAAAGCATGCAAAAAGTCCTGGTCCCAGCAGGTTAAGGCCACTTGTTCCCCAGGCTCCAGAGAGCTCTGATCTCAGCCTGCCCAGGGCTCACGGCCCCGTTCCTGGTGAGGGCTTCTCAGAAGGTACCTTCTTCTCTAGAAGTAGGGGCTGGGCCAGATGAGTCCCTTTGGTCCCAACTCCAGTGGCCTGATGGCCTTTTACCCTTCAGTGTGTCCTGGTGACCATGCCACAGCCCACTGAGATTGTCACTCTGGATTTGTTTTGCAAGTGCTGGAAGGAGCTTTAGTGCTCCATCTCCCTTATGGTCACTTGAGGTCACATATGAGGCGGGGTCAGAGGCTGCTTCTCCACTGAGGCCGCAGCCTTGTAAAGGGACTCCTTTCAGCTACTCAGACTCCTCCGGCCCCACCCCAGGGAGCCACGGAGAGCAGAGAACACGGGCAGCCCCTTCCCCTGGCTCGGCAGAGCCTGAAGCTCTGGTCCTATAATCTCAGCCGCCCAACAGCAAAGCGAAAGGTGTAATGACACCCTCATGAATGCAACGAACGTAAGGTTACTGAAGCAGCTGATTTGCTTGAGGTGCTACAGAAAACTAATGACTTTAGCAGACATTTCCCCATGTCGCAAACTGCATCCAGAATGATTAAGTATGTCCCATGGAAGCACCTTCCTTCCCCTCAACCACAGACCTCCCCTCATTCACCCTCATGGCCCTGACCTCCCCAGAGACTGTTGGAGAATTTAGTCAGAGTTTGGCATGCCAATGGCACCGTGACTGCACAGGTAACAGAAACAAAGAAAGTGCCAGATGAAGGACAAAGTCCCCAGTCTCTGTTTAATTCTTCAACTTTCAGTAGAGCCATGGATCAGAGAAATATCTTGCCCAGCTTAAGAAAACTGTAGAATAAGCCTGGTCTGAGACTGCAGGTCACATGGGCTCCGGGGGTCAGTAGGGAGTGATGGCACCTGTGATACCCCAGATGCCCAAATGCCTTTTCCCTGGGGAGCAGCCCCTTCTCAGCTCAGTGGGTGGTTGCCTTGGAGGAAGGAGCATTTCACAATCTTTCAATTTTTCAAAGGAAGCTGGACATCCAGGATGCTAGCAGTGCACTGGAGTCACCATACCATTACCTGGGCCCAGTTGTAGAGACTGGTTACATTGGGCCACGCTGGAGCCTGGGCCTCTGTATTATGCAACTTCACCCCAGAGGATGCTATGGGCAGCTGGAGTTGAGGACCCTGGCTCTGGCCTGTGAGTCATGGTCAGTCCCAAAATGATGTGATCCTAACTCTGAGAACCAAGTCCCCGGGGGGTTCTATCCAACCGGGAGAATCCTTTCCTGGGGAGGAAGCAGCCTGCTGTCCACCCTTCTCTGCGGGTTTCCTCCACCTTTAAAATCCTGAGGTTGAAACCAGGCATGGTAGCACACACCTTGGGAGGGAGCATCTTGGGAGGCTGAGGCAGGAGGATTGCAAGTTCAAGGTCCGCCTCAGCAAATTAGAGAGGCCCTAAGCAACTTAGCAAGTCCCTGTCTCAAAATTTAAAAACAATAAAAAAGACTGAGTGTGTGGCCCAATGGTTAAGTGAGTTCAGTCCCCCAGACAAAAAAAAAAAAAAATCCCGAGGTTGAGGCCCTCTGGAAGCAATCTCCAAGAACTCAGCCCTTACCAGTTAGAGTACGGCAACAACGACCTCCTTACTTTCTGGCTTGTCACATTGGAATCTTGAGAGAATGGCCCCGGGTTTTCCTAGATGGATCACAGGACAGCTTCAGAGCCTAGCATTGGAGCAAGAGCCCCTTCCTACCATGGATCTTTGGTCAGCAAGGAGTGAGGCAGCTGCCGAGCAGACGGCTCTGAGCAGCACCCATCTGCCCACCCCTTTGCCACAAGGGACATGTGACTTAGGCCCATCATCCAGTCAGCTTTTTCTATAAAAGGGTGCTTGTCTGGGAGCGTAAGGATGGTTTTTGAGTTTAGGTCAGGTTTTGCAAACTGTTAAGTCTCAGAAAAACGTCAGGCATTGTTAGTGTTATCATCACGGGACCAACTCCTCCCACCAGGCCAGCTTCTACTGGCTTTCAAAACTCAGCACTGAGGCCAGTCCCAGCTCCGTGTCCCAAGGGCACGTTTATGTGCTGGAGACAGCTATGATGGCACACCCCTGTAATCCCAGCAGCTCAGGAGGCTGAGGCAGGAGGATCGCAAGCTCAGTGTTAGCCTCAGTAACTTAGAGAGGCCCTAAGCAACTCAGCAAGACCCTGTCTCTAAATAAAATATTAAAGTTGGGGTGCTGGGGATGTGGCTCCGTGGTTGAATGCTGGAACTCAGAGCTGGGTCCCTGGGGTTGGGGAAGGGGGTCCGATCTCAATAGATTTGTAAAAAGAGGCTGGGAAGACCCCTCACCTGGGCCACCCTCTGCGTAAGCCTGTCCCCCCCCCCCAGTGAAGCCCATCCTAGGAAGAACATGAGGCTCCGATTCCAGAAGCCTCCCCAGGATTTCCTTTCTGATGCCCCTTCCCTGGAGCACTGAAAGCCCTTGAGAGAGGGGCCTGGAGAGGGGCTGGAAGGAGCGAGGGCACAGGGTGGACCCGGGCAGCCGTCAGCCTTGGTCCCTCCAGCCTGCTCACAGCTGGCCACAGCCTCGGTGTCTCCATGCTTTTGTTGGTTTCCATGTAAATGCCGCTCCCTGTCCCCCGTCGTGTTGAAGTGCCAGCATTTATGTCTGTCCGAGTCACCGCTCTACTCACCTCTTCCCTCCCTGTTGTCCCCTTTTTCTCCCCCCCCCATTCCGCCCTCCCCCTTCTCTTGGTCAAACTGTGCCCTTCGTCCAGGGAGCTTCAGGTTTGGACGGCAGGCCTGGGCCACCGGTGAGTGTCACTTCTCTGTTACCCCTCACCCTGTCCCCCATGCCCAGCCTGTGACCCCTCTGTCTGTCCCACTGTGGCTTGTTTCCCCTGTGAGTCGTGCCTTGTCCCTTGTAGGAAGGTCCCATCCACGTTTAGCAGAAGTGTTTTTCCAGGCCTCTGGACCACAGGCGCTGGCTTGGTCTGAACTTCCCTGTCCCCAGTCTGCACCCAGGGACCCCAGTCATGCCAGGTGTCGGGCACGGGAGGCTGCTCCAGCACCCACCCGGACCTTGAAGGAATGCTGAGCTCACCCTGGGGGTTTGGACCCGTCCCCAGCAAACACGACCGTGTCTATATGTGCCCGTCACTCTGTGTCGTCTTCATGCTGTGGCTCTGTCCATCTTCTGTCTGCCCATGAGGGCTTCCCAGTCCTGTGCAGCCACCAGCTGGTGCTGCGGGGGAGGGTGGCATGGAAGGGTGAGGAGCTGGAGAGCACAGAGGCCAGTCCCAGCTCAGTGTCCCAAGGACACGTTTAACCACACCCCTGCCAGTGACAACACCATCACCCAGCAGGCCAGCAAGGGGGAGACCCTCCGATCCCCTCTCTATTTCTCAAGATTCCAAAAAATGGGCATGCCCACTCCTGACCACAAGCACTTCTGCTTATGCCAAACAACCAAAGTGTCCTTCCGGCCCCCTCCCCGAGCATGCTGCGAGGTCATCGGAGCTGTGGTGCTCCTGGCTGATGCATGGTACCTCTCATGGGGTTGGTCACTGACTGTCAAGGGCCGGGAGGCTGGGCTTCCTGCTCAGGAGCCATCCCAGAGCCGAGCGTGTGCCCAGCCTCTTCCAGCCACTGAGCCCCAGCTCTGCCTTGTGGGTGGGGTGCTTTCAAGGCCACATGGCCATGTCCTGCCAGGAAGATGAGCTTCTTGTGAGCTGGTGGAGTGGCACTTAGGAGAGAGGAGAATTTGCAGACAGACAGAGGGAGGCTGACCTTCCCAGGGGGGCTTGCAGGCAGTGCTAGGAGAGCCTAGGACCTTTAGAGGGAGGAGGGCACAGGCGGCCCCATCAGAGCCTCTACTTAATGAATGTTGTTCTGTGCCCTCCTAAAGAAGAGGTTAGCCCAGGTGGTGGGGCACGCCAGGCTGGGGCAGGGGACCACTTAGGCCCATGAGTTTGAGACCACCCTGGGCAATATCCTGACAGCCATCTCAAAAATTAAAAAAATTTTAAAAAAAAGAGAGAGAGAGAGAGAAGGTGACATGGACACAGCTAGCTCGTGATGACACATATTCAGAGCCCTTGTGCATTGGCGGGCAGCGCCCCAATTCACCAACAGAGCCGTGACTGTTCTCAAGACATCCTTGTGCCTCGATCCTCCACCACAGCCCCCTCCCACCCACCGTCCTCACCGAGCACACCTGTCCCAGGTGCCTGGTCAGAGCTGGGGGCTGATCTGACGTTGTTCGCAGAGAAGCCATGACCCCCCCTCAGCGGCTCATCCTTCTCTCTTGGGCAGGGGACACAGTGCAAACACATGTACTCTGTCCTCTTTGACCCCTGGCTTTATTTTTTTCTCATGACTTTAAAGGACAATGTTTGGGGAAGAAAAGAATCCAGCCCTGTCCAAATGACTAGCTGTGTCTGAGTGGGCGCTGCCCAGGGTCAGGCCCGGCTTTCACACGGACCTGGAAGCAGACACGTAGGTCACCCTCTTCAGTGCACAGAGGGGAATACTGCCACCCAGACAGGCTGCTTCCAGACAGCGTGGGAGTCTGTAGGCCTTTGCAGCAGGACTGGAGCCTGGCCCAGGGCCTGGGGAGCCCTGTTCTGGGCTGTCACCCTGATCTGGACTGTTACCTTGGCAGTTCCTCAGTGGCACATGCCCATGGCCTCCCTTCTTCCTCACAGTTGCAAATCTGTGCACTGAGCTGACCTGGTGGCTTTTTCTTACGTGGAGAAAATCAGCATGTTCCCACTTGCTTGAGCCCCACCTTTCCCAGGGATACTCAGAGCTCCAGAAATCACCCCCAGGCCCAACCAAGCCCCCTGCCCTTGCCTGAGACAGTGAGACAGAGAAAGGAGACTGTGAATTCGAGGCTTGGTCCAGTCTGGCTACAGGTGGGAACCAGGGGAAGGTACTTGATGGTGCCACAGGAAGCCCTGCTCCATCTCCAAGCAACGCCAGCCCCCACTCCCTACCGCCCTGAGTTAGGAGAGGTCGTGGCCCACCTCTCTGAAGGCTCATGTGGTGCAGGCTCCCGAGGCCCACTAACTAATCCCCTCCAATCCAGCCTGTTCCCAGGACGCGGGGGTGGGCTCAAAAGCCAGGGCCAGGGACAGGTCTGCTGGATGGCCCCCTCTCGCCTGCCTCTCTATGTGCATCTGCCTTGGTCTCTGTGGCATGAAGACCCTCCTGCTGCATGTGAAGCTGCGACAGCAAAGGGGTGCCCGCCCTAGGCCCCGCCCCCGGGACAGGGTCACTTCCCTCCCAAGGGCTTCTGGGAGCAAACTCAGCAACCATTCTGCCATTTTCAGCCTTGGCAAGCTTGGCTGTGACATAAAAGGGTTTCGTCCCCCAAATCTGGCTCTGAGGCAGGGGCCAGCGCTCTTTCCTCCAAGGCCCCCAAGCTCCAAAAGGATCATAAATGGCCCCATCAAATGGCCACCCTGAACAAGCCTGGCCTCGCCAACCCTGAAAACTGGGCCCTGGACCTTGCTCATCTCCAGCGGTCGGGCGGGACTCCCAGGGCTCCCCAGCAGCCAGCCCCTCAACTCTCCTTTCTTTCACCCCCTCAGGGTACCCCAGGACCAATTGGAGTTCCAGGCCCAGCTGGACCAAAGGGCGAGAGGGTGAGAGCTCGGTGGGTGGGAGGGCGTGTTGCAGGCCACCCTTCCTCAGCCTCAGCACCCAAGCCCAACGGGGTCCCCACGACAGCCGCAGGGGCTCAGCCCTCATCCCTGCCTTCAGCTGTCACTCCTGGTCACTCTCCAGCAGCCTGGGGGAGCCAGGCAGGCCTGGGGGAGGGGGAGCCTTTCGAGGGCCACAAGTGGACAGAGATGAGATGGAAGCTTTCTCCACTTGGGTTTCTGATCACCTGTCACCTGTCATGGTTCAGTGTGACAAGGCCCCAGGGGGTGTTATGACTACATGTGCCTAAATTTCATAATGAGGTAGGGAAACGGCATAGACAGAGCACCAGGTGTTTAGAAAGACCCTTAGAGGACATCAAGCAGTCAGGAGGCCAGCGTGTCAGGCATGGTCCCCACAGTGGCTGAGATGAGTGGTCTTGGCAATGTAAGGTGACACCTGAGATCCAGCCCCATCCCACGCCAAGTGGGTGAGAGGTGAGGGTAGAGGAGGCCAGTGTGCAGGACAGTCACCTGTCTTCCAGCCCCGGGAAGCCCCTGTTTCCACACTCTCAGGACGGGGGCTCTCTGGAGGGCAGGCTGGTCCCCAGGGACACCTGTGGACTTCTCCACCTGCACCAGCAGCTCCCTTCTCTCCATCCACCCACCTTGCTGACTGTCTCCGGGACGCAGAGGGTGGGCATCTCCCGCAGAGGGGCCTGGGCTGCTCTGACATCACTGCCACACAAGGAAACGAGATGACGCTGAGGTTTCAGGGAAGAAACCATAGCTCCCTGCCCTTCCCCTTCTCTCGGCCACCTTCCTGCTCCTCTTTCTCCTCCCCTGCTTCTCTCTCGGGCCAACCAGTACCCTCAGGACACTGCTCAGTCCTTCCAGAGGGCCCTGGGGGACAGACGCTGCTGGAGGGAGAGTGAGGGGGTTCCAAGACCCTCCAGAGCAGAGTCTGCACCCGTGACACCCCACGTCTCACACAGACTTTGCTTCCAGAGGGTTCTTTGAGGAGGTCGGAGAGGCTCCCAGTCTTTGTACCAGAATAGGAGCTGGTGATGGAAGACTGGCACCTCACCAGGGAGGGTTCATGGTTTCTTTCTCTCGTTTCAGGGCAGCAAAGGAGACCCAGGGATGACAGGACCAACGGGAGCAGCTGGGCTTCCTGTGAGTCTGGTGGAATCAGAGGTTTCTCTCTGCCCACCCCTGTCCCCCGCCACCCAACAACAAGGTCAAAACAGTGTCCAGACCTGAAGCACAAATCTCGAGCTGAGGGAGAAGTCTCATTCCCATGATAGAGGGAGCTGCCAAGAGGCCACTGTGAGGTGCTAGAACTTCCTGGGGGCCCTGGCAGGGGACCAGGTGCTCAGCCCTCTGGCCCATCTCAAGGGATGCAGTAATGTCCCAAGCCCTTCTACTTGAGCCTCTGTCATGGACACAGAGGGGCCTCCCAAGTGAATGTGCCATGGTTCCTGCCCTTGAGGAGGGGTAGAATCAACTCCAGATCTCTGTGTCACAGAAAGGAGATGTGCTGTGAGTCCCAGAGCTTTCTCAGGGCAGCTGGACCTCAGGGAATGGACCTAGCATCCACCCATACGTAGTACATTCACCTGTTGGCTCGTTGTAAGGGTCCAGTGTCTGCCCTGAAGAGCCTGGACCTCTGCTTTTTCCCATCCGCCTGAAGACTGAGCACATGTGGCCTGGGTGGGCTTGTCTGGGCCAGTCCCCCTCCCGCTCGTTCCCCTGGAGCAACTGCACCTTGAAAGAGGGTCTGAGAAACTGCGAAGTCATTGGCTAGCAAGGGCCTGGCAGGAGAGCCAAGGACTTCTCCTCCGGCAAGAGCACTGCGTGCTGACTGCTTGGCCTCCGACCCACCACTCCTCCGTGTGCGCCATCTTGGAAGAACATGACTACGAGCCAGGATATAGGCTGGAGAGGAGGATGGCCATGTGGCTCGGTGGCTAGGTGCCCGCGTTCAATTCCCAGTACAATAAAATAAAATAAAATAAGAAGAAGAAAAGAAAACTCATTTGCCTCTAGGGCAAGTCCCCCTCCTGTCCCTGCCTGAATTAGGGGTCCATAAAGCTCTTTCTGAGCCTGGAGGGAATGACTGCCTGACTGTTCTGTCTTTCCTATTAACGTGTCTTTCTGTCTCTGATTTATTGCAGGGTTTACATGGACCACCAGGGGACAAAGGGAACCGGGTAAGTCTGAGCCCTACACTTGAGCGCTGGTTACTAACGTCTTCCTGAAGGGCTGGAATGATCAACGAGGGATTCTTAGCCCAACATGGAAAATACCGTTTCTCCTGATAAATCACCCTAAATCGAAAGACTTTAGAATGAAGGCCTTTATCCACACACAGCATGCGGAGAGCCGGGGGCCTAATCTTGAAATTGAAGCGTGTGTGTGTGTGTGTGTGTGTGTGTGTGTTTCCACATTCCCCAGGGACACTGAGTTCCAGCGCCTGTCAGCTTAGCATGGCCATACAGAGCCCAGTGTCCAGCGCTCTCCATGTTGCCCTGATAATGTCCCCTAAATGATGCTTTCAGACCCACTCCTACCTTGTCCTCACCTTCTGCCAGGAATTCCAGGGTACTGGCAAGAAGAAAAACCCAGAAGAAAGCAGACAGCTGAGTCAGCAGCCAAGGCCTTAAGAAAATACCACGGTTTCTCCTGGAGTCAACAGGACTCTGAAATGAATTGTGCTTTCCAGACCCCCTTCCCTCCTGCCGTCTTTACCACGGCACGCTAACTGTTCACGGCATCCTCAGCCTCTTGATGGCTTATGACGCGTGCCACAGCCTTGGCTACTTGGGTCCAACTGTGATCATTTAACTATAGCTGACCCAGAGAGGACCTGTAGGTGCTTTCTAGAAGGTGTCTGCTTCTACCTCGCAGGGGTTCTCCCTGGGCTGCACATGCCCCCTAGAGGCCCAGGAGCATCTTCTAGTGGGTCATAAAAATCCAAGGATCTTAGAAGGGAAGGAATGGGAGGAACAGATTGATGGAGAAATGCAACCTGGAAAGATAATAAAATGTACTGAGGTCCCCCTGAGAGCTAGGGCACACACCTGTATTCCAGAATGCAGCTCTCTGAACGCTGATACCATGTCCATGGACAGAAAGTCCCAGGTGCTCTGTGTTTACGTACGGCAGCAGTTAATTCCATTTCCTTCCATCTAAGAAGCGCTTCCTGAGCACTCCTCTGTTCCCAAACACTCTTCATTGGCAGTTGGTCAACACCACTTCAGTTTCTCCCACAAATTCTATAAACCAGAGAGAGCAGACAGAGCTACCCCTACCAGACTGTCCATGGCAAGACTCAGTCTAGAAGTCATTGGCTAGCAAGGGCCTGGCAGGAGAGCCAAGGAATTATGGCCGGTCTTTCGGGCCTCTCTGTGATCATTCCAGCCCTTCCTTGGCATACTGACCTCCTTTCTAATTTATTTCTAATGTGTTCTGGTTTTCTTTATTATAGTCCACTTGTGAAATCGATTTCTTAAGACTTTTTCAGTTGGCTGAAGGCACTGAGCCATGTGAAGATTGCAGGTGACGACAAGGGTGTTGCTCGAGAGGTGGAGGCGAAGCGCCCTTGTCACAGGTGGAGGGAGGGGGAGGAGACAGCCCAGGCTGGAGACTCGGATGCCAAAGCAATTGGTGTTATGATGATCCCCTGAGGCCCCAGTGGGAAGATATTCACGTCCCCTTCCTGGTGTTCAACACTGCCCCTGTCCCATGTCTAAATTAGGAATGTGTCATTTAGGCTAAGTCAAGTACAGAAAACAGTAAAGTAGCTCAATGCTTCCTTGGAGTTCACCAGAAAGAGCCGGGTGACTTATCCCAAAGAGCACGTTTAGAACCCAAGGCACAGTCTGCACCCTTCATCCAAGAGACCTGACTTGCAGGTGCTCCAAGGGTCTCTTCTAAATCCCGGCCTCCTGGCTCACACCTGGTTCAAACCTCTCTAGGCACTGCTCTGAGATGTGAGGCCTTGGTAATGAAGCCTCCTAAACAAAGAAAGGCCCAGCAGGCTGGCACAGGCTGGCACAGGGCTTTGGACTTTGTTTGGTTTTGTTTTTCTTCCTGAAAGCTCAGGATCTTGATGTTTCAATCCAGGTGAAATGCCAGAGGGTGAGGGCAGCATTTTGGTTAGAAACCTCTGTGTTACCTGGAGGTGAAGCTAGAGAGGCTGAAATCCCCCACACACCTGAGTTTGGGAGGAGGCTTCCTGTAAGACAGCCCTAAGCTTTGCCCTCATCAAGCCTGGGGGATCCATCAGAGATTTGTTCTAGCCTTCAGTGGGCTAAGACAACCTTAAAATGAGGCTGCCCTGTGTCCCAGCCACGGGTGGCCTTATAACCTCTTTCCTGTGTTGGAAGAAAGAAAGAAGGTCCTCTTAGAGGTGGGCCAAGGCCCAGGTGCAAAGCACAGAGCCTAAGGGTGCCCCAGACAGCAAGAACAACACTATAGCCTTGTCACCAAGGGCACCCTCTCTCTCTCTAAGTAGCTCTGTGAATTTGACCCAAGAGCCATGTTTAGGATCAAAAAATCAGTCAGAGGCAAAGGGGAGCATGAATCCAGTCATGTGGTCATCAGAGAGTTGGGGTATTACCCTGGAGCTGCCTGAGAGCTGGCCAACTGGAAAGGTCTGAGCATGCTGTGAGGAGCCTTGCCACTCCCAGATGCCTGCCTGGGGTGTGTGCACGCATGTGCATGTGTGTGTGCATGCATGGTGTATGCATGTGTGTGTGTGCACGTGTGTCCCTTCCTGAGCCCTCTGCGTCCCAACTCCTTCTCCTCCACGCTCTTCTGGCCTGGGCCTGCCTCTTCCTTTATTCCTTTGGTCTTTCTCCTCCAATATGCTCACCCCTGGGAACCCCATGACCCTCATCCTCTCCCTTCCCCTTCTACCCTGGCAATTTATTTCCTCTGAAATCAATTTCATACATTTATATCTATTATTTAAAAAATCTCTGCCTTGACTTTATTTGCCCTTTAACAGCTAGAATCCCTCCCTGCTGGGCCTCTTCTGCCCCACTGCAGGTGGGGACAGGGGGGTGGAGGAAAGCTCCTGGGCCAATACCTGTGAAGGCTCGGAACACAGTGCTCCAGCACATGCTCCACCCTGTGACCCTCGGGCCAGTCATCCAGGACTGGACTACCCCACCTCCGGACAGCTTTGCCCACTGATCTCCTGACCCAAAGAGAACAAGGGGCTGCACTCCAAGATGTACCATGGTTTCCCCACCCAAAGAGCTGATCCACCATTTGGGAATTGCTTATGTTATGATGTTCTCATTGGTGGACATGTCCTCAAGCCAAGGGGACTGTACCTAGTATGCACATACATGTTTTTTAAACACATGTCATTTTCTAATTCATTTAGAATAATGTATTGGCAATTGCAGACAACCTCTGGAATCAAGAAATTGGGCAATTTTCAAAAATCCAGGGAAACATCAGAAGTATTTTTAAAGACTACCTCTTTCTAACAACTGAAGACTGTGCTGTTTGCCACTACAGGAACATGGCAGACACGAAGCTCCAACCCTAAGATTTGCCTCTGGAAGCAGCTTTAGTTCCTATACTAACAGGAAATAATAGTCAGTTATTATTATTAGGAATTATAACTTACTGAGCACATACTATACATTATTATTAAGAAGCATTTAATATGTACAAAGACTTCACAACAAATCATTAAAGTGGGTGTTTGTACCCATTTTACAGATAAAGAAACTGAGACTCAAGAGAGGTTATGCAGCTTCCCCAAATCAGACCACTGACCTATGGCAGAATCAGCTCTCACTCCAAACCTTTGTTCTCCTCAACACACAGGAGAAACCCTGTGCAAGTCCCTTAGTCTTCCTAAGAGAGTTCCTGGGAAAACTCTTAAGGGACATACTTGGCCACTTTTAAGGAAACACAACGTATAAAAATCCAACTCTAAGTTCATTACAAGGTTGATTTTTTTTTTTTTGGTATCAGGGATTGAATCCAAGGATTTCTACCCCTGAGCTTCACCCCCCAGCCAGTACCCCCTCTTTTTTACTGTATTTTGAATCAGAGTCTCACTAGGTTGCCGAGGCTGGTCTTGAACTTGTGATCCTCCTGCCTCAGTCCCTCAGTCACTGAAATTACAGGCAGGCACAATCATGCCTAGCTCGATACTTCATTTTTAAGAATTTCCCACAGCCTTTCTTTAAATGAACCCTGACATTTAAAAAAAATTAGGGCTCAGTTTAGAAAGATGACATTTACTGAAGCTTCTCAGAAATAAATGAATTCCTTGAACCATCATGTCCATCCACAAGTAGCTGTCTACAGCAAAACAGAGTACACAGAAACACCATCAGACTTCACACCAGTGTGAACCATATGGGAGGACCCAGCTGAGAGCACGCACACACAGGTGCACATACACACACCTGCCGGCACGGGCACATACCCACACTGTTACGCAGGCATGCACGCTGCACTTGCACGCACGAGCAGAAGCACACCCAGGGCTCCACCTAAAATCACTTTGCCTCCTAAGAGAATGTCAGAGGGCTGAACAGTGATTGGGACAAAAGGTAATCAGCCCAACTCCCCTCAAAAATAGACCCTCCAGCAGAGGGAAGGTGATGTCCCTTTAGCATCCAAGGGACATACTTGGCCACTTTTAAGGAAAGTGATTATTGATTCCAGAGGTTGTCTCCAATTTCATCTCAGACCCTCTCTGGGCACTTGTACCTTCAGTCCCCATTTCCCACCACCTCCGGCTTGGAGGTAGCCCTGCCTCCCTGTCCCCCACCCACCTTGCTGGGCCAAACTCTCAGATGTTTCAAGCAGGGATGTGGGTGTGGACCTCACATCCTAATGGGGAGACTATCCTAATGAAGCGAATCTACTTTTCCTTCTTTCATTTTCTTTTTCTGTCTCTAACCTTAACATATGAATAACCTTAAAGTTTTGATGTTCTTTTTTTTTTTCCTTGAACTAAACCATCACTTACAGGGGGAAAGGGGAAAGAAAGGATCTAGGGGGCCTAAAGGGGATAAGGGAGACCAAGGAGCACCTGGATTAGATGCCCCCTGTCCACTGGTATGTTTTCATTTCTCACTTGCATTGTTCTGGTTTTTTTCTTGAGGTTTACAAGCTGGAAACAAAGAAGGCAAATAGAGTATCTGTTCCCTTGAAATCCCGCCGGCTGTTGGTGTTGCCTTAAAACCACAGCTGCAAATAATTAAGGCTAAATCCTTTTCCTTTGAATGCTCTTCCTTTGAAGATGCAGAACAATGGATGCTTGGAAGTGAAGAAACCATGTGGAGAGGGAATTGGGGTGGAGGCCTTGGCTCTTGGGTTCCAGCATGGCTCTGGGAGCCAGGGTAGCCCTTGGGGACCATGAATTTGCCTTCTTTGTTTTGGGCCACTTTGGTGGCCAACGGTTTGGTTGTCTCAATGCTCACTTGGTCAGGATGCAGGACACCAGAGTTAGCATCTCCTGAGGGTCACTGATACTTCTGGGCAGAGCGAGGCCAGACCAGGGGCTTCTCTCCACAAAGCCTCGCAACACCCTCCAGCCCCCTAAAACCCGGAAAGCGGGAGACAGACACCCGGCAGGAAGGCAGCCCCCATGAGCCAGGATCTAAAGATTTGTGGCCCCTCCGCCAGGCTTCCCAAGTGCTTTTCAATCCATGTGAAGGTTCTAAAAATTATGATGGGCTGAAGTTGAAGTTACCTGTGCTTGTTTGGTGTGGGTCTGTAGAGGGAGGTGTGGGTCCGCAGAGGGGGCTGGCTGTGCGTGATGAGCTCTCCGAGTGCTGGCGTCTTGCCCTTATTCGTAGGTGATCTAAGGGTCCTGCATCCTGGCCAGGGTAGGACTGCGCCTCTCCACTCTGCAGCTGGAGCTGGCCAGCCTTGACCTAAATAATCATCGTGGTTGGTTTCATGAACAGGGACACCGAGGTTTTAAAGGAGAGAAAGGGGAGCCGGGGTTACCAGGGCTGGACGGACTGGATGCCCCCTGCCCATTGGTATGGCACCACCCTCCCTTGCCCGCATGGCCAATTTGGGCTTCCCTACGTGTGTGGTTTGTACCTACGTGCCCCTACACTCCTGTTCCTTCTGCCCAGCTCCCACTTCCTGTGGCGTCTGTAGACACCAAGGGTCACCCTGCCTGTGCTGGGGCACCCGGCCATGCTGCCCTCTTGCATGCAAAGTTTGTTGGGGTGTTTTCTTGGCCTCCCGCAGCCGCTTCTGCAGCACATCTCCTTGTCTGGGCCATCCTCCCACCCTTGATGTAGGACAGGCGAGGCTGGACACCTGAGGAACGATCAGGAAGCAGGTTTATGGCTGCAGCGGTCCAGAGGAGGCTTGTGCCTAAAAAAAAAAAAAAAAATCTCTGGACCATGAGTCTGGGGAAATTCTTTGAACTTTATACCCAGTGGGAGGAGAGGTTTGAAGGTTTACATGAAAAGTGCTTTTTGTTCCATTTTTTTTAGACTAGACAGACGTTTCACAAGTCTTTACCACAAAAAGTAGAAGTAACAATTCTTGGTTCACCATCAAGTTAGCGGGCAAATTTAGCTTTTGCAAGACACAGCACTTGGCCCTTACAGAAAATAGGAAGCTCCAAACCACTCTGAGTTCTTTGCAGAAATTTTTGCTGCTATTCTGTTAATAAGAACAATTATGATGAGTCTCTGGAGAAGCTTAATTACAGAAAGAGTCTTTTGGATACGAATAACCTGATCTGCTTCACCCTGAGGGCAGTTGGGGCTGCATCTGAGCCTCATTGCCCAACTGCTCCTAGGCAGATCTGCCACCTGCGTCCAAACTAGAAAAGCGGGCGTCCTCCGGATAGCTTCTTAGAACTGTGACTCCTTTTTCTTCCTGTGTGCTAGCTGAACACCTGGCAAAACGTCGGCCTGCCTCCCTGCCCCTTCTACCCCTAGCAGTTTGGCAGTTTGGCAGGGGACAGGTAGACATGCTTCTAGACATAGGGCAGGCTGAGAAGTGCCAGAACTGTGGTGGAGAAGAGGGCTACCTGCCTATTTTTCCAGGCTGGGTCACTGTTTAGGTGACACCATCAGAACTAGGGGATAGTCCCAGATCAGGTGTTCAGATCCCAAAGGGTTCGTCCTCATTTAAATCCCTGAAGACAGTACAAGACCCTCGCTTGAGGTCCTGGTCACTCATCTTCCAGTGGCTCACGCTGAAGAGTCTGGGGGAGATGGAACAGGCAGGAGGCAGGGAGATGGCCAAGGATCTCCACGTAGTCCTCTTAACTAACTACAACAGAAGAAGGTGGCCCTCGATTCCAAGGGGACTGGCCCAGGAGGTTCCTGCTGGCCCTGCGCTTTCCCAGGAAGGCGGGAGTTCAGCCTCACATCCCTACCCTGGAGTCACTCAGGAATCCTCCTTGAATGAAAAACAGTTTAGGAGTGACTATAAAGCCCCTTGAACGACACTGGGGACATTTTAAGACCAAAAGGAGGAGCAGGCAGAGAAGCACGCTTCCGGACCCCGCGCGTCCTGCACGTTGACCCCCGCCCCGCCTGCCGCATGTGCATGCGTGTTTCTTAACCGTGGAGTCATCCTTGGGCTGCGACCCCCACACACCACCCCCTGAGAACCCTGAACTCTGAGGCTGCCCTGTTCCTCCTGCACGTTGCTGCTGCTTCTCTGCCAGCCGGCACCCATCCGCTGCCCCTGCCACCATCCACGTCCCAGTGGGAATGACATGCAGCCCACGGAGGCTGGGCTCCCTGTCAGAGTCCTGTGTGCAGAGTGCCGCAGCGCAGCCTGGTGGGCCGAGAAGGGGACAAGGGTCACCGTAGAACTGTGGGATGCACTCCTGCCACCCCCTCCCGACCCAGAGGGGAAATGGAGGGCGTCCTTACTTAGCCATTTCCACAGTTATGTTTTCTCCAATAACATCCCATAACCATGTGCCTTTGCCTTTTAATTTTTTGTGGGAATGCCCATAACTTCCCTTTCTCATTTCCCATCCCACCTCCTGCATTGTGTTCTTGTGGCCCTGGGGGCAGGGGAACTATAGATCAGGCCATGAGATAACTAGACATTGACCTTGGCTCAGCGCTGCTGAATGCCAGGTGATGAGAGGTTGGGAGTCTGGTGTGGGTAGGGGAAGTGGGTTCAGGGCACGGAGGAGTCCTGAAGACTGAGCACTTGCTCCAGCCCCCAGAAACCCCGTGCCTGCCTCTGTCTAGCCCTGGTACCTGAAATTCTGGAGTCTGGACTGCCTTCCTAGACCTGCCCTGGGTTCAGCTCCACCCTCCCCACCGTGCCTCTAGAAGATTTTAAGTTCCCCTGGGGTATTCCAGAAAGAACAGGATGTTAGGCCAGAAGACCGGAAGAGTCCGTCACTGTGGGCAGAATATCCTGAGGTTACAAGGTGCTCCATGTACCCCAATGAGCATTTGCTACATACTCAGCTATAGCATTTTGCCCCAAATACCCAGCAATGTCCAAGGCCGGGCCAGAACAGTTTGCCCTCTAGCTGAAGACCTCTCTGGGTCACATTGCAATGCCCCTGAGGCTGCTTGTCCCTTGAACTCCAACCTACCCACTGACCTTCATGGAACTGTCCAGATATCCTCCTGTGCTTAGGAAGAGAGACAAGTAAGAGATCAGGGAGTGGGTGGGCTGGGACCCTCATTGCATATCTCCCCTTGCCCAGGTTTTGCAGAGGAAGAAATTAAGGCCCAAGTGCGTGGTGACTTGAGCATCCAGCACTTTATAGAGCTGGAGCAGAGACTGCCTCTCAGGGCACTCAGGGTCATCTGTGCTTGCTGACTGCACAGGCTTGGACAGCCCCTCTTGTCCTTGCACTGCAGGTACATGTGACCTTAGCCAATGTCAATGTCAAAACAAAAACAACTGCATCGGTTTCCCATGCTCTTGCAAGGTTTTGACCGCAAGCAGAGAGAAGAAATAGGCAATAGTGGGTGGGCCGTGTCTGATCATTGGCTGGAAGGTTTGTGGCTCTTTTTACCCCTGCCCTGCTTGCTTGGCCTGAATCTGAGGCTCTGCTTCCCTTCTCCTTGCAGGGTGAAGACGGTTTACCAGTCCAGGGCTGCTGGAACAAGGTAAGCTTCTCAGGCTTGCGCTGCCTGGGGACAGGGGTCTACTGCCCTCCCCCATGGTGCCTTAAAGTTTGCAGTGCTTCCATTCTGTCTTTCTGCAGATGGGGCAGGAAGACCAGGGTGGGGAAAAGCCCTCCTTCAAAGGCAGGGTGCCTGCTAAACATCCCAGGTGCTGCTGCCCTCAGAGGACTTTTTAAAATGCTTTTTAAGGTGTCCGCAAACCCCAATGCATGGAATTTCCATGTAGCCACCCAGACGGGCTCCGGGCTGTGTTTTGAAATAGATTACCAATGCCTGCTCTCGTGGCATTCAGATGAGGTCATTTAAGCCATATAATGGTATTTATCCAGATGTAAAACATCTACGCTGCCCAAACTCTCAACTCACATGGCTTCTATGCCTCTGGATTGCCTGGCTCTCCACCCTGCATTTCCCCCTGAACTTGAGCTGTCAGGGCCTTGTGTCTGCTCAAGTGCCCCTGCAACCCAGCCTCTTCTGGGTTCCCAGAATCCCCACCAACAATGACATTTCACTTACTCACACTTGCCTTGGCCTTTGCCATCATGAAGCACTCCGAGGCCACAGAGCCGGCTCTTCCATGAGATCCCCCACCCAGCCAGCACTCTCCAAGGCACAGGATTCCCCACCTAAGGGCCACTGACCTACAGATCCGGAAGCCCCCCTGCGTCCCCAGCATAGGTAGCAGCAACCGTGCTGCCCCGTGCAACATCCTCCACCAGCCCTCCTCCACCAATTTCTCAAGGTATTAGTGTGTTTCTTCTTAAATCCAAGCCCAAGCTGCTAGGGAGTTGGTGCTTCGCTAGTCCAGTCCTGTTTCGGGGATGGCAGAGCCACGCTTACCAGGAGACAGATAAGCTCCCCCCGTGCGATGCTCAGATGCTCATTAGCTCACAGGGTTGGGTAAAAGCAGCGAAACCATGGAGACGTTATGCACTAGGCTGAATACCACTTGAAAGCCCAGTATTCAAGGGAGATGCCTCCCCAAGAATCTGCCCCTCACACCAAAACTCACCCTCTTGTCCAGTTCCAGAAAGACCTAGTTAAAGCTTCAAGGAAGCAGGTAAAGAGTGTGTCCTGTAAGACCCCCAGGCCCTTTTCCCCCTAAAAAAGAGAAAAAAAGATTTTCTTGTTTAAGTTGGCTGCCAGTTGTCAGGAAATTGAAATACTTGAGCTTAACAGAGGAACCACAGCCACTATCCACACCTACAACAGAGCCAGGCACAGTGGCACAGGCCTGTGATCCCATCGACATTCAAGGTTGAGGCAGGAGGATGATGGCAAGGTCAAGGCCAGCTGGATAATTTAGGAGACCCTGTCTCAAAATAAAAATTGGAAAGGTCTGAGGATGTAGCTCAGTGGTAAAGAATCCCTGGGTTCAATCCCCAGTGCTGCCAATAATAATAATAATAATTATAATTTTTAAAAAAGGACCATGACACCTTAGGAAGCAACTAGAGGCCCTCTTAGCTATTCACTCACTGGGACCTTGCTGTGATCAACCTGGCCTCTAAGACAGCACAGAGACTGCCCTCTGGTGGGAACAAGGGGAAATGACTGAAAGGTGAAGATTGTGTTTCCCACCCTCAGGGGGCTTGAAGTCCACTGAGTTTCTTCCCACTAGGAGCCTTATGATTCCTCAGTTTCCCTATCAAGAGCCCTCATGCAATTTAGGATGAGATAAACCCCCTTTCTTTCAAGGAAGGAAGTATCCAAAGACCCCTTGAAACTAACCGAACGTTGTTTTGATTTTGTTTTGCAGTGATGCCTCTAACCTTGGATTGGCCTGTGTGTGTTTTGTACATAGAATATTTATTTTTATACAGTTTTCACTTTTTGAAAATGCCAGAAGTATGATGCATCTTACAGATTATTAAAAAAAAGAGAGAGAGCGAGAAACCTGCATATTTTGTACAGAAAATAACCCCTTCCCTTTTGTTTACAAAATGTTTTGTATAAGTCTGTGTCTCTAATACACTTTCTGTTTGTGAGTACGGTCCTAATGTTTGCATGATATTTGTGCACACTTATTAAGTTTTGAAGCTTAATAAATTATCGTGTTTCAGTGCCAAAGGGGGCCAGCCAGCGCTGAGGTGCTGCTAGCTCACGTGTGAATTCACATACATGTGGAGGTCCGCGTCATGTTTGCCAGACTAGGTGTATCTGAGAATATTGTAAACTCTTGTGGATTTTCATTATTAAAAAGAAGAAAAAAGGAAACATGGCAATTCAGGATCCTGATTAACCACTCAACAGACTCTTTCTTGTGCAAGCAGGAAATCCCAGAAGCAGGGGTCCTCAGAAGTATGGAGCAATGTTTTGAAATGTTAAGTCCAACAGAGAGAGAGGGAGGGAGCCCTATGAGGCAACGTCTATTGTAACATTTCCCAAGTTCATCCCAGAGCCATTTAAGCATGGAGGGTCCCGTTGTGCCTGAGACCTCCAGGAACACAAAGGGGCCATGTGCGACTGCTTTGGGGTTTTGGTGGAATGTTGTGTTTTGTTTTCGAGCTACACTCACTACCACCAGCTACTGCAGATCACATTGTTGGCTTGATAGGAATCTGAGGGCCACCCATGGCTGCAGCGAAGGGGCTTCGCTTCATGCTCCGTTCTACTCCGCCAACTAGTTAGAAAACTCACCAGATCCAGGTCAGGTGGGGCCAGCCTGAAGTTGTTTTTATTTTTTAAAAGAGTTGTACCGCTTTCCATTCATAGCTTGCTGCTTTATGCGGATCTCAGAACACCTGCTTTAATGGTGAGGTGTTATTTTATTATTCCAACCGTGAGGTAGGGCATGCAGGTTTATCTTTAGCTGTGTTACAGCATAAATCGTTGCTTCCCCAGGGCTCGAAAACAACAAACGACCCTGGGAGTTTCAACACACACCTCCATCTTGTTCACAATGGACATTTTATACGGACATCTTTTCTTCACAGTCAGCACGAGGGGAACTGGAAACTCTACACACAGACTTGGCATCAGTGGGCTTTGCATTCCTGAGAGTCCTGTGGGGTGGGGGTGAGCGCAGGCTCTCGGGCTTTGGCTGCCCCAACCCCAGGGGCGATCCCAGCATTCTCTCTCTCAGTGTCCACTCTGTTATTTTTGAAACCAGATCACTGCCTCCTCTAAGTCTCAGCTTCATTGTTTCCAACGCAACACTGTTGAGCTAGAGTTGATCCCTGTGGACACAAATGGAGCTCCTGTGTCCCCTTCCCAGGAGGCAGGAGCTTGCAGCCACCCAGGCCCCACACCTCTGGCTGGCCCCAGTGCTCTGTGGTGTGTTCCAGCTCATCCCAAGCCAGGGACACCTCTCAGCCTGAGCCAGACACCCACGACCCTACCCAGGGCGGCTTCCCATCGGATGCTGTGGCCACTCAGCTGGACCTACGGTTCTTTTAAGGGTCCCCAAAATATTTTGATTTTTAATGCTTTTAGATTTAGAAGGGGAAAAAGTGAATATATAACAATGAACCCAGCCTGGATTGCAAACAGTCAGAAATACAACTTTTTATGGGGGAAGTAACTCACAAAGAGGAAAAAGTGCCCAGGATCTCTAAAAGTCATCAAGTGGCCTGCCGTGCGTTCTGCTCCTTGAAATCCGCCGTCACCTTGACCCTCTGGGTTATCCCATCTCCAGGGCTGACACCCCCCCACACACCCCTGGTGGGGACCTAGAAATCAAAGTTGCCTGTTTTCTGAACCCACTGTCTGATGGCTTTGGGCTCCGGTTGAAGCAGTCAGCCCCCTGGTGACCTCAGCTGAGACTCCAAATCAGCTGATGGCCCCGGGTGAGTCTGGGCACCCAGAACCCACCTTCTGCTTCAGCTCTGTGTTCCCATTTACCCACTGTCCCGGCTAACACCACGGAGGACTGGGTCACTGGTGAGGATGAACGCAAGAAGATAGAAAAATATGTAGAAAGAAGTTACAAAGTCAGAGTCAAGGAAAAGTAGGTGGACGGTGGTGGCAGGGACGCCCTACCTGGACAGGAGCGGTCCTCGCCCTTCCTGAGGTGGGGTCCCACACATCACTTCATGTTGTCTCCGGCCTGGTTGTGGCCCCCATACTGCCCTGCCCAGTGAGCTACAGTCCACTGAGGTTTGGCCCCAGACCATAAGCGCATTATCCCCTCGTGTGGTTGGGGTCCCTGGACCCCTCTGCCAGGAGCCCCCTCCATCACAGGGCTGTGGGCTCCTGACTCCAGCCTGGTCTTTTCCACTTGGATCTTAACTCTGTGTCCAGGGCAGTGCAGGGAGGTTGGATGTAGGAAGAGGAGTCGTCAAAAGTCTGCAGGATCGCTGGACATCAGTGCTAATGCTCAGAGGACCGGGACATTAGAAAAGGGAAACTATAGAGTAGGGGCATGGCGCAGAGAAGCTGGGGCCCCAGAGGGCTCATGGAGGTCAAAGTCTCTGGCTCCATACTGGGGGCCTGGCTGCAGCCAGGGAGTCGGAGATTCACCGGCTCTTACCTGGGGCAGACTTCCAGCATGTTGTAGAAGATTTTGCAAAATGCAAGGAGCTGGATCTTGAAGGCTTGGCCTCCGGTGGTTACTCTCTGGTCCCAGGCCCTGTTGCTCTGGTTTCTGTCACAGAGGGGGGACGCAGGTTGCCCAGCATTTTCCACTTCCCAACATGCAAACATCTAGCTTGACAAAGACCGAACCAGTGCCCTGTGAGTGACAGCGTGACAGGTTCATCCAGGCCCCAATAAGGACCCTCTCAAGATGTGCAGCTTATGCAGCTGTAGTCACGTGGGTCCAAGGAAGCCTTGCCTTGCCAAGGAAGGGACAGCCTTCCCCCCACACCCAGGCTGCCCCGTCTCGGCCCCCACCCAGTGCTTCCTCCCTGCTGGGCCAGCAAGTCCAGAGACTGGGTTTCTGGTTCTCTCTGCTCTGACAACTGTCTGGCCTTGGGCAGCTCACATCAGGTCTCAGTGTCCCAAGCATCAAACAAGGAAGCCAGACCTGGGTGGCCTCCAAAAGTTCCTCAAGCTCTGACACCCTGAAACCTTCTGATTCCATGGAGCGCTCCTGCCCACCCCCCAGGGTTATTTGGGGTAACATCATGCATGGCCGTGGGATTGCAGAACTGCATGTGGCCTGCGTGTGGCCTGCGTGTGCTTCATAACCCTCAGTAACAAAACTTGAGTAGGCTGTGTCACATGGCGGTAGAGCTTCCTTGAGAGCCACAGTGGTGGCAGAGGGCGTGTCTCACGGTGGCTCCACACTGGGAGATTATGAGAGAATAAGCCATATAGCCTCAGCCATGTGGCACGCAGGGGCTCCCCAGGGATCCCCAGCACTCAGGACCACGGCCGGCACGGTCACACGGTCAAGTTCGCCACCTTCCCTATCAGGCCCCCTGTGTCCCTCCCACTCAGGCAACTGGAGGCATCAATCACCTGAGACTCTAAAATATTTAAAAAGAGGAGAAGGTGGGCGTCTGATGAGTGGTCAGTAGAGACCCCACCAAGATGGAGGGCAGAGGGGGGGAGGAAGGGGGGCCAGAATCTTCAAGGGCTGCCGCTGCTCCTCAAGATGGTGGAGGGGGTGGCGCTGCAGGGCAGGAAGCGCTACCTCAGACCCTCAGGCCGAACCCCACAACCAGAGTGACCCTCTGGCTCTAGGAAACACCATGTCTCTGGGCAACAGCCAAGTACCTGTGGAGGGAACAGCTAGAGCAGGGCTGGGCTGGGGACCAAGCCCTTCCCCAGGGGGCCTTCCCCAGTGGGCCCGCCTCAAGGTCTGCTCAAGGTCCTCTGTGGCCATCCCTGCTGTCCCCCTCCATCGCCCACATTGGCTCCTCTTCCCGAAGCCCTTCTTCCCCATCTGTCATGGTGACACAGGTGCCATGGCCCTGGGAAGGTGCTTCTGGGCTCCTCGGGTGGCCGTATCTATCTCCCTTGTCTATTATCTGGAATGTTCTTTTTTTCCTCTACTTTACATTGGGGTGGGGGAGGGGCATCCCGGCAGACGGGGAACAGAGAGGACAAGGACTTCCCTATTCATTGGTCTCCTCAGGGTCCTCAGTCAGTGTCCTCCAGGTCAGGGCTCATCCATATCTGGGGAGTTATCAGTCCACTTTATGAAGCACCTACTATGTGCAGGCTCTGTGCTTCCTGCCAGTCACTGGGAGGGGAGGGAAGAGGCCACCCTGGATGGTGAGGCCTGCCCTCCAGGGCTAGCAGTAGCCAGCAGTGCCAGGACGGGCATGCTCAGTGCTCAACGGGGCACAACCAGCCAGGGCTTGGGCTCCTGAGAACAGAGGACACTGTGGTGGCCGGTGTGGTCGGGGTCAGCCTGGAGTGGGAGAAGCTGGCCACTGCCCACAAGGGGCCCTCCCCTGGCTCGTGCTCCTTTCCCTGTTAGAATCTTCCGGTGAATGTGAGCCTGGGCCATGCTTGCTTCTCAGCTCAGGGGAGGACAAGGGAGACCGTCCAGGGGAAAGCCACAGAGAGGACAGGTCCCAACCGTGAGGGACTGGGAGTCTGGCCAGGTGGCAGCTGGGTTGGGGAGATTCTGGCCTTAGGAAGTCCCCATGAAATGGGCCACTGTCCAGCAAGCCTCCTCTCAAACACCTCCTTCTCTGTACCTCCTCAAGGGCCAGAGTCCTTGGTTAGTCGCCAAGAAGTGAGGCCAGCCAGCCCAGGCCCACGGGAAAGTGCCTGCCCTGGAGAAGGAAGATGGAGGAGCTGCCCCTGCACAGAGGGTCGCCGGCGGAACCCTCCCAAGGGCCCGGCTCAGGGGCTGATGGGAGTGTGACCAGGGGAGAGGAGGCCTGTGCCCTGGGGGCGGGAGCTCTCTGCTCCTCCGGCTGCTGCAACCTTCAAAGCTCTCCTCTGAACTGTGGTTCTTTGAGCAGCGTCTCGGCAGGAGGGGCTGTCAAAAGCCTTCCCAGGAGGCTGTGGCCAGACTGTCATCTTTCCCAGCTCCTCCTCAGAAGAGTTCCTCCTGGTGGTGCTGAGCCATTCACCCTTTCACTTCTGGGTTTTTTAAATGCTGTGAGCTGACTCCACCGAGCTGGGGAGCGCAGGGCACGTTGGCCTCAGAAAGGAAGGAACGAGGCTGTCACAGACAAGAGAAGCTCGCAAAGCCAGGCTGGGCCATAGTGGTGGCCGC